ATTATTTGTCTTTATGAAGGAAGAAACGAGAAGAATTTATTGAAGGGAATATTAAGGCTTTATTTTAGCACCACAGATATTTTTTTAAATTAATAAGTGAGAAATCTTACTCCCCCACCCTTTCTCTCTCTCCCCTCTCTCTCTCTCTCTCTCTTTCTCTCTCTCTCTCTCTCTTTCTCTCTCGCTCCTTCTCCTTGCCAACCTTCTCCCTTCCATTCTCACTCTGTTAGACGACAGTCCCCGCCCTGCCGGTTGTGTGGGAAGAGCTGACCTCCGAGTGTTGCTTGGAGGCGTGGTGCTCTGAGCTTGTGGCCGTAAAACTGGTTGGCGGTATGAAGGAAAGGCTGGCAGCCTCCGAGGAGAGGCGTTTCTTAAAAGCCAGCATGGAGATCTCCACGGAGTACACGCTGGAGACGGCCTTGTTCATCCTGTGAAGGCTGCGGAGGGCGTCCCTCCACCGAGTCGGCGGGTTGGTCAGCATCACGCGGTACACCATCCTGTGGTCGTGGCGAAACAGCGCGTAGATGGGGGCGTTGACTATGGCGTTCGTGAAGGTCAGGATCAGCGTCGAGACCCTCAAGATCTCGGTGGTCTTCTGGGAAAACACCTTGTAGTACTTGAACGGGGCGATGATCATGTAAGGGGACAGCAGTATGATGAAGAGCAGCATCAGGAAGAACGTGATCTTCACCGAGTCTATCCGGGCCTCGAAACTTAGTATCTCTTCTTCGCTGTAGTTCATCATCGTGGTTCTGAATTCTTGAAACTGTCGCTGGGCGACACAGACGATATGAGCGCACAGAATGGTGCAAATGGTCAGGGTGCTCAGCACGGTGCCGAACGTGGCGAGGCTGACGTACGAGAAGGGCAGAGTCTTGTGGAAGTTGCACCGCGCCGTTATCGGTGTGAGCGTCGGGTCGTAATTGTTCCAGTCGAATAGGATCGGGGCGAAGGCCAACAGCGCCATGACGACCCACTTAAAAACGATCGCCTTTAGCGTCCTGGGCACCGTCACGAGCTGCGGGTACCTCGTTTGCCACATTACGGCGATGTAACGGTCGATGGTGATGAAGAATAGGCTGGCCAACGAGCCGCCGAGGCCTATCTCGATCGACGCGAACCAGGTGAGACACATGTACTTGTTGCTGTAGACGTATTCGTACGTGTAGGGGAGATAGCTGACGATGTACATCGGCAAGCAGAAGACCCCGGTCATGAAGTCTGCGATCGACAAGCTCAGGAGGAGATAGTTGTTTGGGTTGTGGAAGCCCGGGTACAGGAGGATCCCGAAGAAGACCAGGATGTTGAGCGACACGATAATAGGGATGTACAGGACGGAAACACTGACCAGGACGTAGTGGGCGATCTGGACATCACGGTCCTCTAGAAACAGGGACGAGTTGTCATGGTAGACATCCTCGAACTCCAGGCTGATGACCATTGCTCACAGGACGACCAGTAGGGAAGTCATCAAGCTGATGGACAGTGCTCACAGGACGACCAGTGGGGAAGTCATCAAGCTGATGGACACTGCTCACAGGACGACCAGTGGGTATTTCATTTTGATCTGTACTGTGAGTAGATAATACAAACGTATATATTTTACTGAGTGGATCCAATATGGAAGCTTTTTTTTAAAGGCATTTTAAATTATTCATACTATTTCGTAGAATTTAATGAACTCAATACCACGTGGCAATTGAGGGGCCCCCGCCACTTTTCGGGTTTGTTCAAAGTTGACGGTTTATTTTTATTTCAACATCAAAACCTTTGACCCCTTAAGTGTCAGGGGTCACGTGGACCACAGGTCCTATGCGGCAGTTCTGTATGTACACTGGATCTATAAATAAAATGGGAAAATACCATTTTTCTCTTTCTTCTGCACGGTGATAAATTACTGACGCCTCTTCTTGTTTTCTTTTATACATTATCCATTGTGTTTTTCACAATGTGACGATGTGATGGGATTTTTTCTTTACGACGTATCCGTTGGTTCCTAGACAGAAAATGGCCTCTCTCTCCACACGCACCTGGATAACCCAAGGGAACACCATATATGGATGATCAGCTTGGCACCAGTAGCGTCGCAGGAGATGCCGGAATGTGTTTCATTGTACTCATGTATCCGCCTGCTGGACTCCTTTTCCGGGTTTTGATTCCTTCAGAGTTTCCTTCTCTTAGCTGAGTTGCCAACCAAGGTTAACCAAGTTTGACATGGGATTTGGTGTGAATTGAACGCCAGATCAAAAGCTTAGACCACCCAGTACTCGCATTATATTAGAAAGTAAATTTATAGTGCCGAGGTTAATTATAATGGAACTTGATATTTACAGCTACAATGAAGTGCACACCAAACTTTCATCCAATCGACAACACATTGGCCCAACATGTTTCTCTGTGTGCTTGACACCCGCTCTCTTTGCTTTACGGACAAGTCCGGTCTTTGAGTCAAGTCGTCACTATGTGGCACTAAAATATAAGGGTAGGCTCTTTAACTTTGTTCTTTGTTGTTTTTTCTTTGTTGTTATTAGTACTGTAATATAAGTGTGGGGGGGGGGGGGAACTTTTTTTTTTATTTTTTTTTAAAATTTGTTTTTAATTTTTTAATTTTTTTTTTTTTTTTTTTTTTTTTNGGGGGGTTGTGTTGTTTTTTCCATCTTTGAATTTCCTGTTTTTTTAAGAACCGCGATGTTTTCATAGACCGGCTAATCAGATGTTTACTGTACGATCTTTTTTTTTTTTTTTTTGTTATCTCTTCTTGACATCACCGTTGACCACGAGTTTCAATAGCGTTGTCCACTGTACCGACACTGTCGGATTATTGGGCACTGTCAGTTTCATGGGCGCTGTCATGGGCACTGACTGTATCGTGGGCGTTGTCTGTGACTTGAGCGCCGTATATCTGTTTCATAGGCGTTGTCCATTACATAGGCGTTGTCTGTTTCATATGCGTTTTCTTTTACATGGGCGTAGCCTGCCTATTTCATGTGTGCCACAACTGTTTCGTGGACATGGTCTGTTTCAGTGGGCCAATATTTACATTAGGAAACGGCGTCAGCCAGTTGTCCAGCAAAAGCTCTTAATGAATGCCCTCCCCAAATTACTACCATCAATCCCGGAGCTCTTAATGAATGCAATCCCCAAAGTACTCCAATCAAAGATGGAGTTGTCCAGCAAAAGCTCTTAATGAATGCCCTCCCCAAAGTACTCCCATCAATCACGGAGTTGTCCAGCAAAAGCTCTTAATGAATGCCCTCCCCAAAGTACTCCCATCAATCACGGAGTTGTCCAGCAAAAGCTCTTAATGAATGCCCTCCCCAAAGTCCCCTAACTATCTAGCCGCCTTGAAGCGGCACTTTGGAGATCTCCTCTCCTGCCAGGACAGCCCCCGGTAGTAACTTCACACGATAGAAGAGCTTTACGGGGTCATCTCAGCCTGAGGACGCCCAGTCGGTCGGTGACGTTGTTCTCACAACCTTGAACCAGCACCGCTCACAACAGCATTTACGGCCTAATATCTTCCCCTGCCCATCCCGGGGAAGCACCAGGCGCCCTCTAAGAGAGTTTTCGCAAGTGAGTTACTACCTCGTCAATAGTTCACGAAGTAGCTGGGACGAAACGGCTGCCTAGGAACAGCCTCCTCAATGGCTCTATGTATAGAATCATTAGCATGAGACTGCTGCTGACCACCTCATGCCTCAGATCCGTCATCGGCAACATAGCAATCATGATCTCTACCCTCCGTTATTTCTGTTGCAGATATGACCACAGCTGACAAAGGCTTTTTAGTTCGCATTACTGTAGCTGTTACAATCTTGGCTGATACAATGTATGCCCTTTTGTCTGCCCACGCAGCGTGTATGCCCTTTTGTCTGCCCACGCAGCGTGTATGTCCTTTTGTCTGCCCACGCAGCGTGTATGTCCTTTTGTCTGCCCACGCAGCGTGTATGCCCTTTTGTCTGCCCACGCAGCGTGTATGCCCTTTTGTCTGCCCACGCAGCGTGTATGTCCTTTTGTCTGCCCACGCAGCGTCACGCAATGGGGGTTATGTGTGATATAATATTTTTATATTGGGTAATAATTAACTAATACTTACACAAACTAATACTTACACAATTATGACATCTGCACTGTAAGTACTACGTGTCGCATCAATTCAAAGATCAATTCAATTCTTTGTTACCCTTCTATAGATCCCGTCATTTTTGTAAACAAAGATTTCGGCTTATTCTTTTGCCAGAATAAAACAAGTTTAGCCTGGCCTTAGACGTTTTATTTTGAGGAAGTCGCCCATTTATGAATAGTGCGCAACAAAATAGTGCGCAACAAAAATCGAAACACTTTCTTTAAAGTTTAATTTGTGTGCATAAATTGGATTTCTGCCCCGAGAGTGTTATTTTGATTTTATTTTGCGTTCGTGTAATTGGGTCATGATTAAGGTATGTGTTTGTATTTTATCATCAGATTTTCATCAGTTATCTTGTTTTTTTTTTACTGTTATCCAGTAACGTCATTTGGGTAGGGCAGTGACGGACATTTACCCTGAATTTGCAGGTTGTATTTTAGTTGCTATGTAGGCCTACTGAGGCGCCTCCAGTATTAAACAACTTAACATGCCGACCAAGTTTTGGTTTCGCCCCCCCCCCCGAAAAAAACTGAAATGACGCTCCTGGATAAAGACATACGTAAATTGACAATGTATGTCTACATATAGAGTCACTCAACTATATTCGTATGAAAATGGGAACATTGTTTTTATTTATGTATAGTATTTATTTTATTATTTTAATATTTTTTTCATCATAGCTTTAAAACAATATATATATATATATATATATAGCTTTAAAACAATATATATATATATATATTAAAAATGTGTCCGTAAAAAATTCGTTTAGTTTTAGATCGTAATTGTGGAGATTTTTATTATCGTATTCTTACATTTCATCAAAATAATGTACCAATTTTAAATTGATCTCGGTTTGTTTTCAATTTTCGGTAACAGGTTTGACTGTTTGAACTGCAAACAACAACAACACCGTTTCACCATTACGCAGTTATAAGTCAGCACCTTGAAGATGCATAAACAAAGTCTTTTCATTTTACGCATGAGAAGTTTTCGAGCTCTAAATCATAAAAATGTCGAGGCAGTAACTCAAATATCCCAATGCAGCCATTACCATCAGGTACTGAACACTAAAATTTCTGTAGTTAAAATTAATTATGGTTTATATTTAATTATTTATATATAGTATAGAATTAGTCGTAATTAGCCTATTTATCGGAAATTTAGACGACATTCATGTGGATTACTAACTACGGACGGTCTGTTTTCGAGTTCGACTTAGCCTTGGGGTAACTAGGGCCAGGGACACCTGCCTAAGAGGACTTGGCCGGGCTTGCCCTTGGCCTTAGCCTTGCCTTTTTAGTCTTAGTTTAGTAGATGGAGATAGAAGAAGGCTCGGAAGGTCGCCATGTCCCTACCCTTCCGACTAGCACTAAACCATTAATTAAGTGTTAAAATATAGTTCCTTAGAATAACTGAAGTAGATAACTTTTGAAATGTGCTAGAGTAGAGTACGCCACAGTGCCAGTCACAGAGACTTAATTTTCATAACATTTAAACTTTTTAGACAGTGTTTTTGCCTTTAACTTTAACCTAATAAAATCCATAACAAAAATTATAAACTCTGCTCTGCACAATGAGTGACACTGCACATGTATTATACTCTAACATGTTAAAGTTCAGTGAAAATGGAAAAGTAAAAGCGTTTCCTTGTTTCACAGTTAACTTGTTTATATAAATAATACTGACTTATTTCATTATAATCATTATTTTACTATAACTACGAAAACTTTAAGTACAAATCAAAATCATCTTTTTTGTCCCAAAACAAAAACTATGGAACAATTTGTAAGAGACATAAAAAAAAAAAATTTAAAATGTACAACTTCATGCATCTTTTGTTATATACGGCTTCGGAAGCTTTAAATTGAAAAATGCTAATAATCGTTCGTCATCATTGGCTAACATTGTCATAATGTGAGGGGGGTTTGAATATAAAAGTAAAAATTAATATCTGGCCAAAGTCCCAGCCAAGTAAAGAATTTAAAATTAAGGGAAAAAAGAACTGTAACTAGTAAGATTGAAAATACCTACTCTATATAAGATGTATATTAAAAAAATTTAATTGCTTAAATATAGATGCACATACACACATGCAGTTGAATCTTGGTATTATGTGATATTTGGTGGTTGGTAGGGGGGGGGGGAGGTTCATTCAGGGTTTAACTATATTTTAATGTGAACTACTCCTATCACTACTAGTGCATCCCAGTGTGCCAGAGGAGACACCTATCAACTTACATATACCACACTCTCACATAAGCTTTGATTCCATGTGGACAATATTGGGATTTTTACAGCAAATAAAGCGGACATTATTTATGTCCAAATGATTGCATCTGGTAACACCACCCAGCCCAGCCAACATAATGGCTTTGGTTCTTTCTCTTTTTTTTTTTTAAATATCAGGAATGAAAGCCACAATCAAATTATAATCAAATTTCCCATCTGGAAAATGAAGTTAAATATTTTTAATACTTTTATGTACTTGGAGAAAGAAAAAAAGACATGTGTCAAAGGATATACAAATTTCATGAACCATGCCACTACAGTGTTCTATCCACATTCTTGTTATTGCAGAGTTCCACTGTACTGTAACTGAACTACAAAACTTATTCAATTCAGTTTTACACAAGAGAATAAAATGAAAAGTGTACCCAAATAGTACTGATGAAGAAGTACGTTTTTGCAGATTATTTTAGCTCCATTATCACAAATCATTAGACACCCCCTCAACCCCCCCCCCACCCCAACCCCCCCAAAACATAATTACATTACAAATCTCAATAGACTCAAAAGTTCAGAAGAGAACAGTTTTAAAAAAAAGAATAAAATGAAAAGTGTACCCAAATAGTACTGATGAAAAAGTACGTTTTTGCAGATTATTTTAGCCCCATTATCACAAATCATTAGCCCCCCCCCCAACCCCCCCCCCCACCCCAACCCCCCCAAAACATAATTACATTACAAATCTCAATAGACTCAAAAGTTCAGAAGAGAAATTCACTCTTTCCATAATTTTTTTTTTACTTTCCCACTCCCCACAGACCCGTCTCCTAGTTTTCAATGTAATTTATCCCAATTGTCAATGTCACTGCCCTTCGACTGTTAGCCTTCATGCTGTCCTGTATCTTGATGGGTCCAGATGGATGGTCATTCACACACTTGATGGTCCACCAGCTCTCCTCATTTCTGATAGTTCAAAAATGAAAACATTGAGTCAAATATAATCATCAATCAAACAGCCACAAATGGCAAAGAATGAAATTTAATATTTAAAATTGCTGTTTAGATAAAATTATGGTAAATATTACTGTAACTCAGTGCAAGTTCATAATTTATGGATTGCCCCAAAGTGGAGAATCTAAAGAAAGACAATAACCTTCATGTCAGCAGTTTGAGCAGAGCACTGGGGTTAGTCTAAAATAAATAGATTAAATAAATCACCTGACTGCATTGTAATTCAGAATTCCAACCAAATTTTAACTTGTCAAATAATAATGGAGTCTAACATTAGAAAAAAAACAACTAAACGCTTCTAAATAACAATGCAGTATGAATCAAAATACAAGTGAGATCACAGATGATCAAATGAGAAGAGAGCATTGGGAAAAGGGCTGGCCAATACCCAATGTGTTTTTTTATGAATCTGAAATATATACATCATTTTATGTTCCTTTTTAAAATTGATTCAAGACCTATTTAGTTATCTTATATGAATTAAGTTACATCTGCTCTTTATTAATTAGAAAATACTTCTGGTATCTTTTTGTTCAACAGTTGAGTGGAAATAACTCTAAACACATTAAAGTTAAAGAGACTTTGAACAGGAAAATAAGACCTCTGTTACAATTACAAGCACTCAGTGTGTATCAGGAAAGAACTTTCTGGGGCATTGATGTTGCATTTAACAAGTAGGTCACCACTTTATGCTATTTATAGTGTTTGCTTAATTAAAATTGTGAAGACTTTATTACAGAGGGAGTTCAAATCTAGCTAAAGACCTTCAAAGGCCCCTAGTCCTAGACCTAGACCTAGTCCTAGACAGTCAAAACTGTTCTTCCCCCAGTGACGTTCTTAGGGTATGTTAAGGTTGCATTTATTTGTATGGTTATGAGCTGTCCTTTTATTGTTTTACTGTTTTGGGCCTGACCTAGTGGTCAATATGCCACCACAAAGAAAGCTATCAAAATATTTTTAAACATGAGATTCATTTATAAAATACTCATTTTCTGAAAGGTATGTATGCTCTTGATAATAATTTGTGCAAAGAACAAATGAGTTTACCTCATTTCTAACCTCCATATTTGATGTTTTGTGTGTGTTTGTTTCTTCTGCAAGCTGTTTTTTCTTCCTCAGTCATTGTATTTCCCCATGAAAATACATCAGAAGATATTCTTTATTATGATGCTAGGAGTTTGATGTGAAAGTGACAGCTTTGCAAGTATATATTAACGTGTATTTAAATTAGGGTTGACGAGGAGAGGGTCAAGCTGGCAGGTGCAGACAGAGCTGCTGCAGAATGGGTCCTGAGGAATGGAGGCAGCATCAAGTGGAGCACATCAAGTACACAGCTTAGTGACTTCAACCTTTTACCAAGCACTGAATTTGAGAACTACAAACTTGAGGAGATAGACCTCACGGCCACTGACGTTATCAGTTTAGGATTTGAACATTTGAGTGAGACACTGCGTTTAGTTTTGACATTCTAATGTTTGGGGTTATTTCATGAAGTCATTTTAACATTTGAGTGAGACACTTGCCTTTAGTTTTGAAATTCTAATTTTTGGTTTATTTCATGATGTCATTTGAACATTTGAGTGAGACACTGCCTTTAGTTTTGACATTCTAACTTTTGGGGTTATTTCATGATGTCATTTAAACATTTGAGTTAGACACTGCCTTTAGTTTTGAAATTCTAATTTTTTGGGTTATTTCATGATGTCATTTGAACATTTGAGTGAGACACTGCCTTTAGTTTTGAAATTCTAATTTTTTGGGTTATTTCATGATGTCATTTGAACATTTGAGTGAGACACTGCCTTTAGTTTTGACATTCTAATTTTTTTTGTTTATTTCAGGATGTGATTTTCTAACATATTAGTAAACAGAATGCTTATTAGCAATTAATTTTTGTTTATCCCCTTTTGCAGAAAATTTGGAAGATGTCAAAAAGATTAAAATTCATTCTTGCCGCTCAGTTTCGGATGATTCCCTTGAATGTCTTGCATATGTCGGCTCCACCCTGAAATTCCTAGAAATAAGTAACTGTCCAAATATCACAGATAAGGGTTTGGACCATTTGATTCAGCTAAAGTAAGCTTTCAGTTATATTCTAACTTAATTACCAAATTACTTAAATATTTTTCTCCTAACCCTGCCGTTTGTTCCTGTGTTCATTGACCTTATTTACCACCCAAGGAACAATTTAATTTCTGTTATGCTGAAGTTGACCCACTATTTAAGTAGTATTCAAGTCCTGGATTCCACGTCAAAATATATGCATAATAAAAATCATAACCAAAGCGATTTATTTTTTGCTGTCTGAATTCTATGTCACATAATAGTAATAATCTATATATAGAGACGTTAATTAATGTTCTTTTTTCTTCCTTTTTTTCCCCTAATGACAGGAAGCTGGAACACCTTGTCCTTTATGACCTGCCAGCTGTACCTAGCTTAACACAAACTGTGTCTAGACTACAGAAATCAATGCCTTGGTGCAAAATTGATACTGCCCCAGACTCACAGAGTCTCAAGACTTGATTCAAAAGTGAATTAACATTTACCGGCTATTAAAAAAATAAGATATTACATAGTGTACAAAGATGGGGGAAGGCTTCTGTAATGAGAGAGATTGAATAGCTTAGTTGACCCCTCCACTTTAAGTTTAAGCATAAAAAGATGGCTTTTGTAAATGTTTTTTGGATTCCATCGGACCATGTGGCAGTTCAATTATTTTGTCATGCTCTTAGCTACTCTTTTTGTGGATACACAATTAATTAACATTACATAAATAAATCAGTTTTAGTGAAACTTGAAATAATTTTGAATTCATCAAATCAAATTCATGTTTTATTGTTATTTTTAAATCATAGTCAGCTTTCTTCCCCCTCCCTCCACCACCCTTTTTTTACATTTTTTTACATTTGAATTGGTCTGAAGCAGTCAGAGACAGACTGCTTTCTTTTATTTTGTATGGTTTATAGTAAAATATGTGTTCATATAACTGTTGATTTTACAAGTTAATTGCCCACATTAGGAAACTCGGACTGAACTATGTCCATATAGTTTTTTTTTAAATCTTAATTAAGCCAGTCTAAATATAAAATTGATGTGTGATAATTTGTTAATTTGTCTTAATAAAGTAATTAAACATTTCTTGGCTTTGAGTCACTTATCCAATAAAGCCATCATCAAATGTCTAGTGTTTCCGCTGAAGTTTTTCCAATGAATCCAGTAAGTCCTAAAACACAAACGGCTAAATCCTCCTCTTTTAATGAAATCAACAATAGCTTAGGATTTGTTTTTCATTTGTAATTTTATTTTTTATGACAATGGCAAAAAAAAAAGTTTTAACATGGCACAATGTTCAACTTAACAAAGGTACATAACTGAGTGAGATCTACATGCATATATATCAGTTGAAATATGTAATTGCTTCTTTCATTTAAAAAAAAAAAATTGTAGACAGCAAGAAATGAAAATTTGAGAAGCTGTGAAATTGTATTTTGACCAGCAATTCAATTTAAAATGAAACTGATGAGACCAGACCATCCCGGACACACTCTTTCACATACTATCTACAAATAAAGTGTTTTTTTTATTTTGACTTTGACAATAACAACGTTAAGATGACCAGGGTTGATGTAATGAATATAAATCAACATTTATTTTTTTTTACAATTCTTGGGCTGGAAGTCTTATATTTTTTTCAAAACAGAGGTTATAGATATACATAGATTTAATATCTATACGAAGATTTATAGATTTCATTTGAAATCTATAAGCATAAACCAGTCGTGAAAATACACAATTTTTATTTGAATTTATTTATACTTTTTCTCCTGCGTATAAATTACTAGTATAAAACAAACTACTACAACCCTGTAAAATGGGCCCTTTAACACATGGCCTAAAATGATTTCACCTTAATAAAGCTTTAGTTGAACCAATTGAGAGAAATCAAGACTGCCCATATTCACAAAATATTTATACTGCCCCACTTTAACATTGTTATCGATGGAGCACAAGAAGTTGCAGATGTTGAACATGTTGACTAATTGTGCAACTATCACTAGGACAACCCACAGAGTGTGGACACCACGGTCTATACTTGTAACTGTTCCCCAAATGTTGCAGCCTTACTCTGCCATCAGATACAGAAAATCAACAAGAACATTATATTAATAAGAAACGCACAACTATGGTGAATTATGATCGATAATCACAATGGAAAATTATCTTGCTTTGCAGCTAATTTTTTTTTAAAACCAAAATTGAATTAGATACCCCACCACCTAAATAGTGAGCACTTTTGGTGCCAACTCCTCAGTGGTGCACATTTAAGCAATCGTCAACATGGTGCAAATATGAAATTAATAGTAAAACATTAATGAACAACCCATCGAGTGCACAGTGAACAAGGAGTATATCAAAGGAGGGACAAAACTGATGAAACGTTTGATATGAGTTGGGCTTTCCAATACCACCATCAGATCCCAATATACAAGACATTAGACGTTTGAATATCAGTACGCCACATGTTACAAGTTTACAAAAGTATAGTTCTGTGTGAATAATACAATTCCTGGCCAAAAACAACAACATTAATTAACCAAACTGATTCAGAAATAATTCATATAATCTGTATAAGAAAGAAATCTGAACATGAACTTCCACGCCTAAAAAGTAAGCACAAATGTGTAGATATGGTCTCAAAGTGCCCTGGTATTGGAGCCCGTGACAAAACTGAGATGAGTCACAAACATTGTAGTATTGCACATTTGAATGAGCGTGTATTACATCAAGTAAAGTGAGCACAAACGCTGCTGTGTGTTTTTACATCAAGTAAAAATGAGCACAAACATTACAGCTGATATTTTGTTTTTCCTTTATGCTAGGTGAGATTTAAGTTGTTTGTTAATCCTCCACACTAAACTTATAAAAATATGCTTATTTCCCCCCCCCCAACCCAATTTCATTTATAATTAAGTTTATGGTATAGGTAAGTACTGAAAAAAAGCATAGCTTTATAAAAAATACATAACTTCCACAGGAGCTTCACAAAATTTTTACTTAATTTTTCTATAGCAGCAGTTTTTGAAATGTGTGTTTTCTATAACTTACAGTAATCAAAATGGTCCCAAAAACAGCAATCAAATGTTTATCACATTGCAGACTCCTTTACTCACATCCGAAATATCTAATACTACCTTTAGTGTCACATCATTTAATTTTCTCTTAGTTACAGCAACTTGAACAAAAAAAAATTTTAATTTACAAAATAAATATGTTTTGATAAGTGAATCCAGCAATGTTAATGTTTAATTTTATCATAAAAAGTTGCCGCTAGCTTGCACATGAATAGTAATGAAATTCCAGAAAATAACAAAACGTAAATCAATTAAGGACTGGAGCATAACTGATCTATACAAAAAAAAAAGTTTAAAAGTAATCATTAAAAAATTATCCAATTTTCTTATCCTCTTTGCAGATTGTGTTCTTTCGATATGAGACCTGCCTATTTTAAAAATGATAAAAATCCATTTTTCAGTGATAGTGTGATTCTTCACTCTTTGCGTCATATGCAAATTTTTTAACAAAACAATCAACATAAAAAAATATGCTTTTTTGCCCATTTTTATGTCAAAGACCAGGTATGTTTACACTAAAATGGTTTCACGGATAAGTTTTGTACATTTTTAATTTATTTTTCCCTTTCGAACACTTCAACAACTTCTATTTTGAGTTATGTACATGTCATTGATTAAACACCACCCTACGGAGGACCATATTTTGGGATCACACATTCCAGTCCCTTTTATTTTAGTTCTTCTTAACAACCTGGTCACAACATTTCTTTCATGCTTGTGTCTTAGCTTTTAAAATCAAATAGATCCTATTTATTCAAACATCTGGTTTGTTTAATAGACAATAATGTATATGAACATTGTAGTACTTCCACTTTTTTATGAACTTTTTACAGGTTTTTTTTTTTAAATTGAATTTTTGTACAGTTTTCAAAAATAAAGTCCACTATAAAACAATAAAGTCCACTATAAAACAATCTCAACTGAAAAATAACACTTTATTTTATTACATCCCAGAAAACCTTTGTTTGTTTACCAAGTGCAGTAGTAGACTAGAGTTATCCCTCGGCTTTAAGCTCATGTGTCTCATGATGATATGTAAAGCTGGCTTTATCACAGTGGATAAATCGTGGCCTTCTTTAGGCATCGGACATGACAAATACATGCTATAAGAGAAGTAGGATTTATCCAAGAACTGAAAATGTATAACCTAATATCTCAAACTTAAGATTGACAAAAATAAAAAAAAACATTTTTTTTACAGAATTAAATTTGATATTCTGCCTGGCTCTGGCATAGAATTAAGAAATATTTACGACTTCCTTAGAAATTGTTTGGATTCCAGGTGTAAAGAGAATTGTCAAATTCTGACCATAGTTATACACTTATATAAATGCCTCTTGCTTCCTACAAGATGAAAATAATAATCAGATATTTCTTTCAAACCAGGTTCTAAAATTTTGACGACATTGTCATTTCTTGAATAGGACATTACAGAAAATTATTTCCTCATCTTATGAATGAGTAAGAATTATAGAAAAATAATTCCTCAACTTTTCTTTTTGTTGGGTTGACATCAATTCAAAATTTAAATCAAGGCTTTTTCCTCCCCTGTGAATTATTACATTTTATTTCATTTGTATATTCTCAAGGTATCTGTCCAGCAGTGACATTTAATAAGCAGCTGTTCTGTTGGCTTTGTCCCCAATCAGGAAATAAAAAGTTTAAAACAACCCAAAAAATGTATGGGTATCTACTGTTCTATATTTAACATGTCTGAAATAACAGGAAAATATCTCAATTGCGTCCTGAACCCAGAGTAAAGAAAAATTACCGAGGAGGGGGCGGTGGCGCGACCTTATACTTGATGGAACTGAAGAGGACTGAGTACTCTTTGCCTTTACCAAGTACACAAAATTCTAAAATCCAGATGATAAGATTAATAAATTTATAACAAAACTACTTTTTATATTCGCAATGAGCCATTGCAATTGTAAGAGGTTTTGGGGCCTTAACAATCATGTAAATGTGACATTTTTTCATAAACTGCACTATGTTTAGGCAAAGAAGCCTGCAGTAGGGGATCCTTAAAACTGCATGCATTTTTATAATATGAAACATCCACTAGGCCAGAGTCAAGAACAAATAAAAAAGAAACCCAAAAAAGGATTAAACCCTATACTATAGGAGCACTTATGTGATCTTATGCTCAATTGAAATGAAAAACAAACACATGGAAATGCAAAAAACAAAACAAAAAAGAATGAAAAGTTAAGGTGAATGACCAGATTTTGAAAAGCGACTTTAACCAAGACTTAATAAAGCTAAGTTTTTTTAAAAGAGATGCATTGCCATCATTGCTGTTGATGATGATGATGATGACATCAACCACATCTCTCTCTTCAATCAATATTTTTTCTTTTAAAGTCCATTGAGCAGAAAAGAATCTCATGAGATTTATTATATGTTTGCTCCTTTCTACTCACAAGGTGATATCATTTATCTTTTGCCTATATTTTTAGCTCAGAAAGTCTGGCTATGAAAAGCTGCTCCATCATATAACCAGTACATAACGCCGCATGATTCTTCACAAACTTGTAAACTTAAGAACTTTTTAAAGAAAATTTGTATTCCTCCGACAAATATTATACTTAAATTTAATTGATTCTACTTATTTAGGTTTCACAAAAACTGCAGAAAACATAACATGGAACCTGAAATTTTCTAAATGTTAATTCTGGGTTAGTAAAAACTTTTTACTTGATGACAAATATGAAGAGAAAAAAAGGCAAAGAATTTCGAGGCAGAAATGCATTTTGACGATAAAAAAAATTAATTTAAAAAAACAAAAGCAAAAAATAAATGTTATTCCATAAAAATCTAAAGTTTTGCTAAAGGGAATTTATGTACACTTTTTCTCATACAAAATTATTATCATTATACATCTCATGTAAGTCCAAAATGTATAAATACAACAAATAATTGTTATTTCATTAAGGCTGGGTACACTGAGTAGTCCATAACCTTAAACATCACAGCTTACGGTAGAGGGCCGTGTGGGGCAGCACACAAACACACAAAAACTAGCCCAACCCGGATACTTTACACTCAACTCCACTTAAGTCAAAATCTGATAAGTCATCATTCATTTAAGTCATTCAGTTGGTTTTTTTTTCTAGACTCCACTGACTGGGTATGTATATCATTAGAAATGACTGGATCTGGTAAGCAGAATGTATGTATAAAACATTTATTAACAACACATATAAAAAATAAACCAGTGACATCAGGTTGGTTTTGATATCATTTTCATGGTCAGCATGAAAGTCTTTTTTTATCCTTATATGATGTATAAATAGATTTCAAAATATCAGTTTTTCATAGAATAAATGCACTGAATATCTATCCCAATGAAATGATCTCTCATCAGAAGATTTTCCATTTAATCCAAAGAATGAAATTCAAATGATCCCATTTTCACAATTTTTTTTAAAAAGGAAAAACCAACTGGTTAAGGTGTTACTGATGCGGCTAATTACTGAGGGGTGAAATCTCTGTCACTTAAGTAGATCGCAGCATGGCATTAAGAATTAACATTGCGTTTCTTGATCAATCAGGATGATGATACGTCTTAATTAAATCATGGAACTTCTTCAAAGATGATTCAATATAAAATATTTTTTATTGACAGCCTGGACTCATCATGTTGTTGCGCTTAAATTAAATAATGGGAAAGATATTTTGCACATTTTCTCCACCATTATCTCCGTCAATTATGTTGGTATAATATCCTAGATTGTTAATAGTTCATTAAAAGAAAATGTAACCACATTTTTAAAAAAAATATACAATGATCATGTCCCAAATCACTTATGTCCTACCTTAAGTTAATGTTGGTATGGTTGCTATGGTTTCAGTCAAATCTATGATAGATCAGTGACATCTTAAGTGTCCATGTATAGAACAATATCAAGTAGGGGAATGTCAATACTATCACATGTCAGGCCAAGGATGTCATCTCTCGTCGGTTTGCTAAACCCAATAAGATCAAATTCTAAGTTACTACATGTAAACTGAAAAAAAAAAAACAACAAGAAATGTATTGTCTGCAACCTTGTTAATATATGTGACAATGACTACAAGTACAAAAATAGAATACAAGAATGGCCATATTTGATTTGTTTAAAGTCTTTTTTTTCACAATGAGACACAGTGAACATGGTGGAAGAGGTGTTGCAGTGTCCAGTTTACAATTTTCACTGCCAAAGTTATACAGAACACGATGAGCCATGTTGGCTCATACCTGTCGACTAGAAACAGGTTTATCTTTAAATGAAAAAAAGAAGAAAAAAAATTATCTTGCGGTTAGAATTAAGTGATGTGCGGCTCCATTCCAGTTAATCCCAATTTGAAGAAAAAAAACAGCACGACGACGTTAAGGTGAGCATGAATTTCACAAATAATCACATTGATACTTCCTGTTCACAACCCCTGCATTATGGAACTTGTAAAAATACCATCAGACAATTAAGTGACACCAACGTCAACTAATGCACCGAGTGTCATTCCACGGGACCACAGTTTTGGGATGGTTTATGTGGATTTTGCAAAGCTTGTTAGTTGGCGACGATCCGGCCAGTATTTTTCCTCTGCACAAAATTGTACAAGTTGAACATTATGTCTCATCTTAAATGCAATTGTTTCAAACAAATTATTGAAAGAAGAAAAACCTCACCCCTCTTGTGTGCTGTTGAAGAAAATGAATAGATCAGTACCGCTAATTTGACCTCGATGAGAATGAAGTGTTTTAACTCCTCCAACATGCCTGGGCAGTATTATCTGTACGTCGGCAAGCAGTTGGCCAGGACTTGAGACAAAATGGGAAGCGCTTGATACGTCCGAACAGATACATGTAATGAATGGGGAGTACCCTGGATTGGCTCTCTGCTTCTCTTTAATACACTCACCTCAGCTTGGTGTTCAATGTTGTAGAAATTCACTCATCCCCATCACAACTTTCAATACATCATCTTAGCACACTGAGAGCCACCGGCAGCAAGCACTGGCAGCAACTTGGACCCCTTTTTGAAGCAATAATAGAGCCAAGGCGGTGAGGGGAATATCAGTTTAGATGTGGATGGCTGCATGTTGAAATGAAGAAGATATGAGGTGTTGGTCTTTGTTCATCAGGCCTTGTTGAGAACCAATGCTGGTCTTTTATACAAACAATTCTGTGATCTCAGATATGGAACCAGATTCAAATAAAATGTGTGGACTGTTAGCCCCTCTCCCCATCAGGACTAGCACAGTAGAATAATTGTTAGGTCCGTGGCCCGCACCCCAGACATAAAATTGAAGTGGAAGATGCCCAAGTGAATAGGAATGTCCTTGCACTTGCTCATGGGATTACCAAGCCCACATTCTCCCATAAAACGGCCATGGTCTTCCTAATGCTGAGTGAAGATAGGCAGCATGTATTTTCCTTTCTGTGTTGTGATGTGTACGAATTGTGTTTGTCTGTGCGATGACTTGTAGGGTGTGCTACACTGTGTAACACATACACACATAGATGTTTAATTCTTGAAGGTTGAAGAACACCCCTGTTTTCTTGATGTCACCTTGAAATGTTCAGTGTTGACAGCACAGAGACAAGCATACACAGAATTTGTCAACAAGGTTAAATAAACAGTTACTAAATAGCACTGGCCCTAGCTGCTCTTCTTGCGAAGATGATCGAGATATGTCCTTGGAGGCAACTCTGGCCTGTCCAAATGTTCTTCATTACCATTGAAATCTACTTGGCTCCGGACTAAACTGTTCTCATGTGATGAACTCGAGTTGCGCGGGTGGGTCATGCTCTGTGAGCGAACAGCCGCCCTCCCATTTTGGTGAGGCATTGAGTCTCGCCTCGGTGGTACAGGTGGGGGCCGATCGCTATCTGATCTGGGAGGTGGAGTGGGGGGTGGTTCGAGGAGAGGGTTGCCACGCCTGGGTGGCAATGGTGGGGGTGTATTGCGACGAAGTTCTGGCTCTTCCTGTATAACACTGGCAGGGGAGAGTATTGGAGGACTGGAGCCAGGTTCTGAAACAAAAACAAAAAACAGTTTATTTGATATCAGTGGTCCTCAACCTTTTAGAGGGTAAGGGCCATTTGAATGGTTGGTTACATTTTGATACATCTAAAATAAATTCTCGAAAATAATTCTAATATTGTATAAAAAGATGAGAACTATCAAAAAGGGCTATAACGATTCAATGCTTTGAATGATAGTAAACAATGTCATGAAATGTAATTCTAAACCTTAAATTTATTCATTATCACCACCATAAAAGAAATTTTATGCAAACCTTTAAACAGTACCAACAAATAGCTATAAGTGAAAAAATGGGATGGATCTGTCAATTAATGTCTTATTCTAATATAGAAAACATGTTTGGCTCTATTTCAAAAGATGGATCTGTCAATTAATGTCTTATTCTAATATAGAAAACATGTTTGGCTCTATTTCAAAAGATGGATCTGTCAATTAATGTCTTATTCTAATATAGAAAACATGTTTGGCTCTATTTCAAAAGATGGATCTGTCAATTAATGTCTTATTCTAATATAGAAAACATGTTTGGCTCTATTTCAAAAGTGGAAATTACTTCATCATCGGGTCAGTTTCAAATGTTCAGTTAGGTTTGTGTTAGGTTTTTGTAAAAAGTAAGTAGCAACAACAAAATTTAATCATAACTATATATATATTTTTTTTTTAAAGTAATTTCCATAACTAACCAGGGGAGGTTGCAAAAACGTTGTTGATGGTACCACCGATTGCAGAAGGGCTTTGTGGTTTGTTGGGTGATGTCGGCGTGACACAGACAGACTGGGAGGAGTCATCTTCCTCTGACATTTTCGGAAGAGACGGTGGGATGACGCTGCTCTTGGTGCTGCTACCGTGCCTGTTTGTGCTCGGTTTGATGCCAGGGGACTTGAGGCAGTCTGGGTTGAATTTCTTGGGCTGGTGGATGGGACACACAAAAATAAATTGTGGAAATTTACACAAGAGATCAAAACACAGTCCAATCAGCCATGGTAGTGAAGGTGCTGTTAAGCTTACACCATTGTTCTAACCTTAAGAAGCTATTGCTGAATTAATTTTTTTTTTTCAACCAATTTTGTAACGTGTTAATCAAAACCTTAGAGGCAAGAAAATCTAAAATTTTATTATAGTCTTTTATGTACTGCAAATATCCACTTCAAAAGAATAGTTCAAATTGCATTTTTTTTCAGTAACAAAAAAAAATGTTTTTAAGGTATACAAAGTAGGCAATCTTCTCCAGAATGATTTTCACTCCCTTCTGCAATAATAATGTATATAATAAAAAAAATAGCAACCAAGTATTTTTTGAGAATTCAGGTTGATATAAATGGTATTAAAAAACTACTTGAGAAGCACTCACAAATCTCAGCAACTTCCCATCCCTCGGCTCAATTTCCAGGGATGTCTTGTACAAGTAGTCCTCCAGCTCTTTCTCTGACATGCTGCGTTCTTTTAAGGGATCCAGTACAGCAAAGAACTCCTACAAACCAGGACCACAATTTAGAAACATGTTGTGTTACAGTGTAATATGGTTTGCTTTTATAATCTGCTTCACTAGCCTTTCAGTTTAAAATAAGTATTCCAAGCTCTTACTATATCTTGCTTCTTTTCCTTCGCCATCATCAACATCCCAACCCAGCAGCCATTCGGGCAAGTGCTTTTCAGGCATAATTTTTTTGCTTCACATAGAATTTTTTTTTTAAATTGCATAAAAATACTCTAATCAACAACCCATTTAACTCAACTGAAAATACAATAATTTTATCTATTAACTCAAGTGCTGCAGTTTTTTAGCATACCCGAATGGAATTCTCCTGATCCAGACAGTAAGGTTGGTTCTGATACTGCTGGATCTCACCAGTTATTTCTGCTACTTTCCTTCTCTTGCTGAAGTTGATGATGCCCTCGGGCGCATTGGCCACAAAATCTGGGTTGCCCTCCTCCGTCTTAAGAATGTTGGTCAGGTACATGCCTAAATAAATATCAGGTACCTTCGGTTTAAAACAGGGATAACCAGTCAAACATTTTATGATGAAATTTCAGTGAGTCTATAGAATTTCTCAGATAGCTGCTAAAACAACTGTGATGTCTTAATGTTCAGGCCTGGTTTACATTGAAAAAACACAGAAATTGTCATGGGGGGGGGGGGGGGGTTTTAAGGGTTATATTTTAATTGGATTTTATTTTTAAAAATTTAGTACGAGTTCAGCTGAGAGACATAACAAATGAGCAACTTGCTCAACTGAACATTGTACAACAAAGCTCACGTGTGTCCTATGTGGGGAATAATCAAAAACCTTTTGTCGCTTAAATTTAGTAGCCAATGTTATAACAAGATATGCGCCACAAAACAACTGGCACACACCTTGATACGTAAAATAAAACTATTGCGACACGAAACACTAGGAAATGTTAAATAAATAACTTGTGAGACTCGTCGAGACTTACCGAGGAATGGAACACAGGGAGGGTTGATACTCCTTAATTTTTCAATATACTTTTTGAAATGGTCATTATTGAGTTCTGAAGCTTCTTCTAGGGCCTTCTGGTATTTGTGAGGCAATTCCTAGGTAAGTTAAACAAATACACATTGACAAAATAGGAAAAAAAACTTAAAAACAAGACTTACGGTGTGTTTCAAATAGTGGTCAGTAACTCTTAAGTGATATAATGCAAGTCTATGATCAATTATGCCCACAATGTAATGTACTAAATACAGTCAATTTTACCAAAATACATTCACTATTGGAGACTGCATGAAGTTAAGAGCAGGGACAACCAAAAATATAAGTCTCTACGAGAGCATCCTAAGCCTACAAGTCACATTGCCCCGGTGCCATAATGTAGTTCAAATCACCTTACAGTGGTCCAACCAGTATTACTCCCATCCTAAGCCCTTATTGCATGGAAAGATTTCAACCATTGACATACACAAGTTCCTCTATTAAATAATAAAAACGCAATCATCAACTTTCAAAAGTGTTTTTATAGACCCCCCAACTAAAGTGCAGCAAAGACTGAACCTATAAGTCAAAAGACTAATGAAGTATACAATATTCTGTAGGTTTTTATTTGAACTCATGACTTACTTTTTTGGTATGCTCCAACCTAAAGACTGAGGCCGAGTTCAGTGCTCCAATCACCTCAAGAACGCCATTGAAATTGTTCAGTTCTTGGAAGACCATCATGACCTCAATGACCCGAGACACCACAGCAACTCTCTCCTCCGGGTTCATCGTTTCCACAATGAAGAGCTCCAACCAGTATGTGAACTGAAAGTATTTAAACATTGACAGGTTGGCCAAACAGTTTCCTTTTGGGCATGCTTATTGCATATTAAAAAGACCAGAATTCTAATATATAGCATTATCCTGTAGTAGTGGTTTGATAAGCCCAAAATTCTAATATTTAACATTATCCTGTACTTTTTGTTTGATAAGCCCATAGTTCTTACATTTAAAATTATCCTATACTTTTGGTTTGATTAGCCCAGAATTCTTACATTTAGCGTTATCATATACTTGTAGTTCATTAAGATTTTATTGGCTATGGAATCAATGGTTGAAGAAAGATTTAATAGCGATAAAAGAGAATTGCGGCAAGTCTGTTTGGTATCTTACATTAGTAGAAAAATGAATCATCTTGAGCAAATTAGGTGCTGTCTGCTGCTTGTCTTTTTTCATCCATGGCATGCCAACCAACTCTGATGGCTTGATGGCTCGGTATAAGTCAAACTCTAACAATGTCACCTGGCGGGCGATTTCAATTGGATGAAGCTACAAAAGAAGAATATTAAAGCATAAAATGAAATAACATGTAATAAAAGATTATTGAAGTGGTACCTGTATATAGACTTGTAAATAACTTCAAGTATTTCATTTGATATATTAACAACATTTTTAACTTTTAACTAGGAAAGGGACACCAACCTTCTATTTTCTAAATTATCATTTAAACATGGGTCTAAAAATATATATTTTTTAAATTTTAGATTTCATTTTAAGAAAGCTCTTTTGTAATCATGCTTACGGTCATTAAGTTGAAGTCTTCAGGTTTCTTCGCTATGAACCATTCAATTTTTGGCTTGGTCTCTTGATATGTAAACTCTCTCTCAGTGTTAGAACTCTCTTGCTGTGGAGGTAAAAATTAAATTGATTAAAAAAGGACATTTATAACAAATAAAATTACTTCATCAGTAGGCTGACCGATTAAATCTTTTTTAGAAATAAATATCCTTTCAGAAATGATACTCACCTTTCTTTGTATACTTTTGGAAATAATATCGGCCATTTTACGCATGGCCTTGCCTTTGATAGAACGCAGGAATTCATTGAGTCTGTCCAGCAGCTCAGGGTCCCGCTCAAAGTCATAAAAATGGTTGTCCACCCAGTGACGGAAAACATTGGCCACCCTAAGGTAAGGAATGCTTTGTTATTAAGAAATGAAATTATTTCAAGTGACGAACAAGCAAGGATCAAAGGATCAGCTTGCATTAGTCATAGTGGTCGCCGTGAGCAATACTTTTCCTACAGACCAACATACCAGGGAAAAATAGTTAAAATGCAATAATGCTATTTAAATGCTAGCTAGGAATTGGGAAGGATGCACTTATCATTTGATTAGTTTTCTCATAAATCACATGATGGTTAAACATATTATTTTTTTTTTCATTCTTTTGAAATTATTTTATGAATAAAACTTTCAAAGCAGTTTCTCAAACCAGTTTTTACTAATGGTTTCATAAAGATAAACTTTTTTAATATGTGTAACCTAATACATCCAGTTTCTTTCTACCTAAATTGTACAGGTTTGATATACTCATTCCGAAATCGCTTGAGGTCTTCTCTCAACTTCAGAGCAGCATTGTCATCCACACTACATGTTACACTGTTAAACTTGGGTTCAGGGATTTCAAAACTGTTGGGCACAAAAAAATAAGCGATTGTTTGGTTTTCCATGCGTTTATAAAAAATAATACAAAATTTTAAAATTGTTGAACATAAAAAAATAAGGCAAAATTTAAAAAGTAAATTGTTGACCATTTTGAAATCAGATGTTCACTGGAACATAAAAAGCCCCAATTTCTAAATCCTTTATATTAACTTCCCTTTTCTTTGTATGTTTCTATGTTTAAGGAAAAATCTTCAGGCGACTACTTGACCAACTTCTTATCATCATATCAAACTCGGCACACAGATTCATTGCTAGTGTCAATATTCTCAAATTTTCAGCCCAGCCCCCAAAAATCTTTTTTTCATGTTTGTCAGGGGGATGATAAAGGAAATATGATACCACTGATTACACAATAAAGAATTCCCAATAACTGTGCTAAGTGAGATTCTTAAAACTATCGCAAGTGCGTTTGGTGAGTAATATTGTCTACTGTTTGTCTGAAATAGTTGGTGTACTAAATATACATTGTAAAAGCGGGTGGGTCATCAGAATATTAACATAAAATAAAATAATTAAAAAATTCATATAATATACAGGATTTATATGACAAACTTTGTTTTTAGCGGTTGTTTAATGGATGCTAGAAGACGTGCTAAGAGGTTAGATATCCCAAACAAAGGTTTTTTCTCCTTTTCTATTTTTCCTTCAAAAATTTATAAAATTGATATTTACATAAAAAACAAATTACCGTTTGACCAGCAACTCAAGAAGTTCCCTGGAACTGCAGAAAGACCGGTAGGTCAGTAAAAATGTGCGTAAGAAACGTGGGTCTGCATACATATGGTAAGTTAGCCTCTCCACCAGTTTGACAAGCTGACCACCCTATTGGGATGAGAGGATAAGATGGGATGAACTAATTTCAGGGAGAAACCTCTCAAAATACACTTAGGGTTGGATTTTTATTTTTTAATTGTGAGCCTTTTATGTCTGCTAATATATATTTCAGACAAGACAAAGTGCTGGGACTATTAATTTCCAAACTAGACATAACTCTATAGTTTACTGAATGGTGACTCAGTAACTCTATAGTTTACTGAATGGTGACTCGGTAAATCTATAGTTTACTGAATGGTGACTCAGTAACTCAATAGTTTACTAAATGGTGACTCCGTAACTTTATAGTTTACTGAATGGTGACCCAGTAACTCCATAGTTTACTGAATGGTGACCCAGCACCTATTTGATGCTCACTTTTATCAGTGGACTTTCATGGGAGGAGTCCTGGTTGTCCTCAAAGATAATGTTCTTAACTGAATCCTCAATGGCAAACTCATAGTGCTGGGGAGATGGCAGGACTAAAGGATGGTTCTTTTCTTCCTCTCTCAGCTTACTGTCCAGACTTCGCTCCAGCATGCTGGTAAAGTCAAACAAAATGGAACAATGTATTACTGATCTACATTTACATAGGTGATTACCTCTAGCCTACCACCTTATTATGAAACTCTAGACTCTCCAAGACACTCCATTAAGATTTAAGCTACATGCTTAAAAAGATATGTCAACATTAGGGATGCATTATATCATTTAAAAATCTTATTTCAAATGTAACTATTATTGGACTATCTAATTATTATTGGACTATCTAATTATTACTTGAACTTCATTAATAAATTATAAAATAATAGAACATACATTAAAAAAAAAAACTATATTTTTAAATAATAATTGGTAATCAGATTTATCATTTACTCCTAAAAAATAATGCAATTTTATAAAATTTTATATGCATTTTATAAGCTCATGTTTATAAGCTGATGAAAGAAACTAGAGACATTTGTCATAACTTACCTTCTTGTCTGTAGAGACACTAGTGCAGCCATCCAGTTGGTTTTTTCATCAACAGTTTTAGCTTGTAAGACTATGTGCATATGTTCACGGGGATGGATTTCAAATGCATTTTTTAAATCTTAAAAGAGATAAAAGAAATAAAAATCACAGGTGTACATTTTATCCTGCTTCATAAAAGTTTGTGGTAAGCCAGCTTTATCGGCAGTTCTTGATTTAGAAAGTCTGAGATACTGCAACAACAAATGGGCTCTACAACTGTTGCTAACTTTAGAAAATTATCACTTTATACTAAATTTAAATATTCAAGCTTGGATACTTTTCTTAACAAATCACCCACAATATGTCAAGGTAAATGACCAATTATCTCTAAAATAATAAGAGAAATAAGCAGCGCGGCGCCACAAGGCTGCATTCTCTCCCCTCTAATGTATACAATCCAATGATATTCAGAGCTGAAGCGACAAAATTTGCTGATGATACCACCATCATTGGCTTCATATCTGAGGGAGAAGGCTTATACCGCAACTTAGTTGCAAGCTTTATCAATTGGTGCAATGAAAATTTTCTCCAGCTGAATGTCTCAAAAACAAAGAAAATGGTTGATGATTTCCGGAGGGGGAAACACCAGATTACAGATCTCACCATAAAAAATCGAAGTGTAGAGGAAGTAGAGGCATATAATTACTTAGGTGTCATCATTAATATTAAGCTAACATGGCATGAGCATTGCCAAATGCTGTATAAGAAATTCAACCAAAGACTGTTCTACCTCAAAAAACTGTACAATTTTGGCATAAACAAACAAGTCTTTAACTTATTCTACAGTGCAACAATTGTGAGCCTACTTAATTTCAATATTACCTGCTGGAGTGGTAATTCATCGTCTGATATTTAACATCGAATGAACAGACTAATCAAGAAAGCTAGGAACATAACACAAACTAAACATCCTTCACTTGAAGAACTTTTTGAAGAAAGATGTTATTGTTAAACTAAACTAATTTTCAATTATACATCCCACCCTCTTCATCACAGATAGTTAGGATCAGCCCGTTCGGCATGAATTCTTTCTCTCAAGCCGAGGACTGAAAGATTCAAAAATTCTTTTGTCCCCCAATCTGTACGAATTTATCAGCGTGCTTCCCTGAAGTCACAAATCTTAATGAGAACTAAAAAGTCTCTGATATGGCTAAGAAAATTCACTGAATGGCTTTTTTTTTCCACTAGTGAAATTATTTAATGTAAATGTCTTGTTCAAATTGTTTTATTTATGTGCTGAAAATTTACAATGCAATCAAAAAACATTTCCATTTGTTTGGATCAATAAATGAATCTTATCTTACATTATTTAATGATCTTATAATATATATATTTAAAACAAAACTAATTTTTTTTTAATGCTCTCTGTTTCTACAATTATCCATATCATATTTAAAAATACAGACTTAAAGATATGATTAAAGTCCCATTGTCTCCATTCCTAAAAGACCGACACAATACTGCTTCTACCTGATACATTATTTTTTGCTTCAATGAATCTTACATCTACAGAAATTTTTGTAATTTTATAATACAATCCTCAATGAGAATTTGTAGAGATGCAAGCCAAAATACTTTAAGGATAAGGTAGAAATAAATTTTAAAAATTAGATTGACAACCTAATGATCATCTTACCATCAGTATCTTCTTTGTCTACAACCTCCACCTTGCGAATTAAGAATTTCTCCTTGAGTTTGTATTCCGAAACCGGCCCAGCACTGGAGGTGCGTCGTGGGTTGGTCTTACAAAGGATGATCAGGCCATCAAACAGGAAACAATATCTTTCGGGATTTGTTCGCCGACCAGTCACTTTAGTTAATGGTCCCTCTGATGGATTTAAAATGGAGTGATTAATTTCAAGCAGTAAGGTAACAAATTTTTTGACCCAATAAATATGGTTACAATTGCTTTTCAAGTGTTAATTTTAAATTATTCATAAATATGCAAGAATTTGATCTTTGAGGTAAATCTTTTTTTAAAACTTCACAACTATAAAAATTATCATCATGCTATCATTAAATCTGTATTGCAAATCTTTTTAACAGTATATTTGTAATCAGACAAGTCAACTGTCAATTCTCACCCATGATAAATTCACTGCACATCTGAATAATGTCTTTCCCATCCCAACCATCTATACTCCTCTGAATTTCTTGCATTTTTTGGACTGTTGCAGCTCTTGAATGGGCATGCATCCTGAGAGAAAGCTCCCTGCAATTATACAACAAGAAACTTATCACCACATACAAAAAATGTATGACACAGTTTTGCATTTTTATTGCACACCAAACAGCCTCCCCATGTCACATAAAAGAGTGAGAAGCTGCTTAGGTTTTATCATCAGGCAATAAGAAAACATACAAACATCAGGTGTGTACTAAAACAAAACCTACCAGGTCTTCCTCTTCGGTATATTGCCAAGTTTCCTCTCCAGGCGGGCTTTAAGGGCTTGCAACAGTCCATCTGCTTGTGTTAGACACTCCTTGTCTTCATCGCTGGGACTCGTACTAATTAATGCCTAGAAAATTACAAACAAATATCACAGCCTATTCCATCAAAATATTGAATTATACTTATTATTACATTTAATACTAAAAATATTGATGTATACTTATTAATCATCTCTTATTAAAAATAAAACTAAAAAGAGATTTTATTGGGAAAAAAATTTTCTGCTAAATATTTCATTTTTCCAGTTGACCAATGTAAGTGAAATTTTTTTAAAAACATTAACATTTTTGGGGGGAGAAAAAGTGAATAAAAAAAGATCGGATGACAAACCTTGACTATTTCAAAATACTGTAGACAGTGGTAGACTGGGCCCATCAGTAGTTTGGGTAAAACGTACTTGAAGGCTTCACGGAATCCATTCCCTGCTTGCTGTAGATAAAATACATGTACAATAACCTGACAACTGATTCAATGAAACACTATGCACCCTGCTAGTGCATTTTGGATTAGTTTATTTCACATCATCCTGGGTATGTTATTTCACATTTATTTCACCAAGTATAAATGGATTCTCTGAAACCATCGTGACCCAGTCATCAGATTAATTCAGCTAACAATAAAATAATGAATTTGTGGCTGTGTTAGTTACAATGAGAAAACAAGTGCCAGTTTTGTGTGGTGTTAAATCCCGTCGAATCTTTCTGCATTCAAGATATAGCGCCTAAATGATGGAACAGTTTGCTGCAATCTTTGAGGGTAATTGAAAATGATAAAAAATCATTTAAGAAACATTTAAAGACGCTGTGAACGTGCTAAATTAGTATGGATACAAGCGCTATAAAAGTGTTCTATCATTTTTAATCATAAATAAGTTACTTAGACATTATTTAGTACATGAAAGGCATCAAGATAACATTTATTTACCTTTAGGTAGTTTATCACATCTTCTCGCATAAGCAGGGCATTTAGACGACCTTTGCCATTAGGTGCAATCATATCTGTAACATATCTCTCATACACACTGAACTCTTCACCCTAAAAGTTAAATGAAAGTCAATTTGGGTTGATTAGTTTGCTGAAAAGCAGTACATTTGTCTAGCATAAACAAATAATGAAAAGCTGTGTCTCTGAATTTGATTGATGATTATAAGGAAGAAAAAGAAATCAGATACATTATCTTAACACTGGATATAAAAATGCACATTTAACATTAAAAAATTAAAGAAAAGAGAATCTAATCTTATATTAGTCAAATTTAGGGAAGGGTGGTTGGCATTGATGTGAATTATAAAGCCTATACTGTTAAAAGATAGTGATTGGTGGGATGAGACCATGCGATTCCTCCTCTATACTACTCTTGTAAACTTCAGGAAATAGGTGACCTATCCCACCTAAATAGGTGACCTATCCCACCTAAATAGGTGACCTATGACCACCTAAATGCATCTGCTTCATGAAAGTACTGGCACTTTTGTTGTACAGTTTATCCCTCTCTCATCAGAGACCCAGCAGCCATCCAGTGGCATCAGCTGGACCATTGGAAGGAAAGACGGGCCTCCATCCAAGGTGTAAAGTATGTCTGGACACAAATTAAGTCTCTACTTTACCTTGAGCAGGTGTCTATACTATTCTTAACCTATTTTCTCTCATCAACAACTTCATGTGAACAGTGGCTATAGTCCAGAGGCATACATCAATCTCAGGGGAGTATTACGATTACCAATTACAGGAGGTCGGAACAATGAGTTGACCATAAATTTCTCCAAAGGATTGAGTTTTTGCCACATGACCACTATTGGGGACTGCCTTGAAATGCTTTATTATATTATTCGGGTTTTGGTACTGGGTGGGAAGAAGAGCCATTGATTGAGTTTTTAAAAAAAACCAGAGAATCAAGAAATTAACAGCAAAAATTAACGCTTACCTCCGTGAGATCTGTAAAACAAGTACCAACAAGTGGCACATCTCCTTCCTGGGCCATTTCAACTTGGTCTTCTACAGAGCTAAGCAGTTTAGCTGTAAAGTCATAAATGTCCAGGATGTTGCTGAATATAACATCCAGATCCTAAGGAGAAACAGGTTGGGCAGGAACATGAAAGATTGCTTTACAATGTCTTTTAATATCTGTATAAACATTATTTAAAAAACACAGTGATTAAGCAGAATGTGAAGGCTATAATATCACTGTATATAGAAAACCTTAGTAATAAATGTTTTGTATAGCCAATCACACCACATGTATCAGTGTAGACAGAAAACCTTAGTAATAAATGTTTTGTATAGCCAATCACACCACATGTATCAGTGTAGATATAAACCTTAGTAATAAATGTTTTGTATAGCCAATCACACCACATGTATCAGTGTAGACAGAAAACCTTAGTAATAAATGTTTTGTATAGCCAATCACACCACATGTATCAGTGTAGATAGAAAACCTTAGTAATAAATGTTTTGTATAGCCAATCACACCACATGTATCAGTGTAGAAAAAAAACCTTAGTAATAAATGTTTTGTATAGCCAATCACACCACATGTATCAATGTAGATAGAAAACCTTAGTAATAAATGTTTTGTATAGCCAATCACACCACATGTATCAGTGTAGATAGAAAACCTTAGTAATAAATGTTTTGTATAGCCAATCACACCACATGTATCAGTGTAGATAGAAAACCTTAGTAATAAATGTTTTGTATAGCCAATCACACCACATGTATCAGTGTAGATAGAAAACCTTAGTAATAAATGTTTTGTATAGCCAATCACACCACATGTATCAGTGTAGACAGAAAACCTTAGTAATAAATGTTTTTTATAGCCAATCACACCACATGTATCAGTGTAGATAGAAAACCTTAGTAATAAATGTTTTGTATAGCCAATCACACCACATGTATCAGTGTAGATAGAAAACCTTAGTAATAAATGTTTTGTATAGCCAATCACACCACATGTATCAGTGTAGACAGAAAACCTTAGTAATAAATGTTTTGTATAGCCAATCACACCACATGTATCAGTGTAGATAGAAAACCTTAGTAATAAATGTTTTGTATAGCCAATCACACCACATGTATCAATGTAGATAGAAAACCTTAGTAATAAATGTTTTGTATAGCCAATCACACCACATGTATCAGTGTAGATAGAAAACCTTAGTAATAAATGTTTTGTATAGCCAATCACACCACATGTATCAGTGTAGACAGAAAACCTTAGTAATAAATGTTTTGTATAGCCAATCACACAACATGTAGTCTGAAAAACTGATTGATTTATCTTCTTTTTTTAAAAATCTTTGTGTTATCAAAAGCAATTATTTAAATCAGAATTATTTTTTTTCTTAAGTGCTATATTTTCAATCAAAATGTTTTACCTTGGAGCGAGGAAAAAGCTTTGCGAACGGAGCACGAAAAACTCGAATTATCATATTTAGATCTCGGAGGTATTGAGTTTCCTCCATAATTAAATCTTTCATAATTTCTTCGTATGTCATTTTCTCCCTCCGGACCGGTTCGTCCTCCACCACAACAGAAAGTTCCTCCTCTTGAAAGAACATATCGTACAGTACCTGGGATATGATAGCATATAATCATTAAAATTATCAAAGGGTAAGCCGGCATCGCGCCAAAAACTAGCGTAATGAGAAATGATGAATGATTACATTACAGATCAAATGTTCTATATTGTTTTGTAATAAATTACAATTTATATTTTTAGAACTCTTCCCAAAAGACAATTATGGATGTAATCTTGTAATTAATTGAAAATAAAATATTTATTTCTTATTGACAGAAATTGTAAATGACGTGAAAACTTGTAGCCCTTGAAATAATAACTTCTATGGCCACCTATTAACTTGAATATTTTTGACATGCGTACTCCAAGTACCAATCCCGTTATATTTTTATATTGGCAAATCACTTCTTACAATATCTCTGATAAGAATGGCTGCAACAAAATGCGTGCAAAAGATTGCCTTTGAGACAATTCAGATAAACTTCATTTAAGTCACAAGATGACTTCCTCAACTATCAGAATTCAAAAAGGCTGTTTAATTATTTTATGCAAGGCTGTTCTGCCATGAGTCATAAATAGTACTGCAAGGCCCGTTAATAACTCATTATCAACAATGTTCTTTGATTTTCCCTCATCTTCTGAAGGCTAATGGAGTACTGAAATACATCATGCATTAAATAAATGACTTTCAATGACATTAGTGTACAGGGTTATTACACCAACCTGATCTGCACATATTGCAACTTTTATGTCTTGTAAGCTGATCTCAAGGTGTTTGATATTCTTTACATAGATCCCTGAGATCTGTAAGGGTGAATTCAACAGTCAGAAATTGAACATGTGACTAAATGTACAATTTTGGGTCAGAAATAAAAGACCCAAAATTTATCAAAACTTTAAAAGATATGGATAAAACAATATTTTAGCATCCACATTAACATATTGCATTATCCATAACTTTTAAGGTTTATTTTTTTGGTCGGTATATTTCTAGGTACTTTAAATTAAAATGTAAAAATCTTTTCAGGGTTGAAAATCCATGATGAATCCATCTCATTAGAAATACAAGGAAATTACCAAAACAAAGTATGGGAAAACATGAAAAAATGATGCAACAAACCAACGAACAAATCAGCATTACAAATACAGTAGAAACACCATTATCCATGACAAAAACTTACACAAACTATAGTTAAGATGATGTTATCTCCCCTTGCAGAGATACATACATTTAATAATACTGGTTCATAAAATTTCACAAAATTATGATTAGGAATAACCCAGGTTTTGAGAATTTACTGAAACTAAATCATTTTCACTTTATTGTATCTGTGAATAAACTATGGAATTACCCCCGAAAAAAATACAGTTTAATAAAATTAAATTTTCATTAAAAATTTTTTGGATCTTTAAATGGAAAAAATACAGTAGATGTTTTCCTGAAAAATGCAGTGGAGCAAAATCCACCTTAATGCTGGCGTCTTTAACCGAGGATGAACTTGACAACACTTACATTTATTTAAGAGTGCAGCATCACCAGTACTAAAGATTTATGCTAAAGAATTTATATAATGCTTAACTTAACTGCTATGCCACTCCAATTTATTCTTTCCTTACATAATGGAATTTGTTGGGTTTTTTTTTAATTTAAGGAATCTTTAAGTAATTAATCAGCATTTCCCTAGCCTTTCACCAGAAAACTGTTGCATACCTTCAAAATGTCAGCAGCAATGTACTCAAGCACAGCTGTTATGTACAGTGCCAAGGTAAAGTCCACCCTGTAACCAAGCTCCTCCTGGTGTCCAAAAGCATAGTATAAAAAAACAATGAATATTTATCTAAGTAAAAGAGATCAGTATTTGATGGGGTTCTAGTGAACATCATAAAAAGATTTCAGTATTTGATAGAGTTCGAGTGTCTAGTGAATATCACTTTTTGGCCAAAAAGACCAGTTGGCTACATTTTTTATATCAGCATGTGGCTACAGATGCAGAAAGCGGCATTGCCTATCATTGAAACGTCTTAAAAACTATTATGAATAAGTATTTTTAATGAAAGAAAGAAATTGACATTACTTTTTTTAAACCTGTAGCACTTTAAATCATGATGTGTTTGTTTTCAAAATTAAACATTTATAAAATAATAGTAGATTTGTATGAAAATTTGACAACCATTCTCAGACTAATCTGAATTGTTTGTTGTTATTTGGCTGAATAGTTGATGGTCTCAATTCCCATTCCCCAGACTATTAAAAATTACAGAGTAAATATTTGTGTAACAGTGGACAACAAAAACACAGCTGATCTTGAAAGAGATGGTTTCTTTCATTTGTGAAGACGAGTTTGATATTTAAGCATCAATATATATTGTTCATTGTCATATACACATTTCTAATTGAATGAATGCCATATTGCTAAAATTTACTCACTCAAGCATATCAGCATAAAATATTACACACATGTACATTTTTAAACCACCAATGACAACTGCTTTAATGTGTGAGTGTATAAACATACTTCTTGTCCTAGTTCAAAATAGCTTGATGTGCCTTTTAAATATGAACAAAAGTAAATAATTTACCTTGAGCAGAGGTTGTATTTTATCCACAGGAAGAACTATGGTGGAGTTCTTCTTACCGTCTCTAACAGCATTCTGAGCATCCCGTATGGCCCACTTATCAATGGGGTCAGGAAAGGTTTTAGTGATGCGATCGTCAACATCTTCTATAGAGTGTGGTTGTGCTGAACACAGTGTTACAAGAAGCCGCACCATGAGATTTTCGATGAATTCCAAGGCATCCTCCTTTGTTGAAAGACCAGGATGTACTTGTTTTTGAACCTATTTCAGAGATAACATGTTTGTTTGTCATCTAGTCAAAAGATTCTTTTAAAGTGGGATGATAACTGAAAGCTAACACATGGGACTTATTTGGAACCCAATGCACAAAGGTATTTAGCAAATAAAATAAAAAATGTAGTAGAAAAAGAGCAGTGGTACAACTAAATAATGCTCATGTCAAAGAATTTCTAATCACAATAATCTTAATAAATTGCATAGAGTAACTTTATTGTACAGGTAAAGATTATGTCATACTTTGTGCCATGTTAGCCTTATAAATTTAACATGTTTTTATCCCATTTATTAGCTAAGAATCCATAACTTTGTTATTTTGGATATTTACAGTGGTCACAATTTCTCTTGCATATAGTAATTCAAAAATATTTATAATGGCTGTAACAGCGTAACAATACTTTAACCAATTCTAATTTACTATAAAAAAAAACTTCTTAACCCTTTTGTTACGTCACTATCACCCACTTTCAATTACCAAGGATGTCACATTGTCGTCAAAACAAAGAGGAAAAGAGCTTCCTGAAATACTAAGGACGCCATGTCGTCGTCATATTTCAATGCCATATATTTCTTTATTCATTAATCTATAGAGAAGTTAATAAGCGAATCAGATAGAGAATGAAAATTACCGAAAGTTTTGTTGTTTTTTATTTTTATTTTTATTGCCGAGTCAACAAAAATCTATGCCCCCAAAACCAGCGGTAATGAAAAGGTTAATAAATCAATACATTAATTAGAAAATAGTTTTGAATAAATTTTAGGTGGCTCAAAGTGCCACAGCTGGAAAAAAAAAAAAAAATGCAACAAATCCCATGAACGTATTTTATGCTCTAACTAAATTATTGTTAAATGCAGTTCTAAAAATTCTCTACTTTGTGGGTCTATATTTACAAAACCAGAAGGAATGAAAAGGTTAATAAATCAAAACATTAATTAGAAAATAGGTTTGAATAAATTTTAGGTGGCTCAAAGTGCCACAGCTGGAAAAAAAAAAAAAAAATGCAACAAATCCCATGAACGTATTTTATGCTCTAACTAAATTATTGTTAAATGCAGTTCTAAAAATTCTCTACTTTGTGGGTCTATATTTACTAAATGGTATGAATTATAATTGATTGCAATACACTTTTATTACAAAAAATAAGACAACTTCACAAATAATACAGTGAACATAAATTACTAATACAGCCTTTTATGGTCATTTGATGTTTATATAAATAAAACATTATCAACAAACCAATATTTTCCAATATTCTAGTGTCCAAGTAAACTAAAAATGCATAACATATACTATAGTGATATCCATAAATCACCTTAAGTCAGTCAGAAATTCACAAATATCTAAATTTGCAAATAAGCTAGTCAACCATAAAGGGATTAGCTAATATAAATTAACATTTGCCAGGTGACTATACTTGTACCCAAAATAATAAGAATAAGACAAAATTATATTCACAAAAAAAGAGTAGGTAATAAATAATATTTGAATAAATGCAGTACACAATAGGTTTATTCCTTTAACTTAGGGTTTCCTAACATTTTTCTTTATTCCGCACAGCCACAAAGAAACAAAGTCTCGCACCCCCCAAAAAGTAATGCATTATAAAACCTTTATACCCCTGGATCTAACAGTTTATAATCAATTCTCATGACAGCCACAAAAATGCATCCCCAGAGGGTGCAAGTTAAGAAACCCTGATTTTATGCATGAAAACAAATACTTCAAGATATTTTCACAATCTTCATTCATATTATTATTTAATTTTTTTTTTAAATACAAACTAACAAAGCTGAGAAGTTCTCATAAAGTGTCATGTTCTGTTAGTTGTGAAGCTTCATTTTTTTTTTTTAATTTACTGGAATATTTGAGCAAAGGAGGTCTGAATACTAAGTCTTAATTAAGCAGCTATTTAAGGTTGGGAGGATTCCTTGATAATGCATTGAAATTATTAATAATGCACTATAACATCTGACTCAGCTTCAAATTTAGCTATTCCTGTAAGGAAATTAGTTAACGAATAAATTATAATCCTTTATGTTTCAATAATCATGGCATTCATGGACATAATATCAATTATGAGCTTTCTGTGAGAGAGAACAGCTGACCTTGTCATACCCATTCTCTTTGGAAAACTTCCATTCATTGGGCTAAAGGTATTTTAGGCATTTTAGGTCTATAGCAAAAGACAGCCTAATTAATGTAGACTTATGCTGCATTATCATTTGCATGGCATGGCATAGCCCTTGTTTTTGAATAGTTGAATAGAAACGGACTGTACATAGTACAGCATGGAATTTTTTTTAGATTCAGATTAGACCTTTATTAGTATATTACATTTCATAAGTGAGTGAATTAGAATAGGCCAAAAAAAATGTACTATGGGCTAGACCTGCTTTCATATGATTAAACAAACTAACTAATACTACTAAGGACTAAGGGACAAGAGAATTAGTCATAGTTGCTGAAATAAATTTATATGAATATTACTAGTTGTGAGTGAAAATTACAAATCAGAAATTGCATTGAATAGTGTCCATTGAATCTTTCTTATAGGTAGGCTGACTAAATAAAGGCTGAATAGTAAGACTAAAGAGATACTAAGCTACTGACAGAGTACTGACAACGATAGTAGGATTAGAAGTAGTCAGATATTTATTAAAATTAATGGTAGTGATATTTCAATTATTTCCTTCTTACTTAACTTAGTATCTTTTTGTTTGTTTTTTCTAAGTCTAATTCTTTCTAAACTAAGTTCACATTTTCAAATTGTTTATTTACATTTTGCATTCTCTAAACTGTTTCACCTCAATTTCAACTTTACTAAATTAATGAAAAAGTATCTAGACCTAAACTAGCCTTTACACTTTAATTTATAAATTAATTTGATTTTGAACCAAGCAAACACTAATCCACTGAGTTGACTGAGAGTACTGAGACTAAGACCACTCACCCCTTTTAATGCTGATGTAAATATCCCCTTCCATTTTGATGAATTGTCCTGACACAGCGAGAGATGGGATGGGTTATCTCCAGATGAATATGAAGGAAACATATCGCCAAAATAGAAGGGATAATCAGTGGTTTTTCAATATCAAAATTAATATCTAGGAAACTTTCTCAAATCCTGCAAGTGCCATGTTTATCATACAAGGGACATAACCTTGTCCACTACACGGGGTCACCTATCAATACAATAAGTGGCTCCGTCTTTTTTTTCATATGCCTAAATTATTTATTATAACAGTAGGATTTGACGATCAATCTAGATCATGTTTATTTGAGGTGTCTGATGCTGACTATCTCAAAATGCGCCGTGTTTACTAATTATTATTGGTCTAATTTCCGCATTTATTTTTTATCGGAAGCAGCTGAGGGAACTGCGCATGCGCACTAGATTAGGATTAAAAGTTTACGACAATAAAGATAACGACATTCACACCCACTTCTCTTTAGTGAAAAATACTTAGTCAAACATAAATAGCATGTTTTAAAAGTAATATATCACATCACTCTATCTCTAGCCATTATTCTTTCATTAAAGCCTGATTTTTTTATTCAAAACATTATATAGTACTTATTGAACTATAATCTCTATAAATTGGGACTTGTTTAGTCCAGTAGTAGTAGTAGTTAGTAGTAGTAGGGGCAGGGGGGCTAGTTGAAAGTGCGGGTCGGAGATTGGGAGTGGGGGGTGGTCACTAACGATTATTTAAAAACATTCATTTTGTCGCTTTTTTTTTTTTTAATATATAAATGTGCATTTTAATAAAGATTCACTCTCCCGGAAAAAAAATTCATCCGTGAATAACAGTGGTCAGCGCCAATCCTTTTACACACCCTTCCATTGATTGGGAAAAGGTTCTATACGCTTGAATATATTCTATTTGTTCTAAAGAATGCTATAAGTTACGCAATTTCTCGAATTTCTTTTCTGTATGGTTCTGACTTACTTCATATATATAAGCCTGCAGCTTTCCCAACAGGAGAGATATTTTAGCTATTTTCCCTAGGTCTAGACACATGACACATGCGTACAAGGTTGTGCGCTTTGTGTGTGTGTGTGTAATTTAATATTTGTATATTTCGAGGATTTTGCTTTTTCACTTATTGTGCTGTAAGTTCATATCGTTTTTATTTCTGACCATCTAATTTTGTATTCTTTATATACATTTTTAGGCCTATACTTAAATTGAATATTGTTGATATTATTAGCTTTGGTATCGTTTTTCTTACACACTGGTTTTCAGCTCTGTGTTACGAATCGTTCAACAAACCAGCTAAATCTTAAAACAGATTAAATTTACACCAAAAAAAAAAAAAATACACAAAATGGTACTTAAATGGGGGGGGGGGTTAAGATTTGGAAGCTTTTAATGGAGGTTCGGACTCCCAATTGGATATTTGACATAGACCCCATACTTTTAGAGAAAGATAATTGACTGTTGTAATTGTCTGCAGCATATTTCATATGTGTTACTATTAATTGCGCAAATTACACATCGTGGTTTTTTTTACACCTTTTTTAAAACTTGATTAAGGGAGTAAGAAGTTTTTCTGGTTTTTGTACTGTTTTTAATTTGTGTGCATAATGTATGTAAAAACTAAACAAAAATAATTAGTTTTCCTTATCAAGCAAAAAGAGTATTATGAAAACGGCGATAAAATAATTCTACTAATTTTAGTATGAACAGAAGTGACATAATTTGTAACTAAATTATGGTAACAACAGACCAGGGCTACCACACCTTGGGAAATTTCCCAAGATCTTGGGAATTCACGACCCCCCTTGGGATCTGGGGAATAATTTTGAAAATCAGGTAAAACCTTGGGAAATCTTAACTGATGGTAAAGTTGTATTATTTTTTTCGAAAAAAACGCAACAATATGTGATAAAAAATAATGTGAAAATAAAGCAAGATAATTTTTAAAGTAACTAGGCAAAAAATTAATTGTTTTAATTTTCTTTTCTGGTTTTAATTTTTAAATCCACTCATGAAATAAATAAAAACTCTTTTGATATTAAAGTTAATATTATTTTTGAATTTTTAAAAAGTTAATAATTAAAGAAATATTCAATTTTCTCTTCTTTTTAAAAAAAATTGAAGATTTACAAATTACATCCAGGTTTTGACTGTTTATTAAATGGGGGGGGGGGGGAGGGGCTCGGAAACTTTATCCTTGGGCTGTTAGCCATTCGTGTCTTTAGCAACCATAAAGAAATATTCAATTTTCTCTTCTTTTTAAAAAAAATTGAAGATTTACAAATTACATCCAGGTTTTGACTGTTTATTAAATGGGGGGGGGGGGAGAGGCTCGGAAACTTTATCATTGGGCTGTTAGACATTAGTGTCATTAGCAACCATACGAAAAACAGTACAAGCCGAAGTGTGAACGATAGTGTTCAATCAAGAAACCATGCTATGAAAATCCAGCCTAATTTTCATCAATTGGAAAAAAATATTTGTGGATTGAAACACAGGTAACTAAGATATTAAAAGTATAGGCCTACGTTGTAGGATTATAAATGAACAATACATATAAAAGTATTTTTTGTTGTTCAAAAAAATCGTTATAATGTAAATTTACAAGAAAAAATAAAAATATTTATTGTTTTCATATAATATCAATCCATTTTAACTACAATTATTATTAATATATTTTGCTTCATTGCTTTGCAAACCCCACTTCTAATCAACAGACTTAAATAAGAAAAATCATTTTTTGATGAAGAACCGTTTGCCCTTGTAAAAGGAATTCTGTGTTGATTAGCCTTGTAAGCTTTGTTTCCAAGTGACTTCTAGTACACATGTATTGTAGATGATATTTCTTGCCAGAGAATTTGGAGAGTAGCCTAACTTCTGTGGGTATTGATATTTTGGATTATAAATTATTTTTTTTTAAACAAATTGTTTGTTTCTTTTATGTGATAAACATTTTTTTAAATGTCTTTTTCAATAAATTTCAGTCAATTAATGTACCATGTTTTTCATGGGCATTAATTCAATCAATTATTACATTAATTAAAGAGAAAAACCCTTTTAAAAAAAAACTCTTATATATTTTATGATATTGGGAAATCTTGGGAAATTTGTTCACCAAATCTTGGGAAATTTAAAAAAAGTGAGTGGCAGCCCTGCAACAGACAGACTGCTTACTTCCCTTGGGTGCTTTGGCGTGAACTTCTAAAAATGACGTCTATTTAATTTAAATAATAAATTAAATAATAGCCACACTAACCAGCTACTTTTGTAATTAATGAAAGACGAGGCACTGTAAGTGTAAGACATTTCTGTAAGTAACTATATTGTAAGAGGGACTAATGTTACAGTTGCCGAATTTAAGTTGTCACTCCTCACACTACTCTGTCTGTCTCTCACTCTCTTAGTCTCACAGTCATAGTGTGATACAGGACAGTGTGGTGACGTGACAATCACTTAGCCGAAGACTTCTTAGTTTGGAAATTCTTAGCTTACTAACAATAACTTCAAATCAATAAGTAAAGTAAGTAGTTGCAATAGTGTAGTTAAAGACTGGGGAGAGTCATTGACTGTGTGAGCATTCTACAACAACAAAGTGTCAAAGTCAAGTAAAGAGATTTATGTGGCATTTGGTTAATTTACGCAATCAATCCGTACCACTTTGAGTTTCTGAACAGTAGGCTATACAGTAGGCACTTCTGTATGGTCCGGAAACACCAGAAAATTGGTTATGGCGTTATGGTAATTTCGTTGTCAAAATGGCGACTTCCACTTTTTAATTTACTGAGGGAGAGGGTATCGTTTCACCTTTTATAGTTGATTTTAGCATAATAATAAATTCTAAATCTGCCATTTAAAGCCCACATCTTGCTTTTTCTTTTGAGAAGTCATTTGATTTTTCTTTTCGAGGTTAAAGCTTTGAAAATTTAAGTTAATAATGGGCATGGGTAAACTTTACTCAATAACTTTTTTTTTTTAAAACTGGTCCAAAAAAAAAAGTTTTCTTTAATTTATAACATCATTTATAAAATTTCCAAAATTAATTTTTAGTCCAAATATTAAATTACACAAACATAAAGAGCACAATCTTTTGGTCAAAAATGAAAATCTAAGAGGTCATTTTTTTAGGCTATACTATGTAATTTGTCATCAAGGTCACCATGCTTGTCTACTTAGTAGCAACTATTTAAAGCAGCCCATTGGTACTTAATAATTCATTAAATTGGTTATCCAGAATATAAATGAACTAATACTAAATCATTTTAAACAAATGAAACATGTTTAAATAGGCCTAATTATAATTTGCTAATCAAACATCATTGGTTTTAATTTTGGTGTTGGTTGCCATGGACATGGGAATTGATAACCAATTGTCTTTAACTTATATAAGCCTAGTAAAAGTATTATAATAGTAATAATACTATTATAAATTATTTGTGGAGTGGGATAAATAGCCTTTATTACAACTATTATAATTATATTAGTTTATATCCTTTTATATTTATATCTTTACACATGGCCTTTAGGCCTATTATAATATATAGGTATAGGCCTAGCTCTAACCCAACTTATTATTTTTAGGACCTACTCTATTCAAATAAATTATGTGTAATTATATTTTAGGCTATGTAAATATAATCATATTTATTGAATATTAATATTATGATTCTTAAGGCATAAATTAAGTAAAAATGTAAAAAAAAATTCACTTATCTTTAATATTTAAATGTCCTATAGTTAATCATATATCACAATATTCAACAAGAGAATTATTACATTATCTTCTTTATTCACCATAATCCAAGAATTAAGATATTACTAAAGAACTATCATACAAAATTATACTACCTCAAGCAAATAACTAGAACTTATTTTAATTTCTATCAACCGCCAAAGTTGATTCTATCTAAGATCTATACATGATGATTTGTGAAGCAAGATTACTATCTTAAAATAAATGACATACTATTTTTTTTGGTCATATTAAGACATTCATATGATATGGGGCTAAAATACATACATATAATATAGAAAATGGTAAAATAAAAAGTGTAATTAGTAATAGTCAATTTTAACTAAATTAAATAATCCCTTTATTATTTGTTTATACTTTTAAACAATTACACAGAAAATGAGAAATTATATCTAAAGAATATTATTAGTATTATGATTTTTTAGGAAATTTTTTTAAAAATATATAAACGAAAGTAATTGTTACAAATAAATGATGAGTCAGCATATTTTATACCTCTTTTTTTAAAAAAAAAATATGAAAATGATAAAGATTTTTTTTTTTTGCGGAATATTAACAAAAACTAACTTATATTTTGTGGATTTATTTAGAATTACTCTTACTTAACTATGTGCCCTGTAAATATTATGAGGGTCACGAAATGTGGAGGAAAACACCGTAGTGAAAAAGTGGTTTTGAGGTCCCTACTAAAAAATTCATAACTTTTGAACCACTTGATCTAGAAAGTTGATCTTGGTGTTTTTGTAATCTATTCTCCAGGTTCTATACAGCCGTGGTATTTTTATATTTTTTAAAATGTTTTGAAATTTTCATCAAATTTTCATACAGTATGTATACAAGTTACAGTATATATTATATATATGCTATAGGAGTATCAAAAAACATGCACATTTAATTAGAAAATTTTAAAGAAAAATCTATACTACAACTCTACGTAACTTGCAAGCTAAGTCAGCATGTGTAACTGAAGCGTAAATTCCAATCGTAAATTTAGTGTCCTCCCACCCCAACTTGTGCGTAAATACGGCCTTAAATTTGGTGCCCCTTACTTGAGCATAAATCTTTAAACCTAAAATCTATGACTATGATTTAACATGAACCCTAAAACCATGAGTTCATGTGCTGCAGCTACTACACACTGTACTGTACCAAGAAAATCGTGAATTTGAATGAAACGTTTAAATTATTTTTTTTAATATTAAAAATAATGAAAACCTGACTTACAGTTTCATCGCATACCCTTTTTTTACAAACTTTATTGTAGTTACAGGTTCCACCAAAAATAAAATCCAAAAGTTTTGAGAAAAATCAATACCCATCCAAAATGCTGGCCTCGTTTTTAATATTATAATTAACCACCCAATGAAATTTTAATTTCAAATATTCCATATAATCAACATATTAATATTTTAAAAAAAAGAAAAGTTAACTCTAGTAACAATCCAAGAATTTAAAAAGGGAAAGAATCCTACACAGAATCTCAAAGTGGTCAAACCAAACCTGGCATATTAATAGAAATCATAGAGCTTTTCAGTTTGGCCCTATGTCAGCCTATGGCTGCCAAAAAAAGAAACATTCAAATTTATTGTCAAAATGCTATAATTATGAGGATAAATACAAGGCATGACGAAGTAAATGCTTATTTAATTGCATTAAGAATACAGTATCTTCATAATCTTACTTTACCAAATAAAGTATTACTAATTACCCTAATAATTATTCACAATATTAATCAATATTTGGTCTTACACCAAATTAATCAATATTGTTAATCTTGTCACATTTAAATATTCAATAAATACTATAACGTTTCTATTCTAAAATTCTTATGGACTACAAACTAAATTTTTTTTTATTACAAATATTGTTTGTATATACTCTGTCATTTAGCCTGATGTGTGGGCTCAGGGTGCTGTTTGTACTGTGAGGAGACCCTTTTATATATAAAAATCAATACAGGAGGTCACCATTCAGACATGTACATCAATCACACACTGGAAAAGAACATTGTTTATCATCTGGACCATGAGACTCTCATTCAGACGGCTTTTCTGTCCAGTCTCAAAATTCATCTGCATTTTTCTTGTCATTTTCGCTTTCCTGTTGGTTGTTATGATCAGTGACACATGTAAGTTTTTTTTTAAGTGCTAAATATTTTGTTTAATTATTGTTATAGTGCACTAATAATTTTAAGAGCCAATAGAGGGGAAGCTATACATGGATATCCAAAAAAGAAATATATTATATGTTTCATTTTCTATATTTCCTATTTTTATATTATTATCATATTTAAAAATTGATTAAATACCCATTAATCAAAGTATGAAAGAAACATAAAGGTAGCCGTCAACTGTTGTCCCTATACATGTTAAATCCAACAAATACATAGTAAATTATTATATAAATTAACACAGACGTTTCTACAATTAGGCCTGTGGCTGCAAAAATTTTAATTTTAAGCCAAGCAGTGAAAAAATTGAACAAATTAGGAGACAAAATAATGAAATAGAAGATCACATAAAAAGGTAAAATTATTGTTCAATGTTGAATACAAGTTCTTTTATATCTCATGCATGAATTCTTCTGGCCTGAATGACAAGGGGAGATACTGATGGGAGTAAAAGGGAAAAGGCAGCATTTTTCATTTCTTGCCTAAGATGTCAAAACTAGGTTAATTAAACACCTAGAAACAGCCCTGTAAATTGACAATGTATTAACCTGAGATCTTTACCAGGAAATAACAAAAACACTGCTTGCCGTATTAAAGATTTTGAACTCTGTAATCTAGAATTAACTGTTCTTGTGAGTCCAGCTCTTCAATATAATAGATTGTCAGTTATAGGTATTGGTCAAAATGCTAACTTCACTAACTTGAACACTGCTGAGGACTGTTAACAACATCCATACTAAATTTTGAAAATACATTTTTTAAAAAAATGAATTCATGCCAAGAACTCCCATTAAGATTTCTCAGACTTCATCATGTCCTTCCTTTATTATTCAAATATGTATTTCAGTGCGAGAATGTGACAGTGAGGAATTCGATGCCACAAAAAGACTTCTTCATAAATATGCAAACCAGATCCAAGAATTCAAAAATGACCAGCTTATCCTTCGCAGCAAACTAACAGCAGCAGAAAAACAGCTGGCATCAATACCTGGTAGATCGTTGAGCTGGATCAAAGGCCTGCCAGTTATCTACCTCATTACCCCTACCTATGCAAGACTTGAACAAAAGGCTGAACTCACACGTCTAAGCCATACTCTTATGCTGGCTAGAAACGTTTACTGGATTGTTATCGAAGACGCTGAAGAAAAAACACAGCTGGTTCACAATTTTCTACTTCAGACAGGTCTTAATCACACTCACTTGAATATTTTAACACCACCTCAGTTTAAACTGGCATCCGAAGATCCCAACTGGCTTAAACCCAGGGGTGTCTTACAGCGCAATGCAGGCTTGGAATGGTTGAGAAGCCATACCTCGCCAGATCAGCATCCTGGTGTTGTGTACTTTGCTGACGATGATAATACATACAGCCTAAAGCTCTTTCAAGAGGTTTGTGGGACTTGTGTAGAAGAAAAAACACTCATTAAGCCTTTAGTATTCTTTTTCTTTTTTAAAGATCTGCTATATCAAAGTCTAAAATGGTCTTTGGAACCAAGGGTATACAACAATAGTCAGATGAATGAAGTTTCTCAAAGCTAATTTTACAGGGTAAAAATGATTTTAAATCTTTAATTTTTGAATTGTTGACATGGTTCAGTGGTTTTCAATATTTATATTTTACGACCAAGTAAAACTGCTACCAACTATTCCAGTGTTAAGAAACACCATTGACTAATTTATTGAGCTGCTGTGTCCAAGCAAATTATTATGATAGATTCGATGGGTTTTTATTCAAGATGCTGTCTTACACCAAATTACAATTTAGTTTGTAGGTAAAATGCACCAACTCTCATAAAAATATGATTTTATTTAGATTTAAATCTTGTGATGTCTTTTTATTTATTATAAAATTTTTGCATGCATTTTTTTTTTCCTTTTTAGATGAGATTTACAAAGAAAGTTTCCGTGTGGCCAGTGGGCCTGGTTGGCTATCTAAGATATGAGAGGCCTGTGGTAAAAGATGGCAAGGTAGATACACATTTGAATTAGCTTGGATCTTTTTACCCAACAGAAAACTAGTTTGAGAGAAGTCAGAGGAACAGGGTGTTACATTATTATTCCTTAGAGTAGTGCCTCTCAATCGTTTAAGTATTGAAAATGTAGAAGTGTTTGAGACTGACAGAAAATGTATCCACATTACAGGAATCAATGCCCATTGTACTGACTAATGCTCTTTGTTTGCAAGCTTCCTTTATTTTTCATCTTTTGAAAACTGGGAGGAAGAGGGGAAGGGGGGGGGGGAGAGCTTATTCTTTTGAGAGCCACTCCCTCAAAGCACTGTTTGCATACATATTGGGCATTTGTTTTAAGGGAAATGGTGTAAATAATTATGAAAATTGAGAATTTTTCAAATATAAACTAACGTGCACAGCTGTTATGTTTGAAAGATAATCAAATCTTAGTTATTAATAAATATAAACTAACCTGCATAGCTGTTATTTTTTAAAGATGAACAAAGTTATTAAGGAGTTTAAAGTCCGATTAAAAATTCTGCCGTGGTAATTTTAATTTAAAAATTTTTTTAAAGTATTTGTTTCATTTCAATTATCAATAAATTTTATGTTTGTCTATCTATATATATTTATAATTTTCTGTTAACCCCAAGTGATTGTGTGTGGTGGTGGGGGGGGGGGGGGCTGTTATCTGAAACAATGTCAGAATTAAATGGATTTCTTCTTTCATTTCACAGGTTGTTAGCTGGTTCACATACTGGAAACCCAACCGTCCTTTTCCAATGGATATGGCGGNGTGGGGGGGGGCGGGGGGGGGGGGGGGGGGGGGAATGTGTTCTGAGGTGAGCTATGCACAAGATGTGGGGAGAGATGTGTTCTGAGTTGAGCTTTGCACTGGGAGCTGGGGAGAGAGATGAAACTTAATATATTGGTTGGATAACTGGAGTGAGCTGTCATGTGATGGTGGGTGTAAAAAGAATCCTGCATGGAGAATGCAGTTAGTTGTTAACTGGCCACAGTCTCAAGTGTTTCATATATTAATATAATTAAACTATAACATTAAGCACTTTGTAGTAATATTTAAATGATAATATTTTTGTTGCCAAACATTGATTACCGGGTACTAATTAAGAATGTTGCATCATGCAAATATTGATAGAGCAATTAGTTTCCACTTCTTAAATCCAGCATGAAATGGACACAGATAAAATAAAATTCTGTTTACATTTTTAACTGCAATTTACACTAGGGGTGCATTCTTTTTAACCCTTTCCACTGCATCTGGGTGTAATACACCCGGAGACAGACTGTGCTTGCTGATATCTTGAGTCTCCTTTGAATAATCTCTCTGATACTCTACCATGGGCACAAGGTGCTTGGAATGAACACCTCTGTGAATGCAGTTGTATAAAGCATGCAAAACTGGCTTATTTTGGGGCTTATCTTTTTTTTCTATAGTCCCTAACAACTGGGTGTAACACCAACTGGGTGTAACACACCGTGTATAATTTAATAGAAGAAAAACACGTCTTAACTAGCTTGTGAACATTTGTTTGGTTGTTGTTTGTTGATTATTGTGTCATCCATAAAACAGATTTTAAATTTTTACAAATAAATATTCTGAATGCAACAATAATAACATGTGTTCAACTTGACAAACCATTTCAAAACAGAACAGTAACATATACACATGAAAAATAAGGGCTTTGCACAGTTTTTACATAAAAGAACAGAATGTTTCTATGCAAATATGTCTAATAAACTTGCCGAGTTAAAGTGGTTCGTGCAGCTGTTTGAAGTGTTAGTAAAGATTTCAAAACATTAGCGATGTTCTGCCTCACAATATCTTGATGCGTCGGACAGATCGCCTCTACTTGGGGAAGGGTGAGGAAATGTGCAACGTCAATATTGACTCTTTTTTCTTCATAAGACAGTGAGTTGGTCAGATATTTATATTTCAATGCCACTCTTGCTGCAATTGATGCCAAGCCAACAATGTTGAAAAACACAACCAAAGACTATCTTTTACTTTTAGTTTTTTTGTATTCACAGAGAACACCTTCACCATTTGGTCCATGGCAAATATGCCTTCTTTGATTTTGTTGTTATAGAGCACAATTTCTGGTTTCTTGCATTCAGTTTCACTTTCTATATCTGGACAATTGTGTATTGTGCTCAGGGGCAATAGATTTTTCTGCTTCCAGCTCTGATATTTGACAAGGTTGTTTCTAGTCTGAACAAAACCACTGATTTGTTGAGGGGCAGAGCCTTCTTTTGCCCTAACCCCTTGGGTAGGAACATCTTGTTCCGTTTCATTGTTCCAACTAGGATTAGTCGGTTCTTGGCCATTGGTTCTGTAAGTGGTAGGGGAATGAAATAATAGTCTGTTGTGACCACTTCCATGGAACGCCCTTGTGAGAGAAATCAGTCTCTGGGGACAGTCCAACATTTCTCTTTGTTGGCAGGACACTTGCACTTTCTTTGCCAAGATATGGGCAGCCTCTAAGAGGATACTTCAAAGACAATTCCCAGAAGATTTTAATTCCATATTTGTTGAGCTTGCTTGGCATATATTGAATCATTCTGCACTGACCTCTGAAACCAACCAATAGCTCACCCACTGTGATGTTCTCTCCAGGAAAAAAGTTCCTTGCCAAATTACTCAGGAATACGCCTCATACATCTCTTATCATGGGATCAAAGATGTCATGAGCCAGAAAGGATTGATCTAGTTTCCTTGTTGTTGAAGCAAACATGAATAAGAAGTTTGCTGAATCCCTTAATTGAAAATGCTGCCCTGAAAAAGATAATTTCCATCAACATAGCTGAATAAAAATTCCACAGAAAAGCTGTTCAGATGAAAAGCGCCAGTGTTTAATATCCAGTAAAAGCTTTCCTTTAGATCACATCATTCCCTTGCCATTTGTCTCCTTTTACTTTCTCACCTTCCCTGTTGGTGCAGTCAACTCATGTTTGTATCATTTTTTCATTGATGTACAGAAGATTGGTTCAGTGGGAGATTGTACACAATCTGTGAAGGGAGTTCGGTTTCAAGGCAACTAAATCATGACACATTGTAAAAAAGAAAATAACAGAAAGTGAGCCATTTACTTTGATATAAGACTATGGGTGTAACCCACACAGTTGACAGGAATCTTTATGAACAATTTTTTACCGTTATAATAAGTGTACAGTTTGCTACACCCAGTCATTAGGAATAGTGTGCTAGACCCAGTCACTAGGGACAGTGTGCTAGACCTGTCACTAGGGATAGTGTGCTAGACCTGTCACTAGGGATAGTGTGCTAGACCCAGTCACTAGGGACAGTGTGCTAGACCTGTCACTAGGGACAGTGTGTTAGGCCCAGTCACTAGGGACAGTGTGCTAGGCCCAGTCACTAAGGGACAATGTGCTAGACCCAGTCACTAGGGACAGTGTGCTAGGCCCAGTCACTAGGGACAGTGTGCGAGACCTGTCACTAGGGACAGTGTGCTAGACCCAGTCACTAGGGACAATGTGCTAGACCCAGTCACTAGGGACAATTTGCTAGACCCAGTCACTAGGGACAATTGGCTACACCCAGTCACTAGGGACAGTGTTTACAAATATGTTGCAGAGGAAAGGGTTAAAGAATGTTCAGTCCTCATGTTTATTGATAGATAATATAATAACATTAATAGTGAGGTTTGACCATAGCAGAGCAGATTAAAATAAAATTACTCTTGGGATCACACAATTTATTGGTTACCTGAAAATAAGGAACACAGGGTGTGGGAAAACTTGAATTAAGTCAACACATTACACAACAAACATGTCAATATTTCTTTTTTATTTTTCCGCATTGATGTTATAATGTGCATTTGTTTTGTTGTTTTTTTAAATAATATGTGCAATTATAAATCTTTTATTCATTGAATTATGCTGTATGATTATATTTAATTAGGAAATATTTTTTTATGTATTGCTAGATTTTGGTGTGGCACACTAGAACAGAGAAGAGCAAGACAAAGAATGAGGAGAAAATGATCAAACTCCATGGTGCTGGATCTGACCCAGATATTGAAGTTTAATGTCAATTTCAATTATTTATAATGTTATATGTATATACAGGTATAAAAGCCTTTTGTTGTCCTTTAAAATAAAATGTCATTTTATATGAACAGGGAAATAAATTTGTTGACATGGACCGAGTCTTCGTGTTGATGGTATGTGTGGCTCAGTATTGAAGTTATGAATGGCTCTGTGTTTGTTGTGTGAATGATGTTTATCAGTGCTATTGGCTCTGTTTTTTTGTATGGATCTGTGTTTTTCTTATCATTAATACTAGCTCTATTTTGGTAAAATGAATGGCTCTGTTTAGATATTGTGGAAGGCTCAGTGTTGGTGGCATACCGTAGCATTTAATTTTCAAGGTAGTTAAATCAGTTGCTACATTATTTTTAGTAAAGGAAAGACTTCCTGAGAAATTCGGGTACAAACTTTTTATAATATATTTTTGTGTTGTCTTTTACTTTCAATTAGTCACAGATTATCACAAATCTTCTACAAACCAGGACCAGGAAAATCTAGTTTAATTTTCTGAAATATTTAACCTTGTAGCTCTAGTACACAGAAGCAAGTAACCCTTACTGTGATAAATTGGGGAGGGGAAGGCTTTTAAATAGGGTAAATTTTTGGAATTCAAAGCAAAGAAAAACTAGATTTTTCAGTATAATGAACACTAAAGAAGTATTTAATGCAATGATTGAAATTGTAACTAATTTTTTTTTTTTTTACTTTTTAAAATCACATTTTTTCTTAGTTTACTATTTCAACTGGCAAGCTCACAGAAATGCATTACAACCCAATTTGAGGTCGCCTTCCATGGCCTAGGAACCTGTGCTCTAGTAACTTGATCATTACTACCAGGCTTTTATAAGTCAAACTAACTTGATATCAACCCAGGAAGACATCGACAGTATACATATATAGTTACCTGGATTACCATTAGTGTTTTTTTAATTTGGAATGAACCATTTGGTACAAGTACAAGTTGTTAGATGCATATGGCTTGGAAATATTCCATCATGGGTTTGAAACTAGAATTCGCGACCTGTACCTGAAAGCCTCTGAAAGGAGTGCACAACTCATTTAAAGTGCAAAGGTTTGGTCTACAGACTTTTGCCTCACAAGCATAGAGTCTATTATTGCCTAGCGTCGTTTGATCAGTGATAAAAAATTCTAAGCTTAATTCCCCACTGGGGTTCGAGAATGCAAATAAGAAGAATATAAGTATAAGAATATAAGGATGGCGCCTAATGTCATATAGGAGCAGTAATAGTAGGCTAAGTAGGAGTTAAATTCTATTTTTAAAAAAGTATCGGGTTTCAGTTCGTCGTTAAAAGGAATGTAGCTATTTAATTCCTCTATGTAGGCCTACTCCTCTATTGCTGATCTATTGTTGTTACACGCTTCTTTAGCCACTGCGTATATTCCTCTATGTAGGCCTACTCCTCTATTGCTGATCTATTGTTGTTACACGCTTCTTTAGCCACTGCGTATATTCCTCTATGTAGGCCTACTCCTCTATTGCTGATCTATTGTTGTTACACGCTTCTGTAGCCACTGCGTATATTCCTCTATGTAGGCCTACTCCTCTATTGCTGATCTATTGTTGTTACACGCTTCTTTAGCCACTGCGTATATTCCTCTATGTAGGCCTACTCCTCTATTGCTGATCTATTGTTGTTACACGCTTCTATTCCTCTATGTAGGCCTACTCCTCTATTGCTGATCTATTGTTGTTACACGCTTCTTTAGCCACTGCGTATATTCCTCTATGTAGGCCTACTCCTCTATTGCTGATCTATTGTTGTTACACGCTTCTTTAGCCACTGCGTATATTCCTCTATGTAGGCCTACTCCTCTATTGCTGATCTATTGTTGTTACACGCTTCTTTAGCCACTGCGTATATTCCTCTATGTAGGCCTACTCCTCTATTGCTGATCTATTGTTGTTACACGCTTCTGTAGCCACTGCGTATATTCCTCTATGTAGGCCTACTCCTCTATTGCTGATCTATTGTTGTTACACGCTTCTGTAGCCACGTCGTATATTCCTCTATGTAGGCCTACTCCTCTATTGCTGATCTATTGTTGTTAGACGCTTCTTTAGCCACTGCGTATATTCCTCTATGTAGGCCTACTCCTCTATTGCTGATCTATTGTTGTTACACGCTTCTTTAGCCACTGCGTATATTTCTCTATGTAGGCCTACTCCTCTATTGCTGATCTATTGTTGTTACACGCTTCTTTAGCCACTGCGTATATTCCTCTATGGCTGATTTGTGCGAAATTTCAAGAAAAAATAAATGAACGTAATATAAACCATCAAAAATTAAGTTAAGATTTTATAAGAGAGGTCACTCTAAAATTTTGGTTGCTATTGATCAACAAATGTTTTTTAAAAAAAACTTAAAAGGCGAGTTCTTTCCCCTATTCAATATAAGGAAAAGAGTGCCTCCTCCCCCTCCCCCCCCTCCCTAGCCTCCTTCCTACGTCACTGTTTTATTGATTTTTACTTTATATTTTTAATATAATCATTCCATTCATGTAAACCTCGAGTACAAGTACCGTTTAAAAATGTCTCGTTTTAAATAACCATAAAGGCATAAAAAGGATATATAGATTAAAGATGGGGGTCTCTTTTAGAAGTTCGGTTCGGTCATCAGCAGGGTCCAATCGTCAGGAGGATTCGACTTCAATGTGTTCAGGTTGGTTCCATTATCATTTCTATTATAGAACCAACTCGCTAAACCTGTTATGTCGACGTTTTTTTAAAGTGGAACCGCCAATTTCTCTGTTTGTCTTAGCATTTTTTCTCCTCGGTTATGTCGATTCTTTTATGTCGCCGAACCCTGATATCTCGAGCACAAAATGTGGCCAAATGTGTCACTTAACCTCGGTTATCTCGATCCCCATGACCAATCGCCGGCTTTTAAAAGTTATATACAACAGAGACGTGCCTACTTCAACTGTTGTAATTGAAATTAATGACAATATCGTCCGCGCAAATAACTTGACACAGCGAGGAGTGAGAGGCTTGCAAACAAAAGAGAGAGGCGAGGTCGCAGTTCCTGTTCTATTTATAGCGAACCCGCTTGTCGCTTTATTAGGCTTTCACGCGTTCTTACAGTTACAGTTACAGGTTGATTTTTTAAATTTTTTTAAACCCAGCATCCATATTTGAATAAACTGAACTGGCGACTCCGGGGGGAGAGAAAATAAAAACTCGAGGATCCGAAGCTGAAAAACATTTAGCCTCACGAATCCGGAATTCTGGGATAATCTGGAAAAGTGGCACCCCACATATGCCTTGTGTTGTTAGCAAATATGTCTGTACATTTTTACAGCACGCCAATCGCTTCATCAAACAAATCGCGGTAACGCTGTTGTGTAAAAAAAAAAAAAACCTCCAAAAAGCACGTGCATGTACATTCTCATTTATAAACACACATCGTGTACATAAAGAAATTTCAAACACATGTTAATATATTGCCGCCATCTGGTTTTCGTTTATCTCGATCATCGGTTATCTCGACGCTTTGTGGCAAACCCCGAGGCCGTCGACATAACCGGGTTCTACTGAAAAGAGGGGAGGAGCGGTCCGCTCTATGGAGGCAGGGACGTAAGAAAATGGTGCGGAGGTAACGGTCCGCCTCGGGGGGCACTTTTTAAAAATTAAATTTGGGGGCTGCATTTTCGGCAAACTGAATAGTTTTTTTCGAGGAAGAGGTCGGAAAAACTCTTTGGCCCCCCCCCCCCCCCCCCCCCCCCCCCCCACCAGGTGGCACTAACCTTTGCTACGCCACTGTATGAAAGTGCCTAGTGTGAGAAATAAGGCCTAAAATGGCACCAAACTGAAATCCAATCCTCTTTAATGCAGCATTAAAACCGCTTTTTATTCGATCCTATTTGGAAGAGTGGGGGTGGGGGCATTAATTTTTTTATAGGTGAATAGTTGGGTGTGGGGGTAATTCAGCTTGGGAAGCTCTGCCATAAGCGTGTTAAATGGGTGTCCTCCCACACACACACACTTTTCGCCAGTTCAGCTGTTTGATTCAACGAAATAATTATGGCACTGGCACAGAATTACATAGCAATAACTATTTAATGTTGTGATGTCTTGAGAGTTTCAACACAAAGTAGCGGTATGACGACACATATGAAACATGGCGGTGATTTCTTTTGAGACTTTAACATATATTTAAACATTTCACAGATTAGTATGTGGCATTTAGCTGTCAGAATTTTAGGGATAGTTATTAATGTACGCACTTTCTGTAGACACCCCCCCCCCTTTTTTTTTTTCTTTTTACGCACCATTACGCATAAGCATCAAAGTCAACATAATAATAATAATAAAGCTTATTTCAAAATCACGCTTCATCCCCAAAGGTTCTCTTCTCCCGCGCAGTGCCTACGTCAGCGATGGATGGACCCATATGATCTGGTTCACAAACTTAAGTCTGGTAACTCTTAATAATCTTTATTATACTTCCTGGTATTCCACACTGTAAATTGCCATATGCGCCTGCTGACGCCCGTAACCCCACCCCCACCCCAAAAAAGGGGGGGGGGGTAAGCCACATGCGGAAAAAAGGAGGGGGGGGGGCGAAAAAATGCATATTTTGTGCGGACCCTATGTATGTATGTATGTATGTATATATGTATGTATGTATATGGAGAGCCGGGTGAGTTGCCACACTGTTTTTATATTTTTATCGACATTTCTATTGAATTTTGATATAATTGAAGTAACATTTTACTCAGAGTGGTTCATTCATTTGAGGTTAATTTGGTTAGAGTTTAATTAACATAAAGCAGACCTGCACAAGATCCGGCCGGCGGGCCACGTTCGGCCCGCCAGCACCCACTTTGCGCCCCACAAGTAACGAACTATTCTTTTTTATTATTATTTTCATAATAGTTTCCCACTTCCCCGGTCCTATTTTCATTGGGTCCGCATAAGGTTTTCATAGATAAAGTATTACAGCCCGCCTTACATTTTGAGTTGTGCTGGCCTGACCTATGGGGTGCCAATTTTGATATAGCCGTTTCTAAAAGGACTCCAGCGTGTGACATCCCGTACTACCCAATGGGATGGTTGTCAAACAGTGTTGGGTAGGTTGTCACATAGTGTTATGTAGGTTTTCACATCATGTTTTAGTTATTTACCTCAGTTAATTTAGACAAAATAAATAAAAAAAATAATAATCTGTCAATCAGTTCACTTATCTGAAATTTCAGCTAAAGGGAATCTCGGATAATTGAAGGGCCCAAAGTTATGATGTGGAAAATGAAAATTAAAAGAAATTATTTTTTAAATTGATTTGAATAGCTTCATATGTGACTAATGTGACACACTCAAAAATTTTAAAAAATATAAAAAAAATTAAAAAATGTATATATCAACTAAATATATTTTAACCCATTAGCCTAATGAAAGAAGCTGTCCTAACGGTCCATCACTAGTTTTAGTTTTACAGTTAAGTAGGAGGGAAATCTCACATACAATCCCCCCCCCCCCACCTTTTTGTTGTGCATATCCTTAATAGCCTATCTTCAAACAATAGTAAAAATGGCTTTTTTAATATCATTATTTAGATTTTGAATCACCCACTAATGTAGAAATCGGGGAGTGGGCGTCACTTTTTTGGAGGAGCATTTCTCATCACGTGCATTGAAAAGAAAGTTTTGTTTATTTTTTCTGGGGGTGGGCTGGTTAGTCTTGCGAGTTGGGTGTCAAATGGTTATATTTTATAGGGCCTAAAATATGACATATAAAAATAAGAATGTTCCTATTTTGAAAGAGCCGCTTCACTGCTTCATTTCACAACATCATTATTCAAATTCAGATATCTAAATAACCCATGGGTCGCATTCTTTTTTTTTTTTTTTTTTTTTTTTTTTTTTTTTTTTTTTTTTTTTTTTTTTTTTTTTTTTTTTTTTTGTTTCTTTGTTTGTTTCTTGCAACTGTCTAAATGTGCTATGATCCTGTCAACTCCAACAGTTATGAATAAAAAAATCTATTTTTACATACATGAAAATCGTATTCACGCCACTGAAGAGTCACATGATCACCACTATAAACAAAATGTCGTCCGAAAAGTTTGAGTCGCTGGAAGAAGACCTAAATACAATTCTTGATGAATTAAAAACTCAAGTTCAAAATTTATCCCATTCCAGTGGAGGTAAAAAAAATTCCCAATTAGTTTAGTGCATTTACATACTCCTTATTATTTCGCTTTTTAAACAGTAAAGTTAGGCTAACTTATACTTATTTATAACTACTACTTTGAATGACGAATTATAAAAATAAAATTAATAATAATTATAGTATAGTTATAGTCAAAGACTAACAAGTAACATTACTAAGAACTGTCAAAACTGGAGTAGGTCTAGAAGGAAGAATTCATATAAAAGCCTAATTTCTTTGGCTGATTGATAAATTATAAGTGCCTACATTCTTCTACATTACTGTGCAAGAAATACTATTTTGCCTATTTTACAATTAAAATTAGTTTTACCAATTTTTCTCAGAGGAGCGTAAAAGTTTGCTCAGGAGAGTTGAGCGAAAACTGGAAGATGCTAACATTATTGTAAGTAGAAAATGTGATACTGATACTATTTATGTTTTACAATTAATTATTAAATATTGAATAATTGCACATAATGCCAGTACATGGATTCAGCAACGTACCCTACCAGCCAGAACCAGAATTATAAATTATAATTGATTAATCCGTTCCTGGCAGTGAATAACAACACTATGGATACCAGTCCTTTTTTTAAAAAGTACTTCAACACTTTGGCGTTAAACTCCTCCACTTGAGCATAAGTATCCGGCATGCCTTTCACTAAATTATCTTGAAGGCTTTCTCAGAAATTATTGTCTGAGAAATTATCCCCAGCCAGCTTTTTCTCATTAATCCAAACTCAGAGGAGTTTTGTTATCTCTTCCATAATTTTTTTTATCTCCTAGAGGTCAGTGTTGTAACCTCTTTCCCCACATCATTGGCTTTGATAGGTTATTTATTTTTCAAAATCATAAAAACAGATGATATAGGCTTTCTGAGCAAAGTAGCGAGATCAGCCACATGTGGACCACTTTCATGCTTAGCGATAAGATCTTTCTTATCTTCAATTGTAGTTCTAACAGCTCTCCTCTTACTCTATTTTTCTCACCTCACTTTTTAGGACCCATTGCGAAAACACTTTGTCGTTAGGTATATAAAAAAATAACACAAAAGAGGCATAAATTTAGCATCAAAAATCACACAAGATCCTTTCACTACAGCGTCCTACAACATAATGGACAAGAAAGCATACAAGTGGCTTGAGTGCTGGGTAAATGTACTCTAAAAAACACTCATACAACGCATTCCGATTCCAAAGTAGTATTTGGATTTAGGGCAAAAATTTGCTCAGACTTTGCTAAGATTCCAAGTTGGTTTTAGTTTTCTATTGAGTTCAGGAACATTCCCATGCAAGGTATCACTATAAAGGAAAAAACACTCAGGATTTTAATAGTTTAATATGTAACAGATACTGTTGTTTTTTTTCAGGTACAAGAACTTGAGAGTGAAGCGAAATTAGCACCCATGAACTATAGGACACAGCTTCTTGGGAGACTAAGACATTACAGAAATGATCTAGATCAGTTTGCAAGGAATCTGGTATGTTCACTTATATTAACCTATCCAAGCCCATTTTAAAATTAATATACAATAATTTCATGAAAAAAAAAAGTTTGTAATTCTTCGTTTATGTAAATTTCTTCACGCAGTAAAACAAATTTGTGTTGGGCCAATCAGAATTCAGCATATATAAATGATTCAAAGGGAAATTAGGAACCTAAATGTTTAGGAGCATGCTGTAAAAGAAAATTATGGTGTAAGAACCAGCAGCTGATTTATGAACGCAATGAAGACACATACAAACAATAAAAATGTCACGTTTGATAATAATCAACTTAATCTCTTAATACATAAATGAAACATAGTACACAAGAAGCGGAAGTTATGGCGCAATGAAACTTGTTAAATACATTTGTTTACTAAGTGAGCACCAAATAATAAATGAAATAGCAAAATGAGGTTTGTGGAAGCTTGAATTTAAAGACAGGACAATAAGATTAGAATGTTTCGGCATCGAGCCTTCTTCAGCGCACAGGGCAAATGAAAATATCACAAGGAACATAGCACAGTAAACAACTAAAAAAAAACTTATCAAATAATAATAATGTCTTTGTCCCAATAAAGGTTGCTGTTTGTTTCCTGTATAAATTTATTAAGTTGGATCAGTTGTGTGAGTGAAACAAGTTAAAAAGCAGGGCGGTTGGCCTCTCCATAAGAATCCTGTATATGTTAAACAACCCCTACACCCTCTGAAAAAGTGCAGAGCTCTAAAAGATAATTGCACATGGTGTCAACATTATGTGCAATATGTACTAACAAGACTGTACAGATGCTCATTAACACATTGGCCACTGTCCATTTACTTTATGGATTAGATTCCCAAGAGTTCAGTTATGCGAGGGGAGCAGGTAGGGTTAGGTGTAGTATGATGCCTGAGGGCACCAATATTTACTATGCATATGTATGAAGTATGCAAAAACGATAAAATACTGGATACACTTATTATCTAATCCAAGTCTGCGACATAGTGATAATGATAAGGATGGTGTTAATATTATCAAATACTAGATAAATAAATATTAGGAAATTATAATTTATTATTTCCTTCATCTGTCAATTAAACTTAAATAGAATAGAAATTATTAGAAAACAACCGTGGCACAGAGTCATATCTTGGAGTCAGAGAAATAACAATGAAATTTACATAGCAATAGCAAACAACCCTGACACAGAGATATACCTAGGAGTCAGAGAAATAACAATTAATTCCACCCCCAAAGCTCTGATGCCTGTTTCTGTGATGTTTACTTAATGCCTGTTGCTGTGATGTTTACTAAATGCTTGTCGCAGTGATGTTTACTTAAAGCTTGTCGCGTTGATGTTTATTTAATGCCTGTTGTATACTTTTAGAAACGTGGAAATGGTGCAGGCTCAAGTGGCATGGATAATTCTGGGTTTGATAGGGAAGAGGTGAGTAAGTTTCTTTGCTATTCAACTTTTTCTATTGATTACTGTATTTCATTTTTAAAAGAGGTACCATGCATTAGTTAATTTTATTTTAAACAGATGATGTTTAATTAACTTTTAGCGGAGTAAATTTAGATAACACAGGAATTAATCTATTGTTGACACACCCCTTCTGGTTAAAACAAATTTTCTTGACGAAATCTTCTCTATTATTTTACATTTACAGCGATTAGAATCTTCAAATCGGGCAAAGCTGTTTCAGGGGCATCAGTCCCTCCAACGTGCCAGCGACAGTATAGCAAGGTCTCATCAGATAGCAGCAGAGACGGATCAGATAGGCGTTGAAATTATTGATGAGCTGGGGTCACAGAGGGAAACATTGCTCAGGACAAAAGGGCGGGTAAATATCTAACATGTCATGCAATTTAAATTTCAAATAGATCTATTTCAAATAGATTTAGTTATAGTCAATGAAACGGATTATAGTACAGGTCCCATATTTTTTTTGTATGTAGAATGCACCAAAAAAACAAAATGCCTCGCATTGATAATGATTCCTTTGTTACTAAATATTAAGACACCCTTATATGGTATGCCCAGGGTTCTGGACTGGAGCTGGAGATCTGAGCTCTGGAGCAGGTTCTTTTGTCCCAGAGCTGAAGCTGAGCTGGAGCTGATAAAATTTCTTACTGCTCCGAGTCCGAAAATTTAATTACTTAATTTTAAATAAAATTATTAAAATTTATGTATTAAAATTGATGCCTCCACTCTTCTACCAGTTATTTTGCCCCATTCTTCTACCAGCTGTTTTGCCATTCTTCTACCAGCTATGTTGCCCCACTCTTCTAACAGCTATGTTGCCCCACTCAAAATTCTACCAGCTATGTTACTGGTACAAACATTTCTAATGCCTAGTTAATAAGATGGGTAAGTGACAATAATAAACACATTTCTTTAAACACTTAGCACCCCCTTAACCATCCTCTAACTGGAGAATGGAGCAGAGCTGGGTGTGACTAAAATTTGTCCAGAGCAGAGCTGGAGTGGAGCTTGGCCAAAAGAAATTCTGCTCCAAATCCCTGTTTATGACACACCAGTTGAAAACTTCTGGGCTGGATGATTTATCTTTGTCCACTTGAAATCTGCTCTCAAACTTAAATAGTTCTTGTTCAAGTCGGAGTGATGGACATTAGTCTTTCTCAAATGGTTGTCTGCAGACCGGTGCCGGCCTGTGAGCCTTACATTGCACAACATGAATATTTATGGTTGAATAAAAAGAAAATATAATTAATAAATCTGGCACCAGTCCCTGATCCAATTTCAAAATGTGTCCACTGGTCAACTTAATCGTTTGGGAAACACTGATATACATAGCGTAATTAACTGGTGACTGAATGTATTAATTTTATGTTCTTGATTGATGAGCTCTTGAAGTGTTTCATCAATGTAATCCTTCACACCAGTGGGATATTCAGGATTGCTGATTTAGCCATCACTGTTAGGATTCCAAATAACCAGCCTTGGTTCTATCAGGGATTATCAGGCTGAAGGGAACATCCCCAAATGACCAGCCTTGGTTCTATCGGGGATTATCAGGCTGAAAGGAACATGCCCAAATGACCACTAGAACTGAATGATGATGGCCATTTCTAACTCTCCAGGCAACCGACACACATTCTTTGATGAGTCTTGTAATTAGCTTTGGTGGCACTGGTAATAGTCCCTGTCTTAGAAGTCAGTTTATTGAAAAGTAAAGTAAAATATGTTTAGCCTGATTGAGATCTGATGCTGGACCAATGTCTTTTGACAGCTTGGGGATACCAATGCAAGTTTATCTGAGAGTCGGCAAATACTGAAAGGGATGGCGAGAAGGTAACCATTTGCTTCAACTATCTTTTGTCAACGTTAGTGTTTACTATTGACTTGGATGTGTTTAACATATTAATGCATTAATGGCAACTGTTATGAATAGCAGTCACTAAGGTCCATAAAGTTTTATAAGACCTCTTGTTTAAAACATAAAACTCTTCTGATAAACTCTTATGACTGTAAAGAGATAGATTTAATCATTTCATTATCACTTCATTGAAATTCGGTTACAATTAGAGTGTATAGAAATTACAATTAAATCATAAGATTTAGATTATTTATGGCTTTTAAACATTGAAAAGTTGTGATTGGAAAATATATATATTGATATTTTGTAGTTTCTAATGATTATGTTTTTAAAGTACAAATGTGTCTGCCATATTATTCCTTGTTAAATGAAATTTACTCTCAATTTGGCATCTAAACAGTATTTTAAAATTTTGCCTTTCAAAGGCTTTCTTCTCTATTTGGTTACCAAACAGTATTCAACAAGTATATGACATTAAAATATCCATGTATATGCCATTAAAATACACATACAACACATTTCATTAAAATACACATATAATGCATCATTAAAATAAGTAAATAATATATACCATTAAAATACTCATATAACATGTCATCAAAATACACATTCAATGTGTCATTAAAATTCATATATAATATATACCATTAAAATACAAATACCGGTATAATATATGCCACAAAATTGCCCATATAATATAAGTCATTGAAATACACATATAATATTTGTCATTAAAATTAAATACAGTTTTCCCTCTTTTCAATGTTTTCCAGGATGATGACAAACAAACTGATACTAGCTATAATAATCTTACTGGAGTTGGCTTGTCTGGCTGGTGTAATATACTGGAAGTTCTTCAGTTAACACCCAGTGGGAGATGTGTCATTCCAGTCATCTGCACCAATAAAATATATACAATAATGACAGACCTGAATTCTAGAGTAAATGTGTGATAACCTAAAGCTGCTGTGAAGGAAGCAAAATGAAGCTATCAGAAGTGCGGTTTCCACGAGGACCATGCGCTACTGTTATAAAATCTTTTTTAAAAACATCTTTGTTATTGTAGACAATTTTGTGGTTGTTTTTGTTTACATACTGGGTTGTTTTTGTTTACACATACATACTGCTTTGTTTTTTTTTTACATTAGTTACACATATGCAGTGTGTTGAGTTTGTTTACATTAGTTAAACATACACACTGCGTTATTTTTGAATAGCTGAATATAGAATAAATTATTTTTTTCTGTTACTTATGCAGACTTGTAAATTATTTTTCTTGATGACATAGCACAACAAAGATTTTGTTACTGAACAAACTCTGGTGGGTTATATTTGTTTTAAAGTGCTGATAGCGAATATGAAGTCAGAATCTGCCCAGCACGTCTAGATTTTAAGTTATGCATGCATTCAAGTAATATGGATACATTACTACTTTTGATAGCCTGCCAAACATGTTTTGAAATGAATGCTTTCCTCTAAATGCATACATATATTTGTATTTGCTTTAAAAGCATTGTCATAAGATTATTTTTTCTTAAATTTTATTGTTTTGTTCAATAGATTCAGGCATGATTTTTTATTAAGACTTAAATTTGACTTTTAGATTTTTTTAGTTAGAAAACAAACAAAAAATTTCTTATTGCAAATAGGATACATTTTTAATTTAAGTTATACAAAAAATAATATTTTGTGTTGTTATGACTACTCTTCAGTATAATCTGAGTATAATCTTTGAAAAATCTAAGCAAAAGCTGAGTATAATCTGAGTATAATCACACATTTAAGAGAATACTATTCCTTTAAAGAGTTTGACCATTTAATTGTGCATGTGAAGCCTGCATAACCTAGGATCCTGACCTCCTACAAAATATCTGCATCAGCAGACTCGATTTAGTAAATTACACATGATAGTGATAGCATAGATATGTACCCAGTGGCAGACAAAAAAAAATTAATTAAAAAAAAAAAATTTGTCTTGTGGTATTTGTGGCACAAGTATGTTTTCTTTTGTTGAGTTCACGATCAAAGTTTTCATCTTTTATCTATCATTTAAATATGTAACAATAGACATACATTTTAAAAAAATTTAATAAAACACTTGTATAACTAATTTAACTTCATCTTGATTTAAGTGCATTAATTTGAATTTCTGTTCAAATACAGAAAACAGTTTCTGGTTAACATAACGTTTATTGAGACCATTAATTTTTGTTCTTTAAACACAACCAAGTCAGCTTTGAGACATAAAAAGCCACAGTTTTCTGTAGTTGTTTTTTTAAATCTTTGGTGTACATTTTTTTGTTTTGTAAATTATTTCCATTTTCTTTGCAGTGAGTGTGCAATAAATGATGCGCAGCATGCAATTCTCAACATGAGAAAAAGTTAGAGCTCATTCCACAGCTATTTATCATGGGATGACGGCCTACATCTCATTAATGCACTTTTTGTTTTGTGTACCCGAAAGTACCCTGTCTTTTAATATTAAGAGAAATGCTTTCATAAAATGTGTAAAAATGACAATTGATTTGGCTATGTTATAGTTATAGTTAAAATATACACATTTTTAATGAAAGATGTCTGCCATATCCAAAAATCATCAATTTAAATGAGTAATCTTTCTGCATCGTGTAAAAGGATTAATGGATTTATTATATGTTCTTCCAGAGGCGCAAGTACCGAGTGTTTTGAAATCTCTAGTTTTGATTGGACTGAATTCTCTCACATTAGACAATAACTTGGAAATAAGTATGCACATATGTTTGCTGATATATTGTATTTGTACAGCAAAACACGCTCTTTAATGCTACAAGATTTTGTATCCATTGATGATTTTCAACTCCATCATGACCTTTGATTTGTACAGTCAACCATGATGAATATTTCACACCATGGCTTGATGGTGCCATTCTTCTTGTGGGGATGCCTGTTTGCATGATGATCTTGTTGTAGATTTTTTTAAAATCTGGCTTTCTTTTCTAATGAAAACTTCAATTCTTTGTTATTTTGCTTCATTAAGTTTACACACCTTCAGAAAACTGACAGCGCCATGTCAGGGGAAATAAAAACTACATGAGTCGCTTTTATGAAACTGGATTCGCTTAATTTTCTAGTTATCAAGTTTGTTTTCAAGTTGATATTCAATAAATGGTGAATGTATTTTTATCATATTTTTTGAGAAGGATGTTGATTTTTAAATATATTTTTTTCCTTAAGGATGCACATCTATATTTAGTTTTGACTAGTTATAAAAATTGAAAAGGCATTTGCACTTTTCTCGATATGTACATTGACTATGCTGTTAATTTCCTATTTAAACATGGTATCATGATATTTTTACCAATGAAATGTTTTTGTTTACATATAAATCTATGAGCTTACTGCATGTTTGTAAATAAAATTGTGTAAAGTGTTACTTAACTATTTGGCTCAAATGAATAAAAAAAAAAAAGTGAATATATTTATTATCTCCAAAGTCTCACGCCTACTTTCTTCTGCTTGTGAGATATTAATAGCAGTTTTATCTACTATTTTAGATGTGAATAGAGCGTCTCCACATTTATTGATCAGCAATATTAGTTGTTTTCAACTGATGGGGAAGTACTTGAAGTACTAACTACATAACTGCAACTGATGGAAGTACTTGAAGTACTTACTAAATAACTACACCTGATTGAAGGAAGTACTTGAAGTACTGACTAAATAACTGCACCTGATTGAAGGAAGTACTTGAAGTACTGACTAAATAACTGCACCTGAGGGAAGGAATTACTTGAAGTACAGACTAAATAACAAAATCTTTTCTGAATGCAAAGATGTTTTTCTTGTATCTTCCTCTGCCTGTCCTCACAAGGAGTGATCACTGAACTATTAAATTAAACTAATCAGTTGAGTTGGGTGTCTGATGAAAGGTTTAAACTGAGCCAACCCCAAGCATGTGGCTTGTAGACTGGAGTTTAATCCCCAGCAAAATTCTTCACCAGCAGAAACATCACCAGCAACCCCTGTGCATGAGACTCGTTCGTCTTGTGACAATGACACTATTAAAATTCTGGCAACTACTGCGCCAAGCTGTACCATACACACCTGATGTTCCCTTGGGTTATCCAGATGTGTGGAGAGAGGTGATTTGATGTCTAGGGAACCAGCTTCTCCTGCTTAAGAATAATCTGAGACCTTGTGATTTCGTCCTGGGAAGTCTACACCATCGTAACATTTGAGTGTGGCGGACCGATGTCCCAAAAAATTAAAATAATTTTTTGTTGGGCTATCTTGCTTTGAGAAAATGATGGGGCGAAGGGGTATAAAATATCAAGGACATCAGCTTTTGGGAAACCGCAAAGGATGATTAGCTTCATCAGCATTTTATAAACGTTAAAATTAATCTTTGTGATACTTCCGACAAAATTAATTCGACTAGAAAAAAAGAAATTAAGTCTCAATGTGGTTACTTGTTTTTTTTTTAATGCGATAATTTATTTTTATCTTTAATTCTTTCAAAAGAAAGGAAAAAAATGTGCAACATTTATCTTCAAAAATTCTGATTTTTTTATACCGTTACTATCTAAAATTATTTAAAACATATGCGGCATTGACATAAATTTGATCATTTTACACCAAAAACTTCAAGGTCTTAGTAAAAAATTAGTACGTTTTTTTTTGTGTGGTTATTTATAAATCTCTTTTCCCATTATACTTTGCAATGTCCAGATATATCAACCTGTTGTGCACCCCCCTCACAGCCCAAATTTATAAATTAATAACCATTAGTACATTCTCCTTAACAGTTTCCCTCTAAATGAGATTTATTTTTATATGCTGACAAGATCCTCCCCCAAATTTCTCTCTTGATATCTTTCTATAAAATATTTGCACAACACCCAGGTCACAGGTGATCTCAATGTGTATAAACATGGCACTGTCTCAAATAGCAGATGTCTCAACTGCCTGGTTAAACAAGCACTTCGCCAACTCCACAGGCTTGGTTTAACAAACCTAGATATACCCCAAAAATTTAAAACAAATAATGAAATGATTCTACATACATAAATATCTATTTAAAATGTCACATACACATATTTTATAGATATCTTCATATTATCACATAAGTCATACAAACTACAGGAATTAGGACATAAAATAAGTCTTTAAAAAAAAACCCACCTCACAGCTGTAGAGTTGAAGCATGGCACAGAACATCTAAAATTGAATGCTGGCAAACCATAGTAGGTTTGGATACGAAAAGTCATTCTGACATTTAACGACATATCACTCCGTGTTATCCTTGGCTTTCTCAAAGAAAATGTATCCGGTAAAACACCAACTGCCATGAGTATGGATATGGAGGAGCGTTTGAGTAACACAAACATGGTCCTTTATGATAAGTGACATTCATTATTAGTTAATGGGTTCTTTACATTTAAAAAAAAATCTGCAGTTTCTTTGAAAAAGATATTAAAAAAAAAAATATGTCTAAGCATTAAACAATTCTCATCTTTATTATTGAATGTGGGGGGGTGGGGGTGGGGGTTTAATATTTAATTCACTTTTATATTGGAGACCTTAAAATCTATTTGTGATGCCACTACCACAGTGGTTCTCAACCTTCCTAATGCCGCGACCCTTAAATACAGTTTCTCATGCGACCCCTAGCCACAAAATTTTTTTCGTTGCTACTCCATAACTGTATGGTATATGAGTTTTCTGATGGTCTCAGGCGACCCCTGGGAAAGGGTCGTGCGACCCCCAAAGGGGTCGCGACCCACAGGTTGAGAACCGGTGCACTACCGAATAGGGGTAAAAATCTGAGATTAGAAAAATTGTAATAATGTGTCAAGCATATTTGCAGAATTAATAATAAGATAATTTGTGGCACACATTTCTATTTCAGTCTTATTCAGAAATGTACAAGTAGGAATAAAGAGAATGTCACTATCTTAAACTCAAAATGGATTTAACTGAACTAAAATCATCCTGAGAAGTCTGAACTAATACCATTTTTTTAGAAAGGTCTAGTGACATAATTTAGACCTTGATTGGACTTCCACTAAGACATGCTCACCCTCACAGACAAGATGTTTGCAGTCAAATAATCAATAAAAAATTTTTTAACATCCTATGGGTTAAACTGCACCCTTAAAATTAATTAATGGGATATTAACCCCAAAAAACCCATCACATCATGTTCCAATTAATCATACAATGGCAGCATCTCATCTATGAACAGTTAGTAGAGATTATCATTATGAAAAAGAGCAATGAATTTTATAAGTCACAAATGTTTAATTAACAAGATTCAAGATACAAAATTTAGAAGACGTAGCTATTGTAGAGGGATTATCTACAAATGATGTCAGCGGGATTGGGGAGTGAGGGATTCAAATGACTAGGACAGAAGTGGAAACACAACAGCTGGTCGAGGTTGAGGAATTCAAGGAGTGCTGCTTTCAAGAAAGAAAAAATGACAACTGAGATCAGATAGCACTTACAGACACTTTAAGCAAAAAATTCATTTCATTAACATGGCCAATTCATTTAAGGAAAATTGTATCAAATTCATAATTAGGACTACAAAATGGCTCAACAGTCCACAAACAGGACTAGCAAAAATCTGGACATAAGCTTGCTTTTGTTTTATCCACCTTCATTTATAAAATTTAGCTATACGATACTATCTAAGGAAAATCCATTACAAAGGTACAAGGAGAGTTCTATGGAATCAAGTTACAAAATGAAACTTTTTGTGAAAATAAATGAAGAGAATTGTCACAATTGTCTATTTTTAACTCTCTCTATGTGAGCATTCACTCAAAACTTCTGATTTCTATGTGAGCATTCACTCAAAACTTCTGATTTCTATGTGAGCATTCACTCAAAACTTCTGTTCTCTATGTGAACATTAATTCAGAACCTTTGTTCTCTATGTGAGCATTCACTCAGAACTTCTGATCTCTATATGAGCATTCACACAGAACTTCTGATCTCTATATGAGCATTCACACAGAACTTCTGATCTCTATGTCAGCATTCTCTCAGAACTTCTGATCTCTATGTGAGCATTCACTCAGAACTTTTGTACTGGCTCAGAGAAAGAAGGGAATTCATAACTGTAGTAGACCATTGTAGGTCTAAGTGTAACATATGTTGTAACAGCTTGTCTTCTTTGTTAACCTCTAAAGGGCTCTCAAACAACTATGAACCTATTTATAATTAAAAACTAGAACGGTCAAACTCATGTTAAGAGCCATTGTATAAGATGTGCCCCCCCCCCTTTTCAAGGCCTGTAATTAAGCATTATTTGAGTCCCCCTAAGACGGGTGGAGACCTCATGGAAATAAAAACAAGGGCTACAACCATTGTGATCTCAAGGGTGTGCACCCACTGCTCTAAGTAAAACTCCCTTGGTGAATCTTCTCTTTTCTCAACTTATAGATACCTCCTCCTTTTATATGCCGAAGAGATTTGAATAAATGGTTAATTCATAACAAGCTTAACAATACCCAGTCACCGTGCAGAACTTTGATCTGGTCAACACTCGGTCAGTCACAAGATCAGCAAATCATTGCAGTGTAATAAACAATAATGAAACAATTCCTCTTAAATGAACTAAATGAACAATGTAGCTAGTCTAAGCTAGGGCAGCAGGGTCTGAAAGGCATGTTTATGGCACCAGGTCTGGGAATACTTTCACATAAGGTTTTAAGTTTTAGCCAATGCAAAAAAAACAAAAAACAAAAAAAACACAGAACAATTATATGAACTTAAGAATGATGTCACAAAAACTAACTTCTCCGGGCCATTTCCCCCAATAAATAAACTGGAGTCATAGGAATGAAATGACATAAAGAAAGGGCCATCAGCCATGGCAGATTTTTAAAAAAAATAGACAAATAACAAATTTTTCCATTAGATGTTCGACATTCAGTCTTGCCCAATCTGAGATTCTCACTCCATAGCTAGAACAAGAGCTGAGGTTCTCACTCCATAGCTAGAACTAGAGTTGAGGTTCTCACTCCATAGCTAGAGCAAGAGCTGAGGTTCTCACTCCATAGCTAGAACTAGAGTTGAGGTTCTCACTCCATATCTAGAGGGTTTAAAGGCAGCAAAGTAGGTGTCTAAAGTTTTAACAAATGTTTATTTCCTATGAAACTTGATCTCTTTATAGACCAAAATAATTCTCAAACTTTGTCTTCGGCAGCATTCAGAAGAGGGCAGTGTGGTGGTTGGGGGGTGGACACCTGCAACTGGCAGTGCCAATAAAACAATGATGGAAGCAACTAAAAATGTGGATTCCTTAATGGCAAGTGTGCAATAAATAGATTAATTAGAAAGTTGATACCAGAACTGGCTCAGAATTAGGGGAGTATTCCTTGTCTTTCTATTTATGGTTTAGACTTAGTGAAGTATTCCTTGTCTTTCTATTTATGGTTTAAGACTTAGTGGAGTATTCCTTCCCTTTCTATTTAATGGTTTAGACTTTGGGGAGTATTCCTTCCCTTTCTATTTATATGGTTTAAATAAAATTCAAGACTAAAGATGTATATTAACATTTCCTTAGTTGAAAACCATTTTTCTTTTATTTTAAATTTTGAGATGAGAAAAAAAAAAGAAAGCAATGATGACATCATTCATAAGTCTATATTTAATCAAAAAAGAATTTTTCTTTTAAATCTGGGATAGAATCAAATATTCAATTAAATAAATGTTAAGATTAAGACTTTCAATTCCACAGCCCTAGATTAAACAGTAAATAAAGCTGGCAGTAAAAAAAATTTTCAACTGTATGGAATAGACTGGTAGACAATCAATTACAGTCAGTTAATTCAATTCATCCAAGTTTATATGCATCAACTGGTCATTAAGAACTATTTGTATGAAATTATTTCATAAACAACAGCATTTTGGAACCGAAATTCAAAAACAAATGTTTGCTGACAGAAAGGCCAGGTTTGTCACTAAGTGAGATGGTGAGCTCTCAATGAACAGGCTTGGCCCTCAATTGAAAATCTCTGATGCATGTATATTATACAAGCCGCAAGAAAAAAAAAAAAAAAAGAAAAGACAAACATAATGCCATTTTTGTGGTCTCACAGTGACTTTTAGAAACATTGTTTTTAGCAACAGGTAAATGACTTGAGTTTATGGAATTATACCTGCAACGGGAAGCTCACGATGGAGCATCTAACACCCTTTATGGCCCTGACAGCCTAACAATCTGCTCATTGGGAGGCGTTCAATCTCACGGTCAAGTCCTTCCTTCCTTTCTGGAAGTTGATGCAAATTTGACACAATATAGACCATTGTCCGTATTCCTCCCCATCACCTCACACCAGCTGAAACTTGTGTGCTCAGTACTCAAGCTTCTACTGCCCAAACTACTGAAATACTGCAAGGGCGGAAACTCAATTCCACTCCTTATTTTTCTTAGACCAAAGGGGTCGTACCTTACACTTCTTATTGTTCTTAGACCAAAGGGGTCGTACCCTACACTCCTTATTTTTCTTAGACAAAAGGGGTCCAGAGCCTACGCTCCTTATTGTTCTTAGACCAAAGGGTTCGGACTCTTGGGCTCCCACAATTTGTTCCCCCACAAATATTACCTCCAATCTGTCACAAGAATTAAAAAACATAAACAGTTACCTAGCTCCTTTGTGAGGTTATAGAATTATTGTCCTAATAATAAATAAATAGAGGAATTATCTCCCTATAATTGTCCTAATAATAGAGGACTCATTGCCTAATAATTCTCTCCTGATGGGTGTTGAGTCCATACTTTTCCTCATTGTCAAGGATACAACAACCATTGGCTCTTGAACTTTAACACCACAGTCCTGTTTGAGGGATTTTCCCCACTTAATTTGACCAATATCTGGCCATTATCCATATTACCGTGCACCGTTGTCATCTTAGGGAGAAGTATGTCCTTTCCCCTATGTGGCCTATCCAGCCTCGATCTCTTCTCCAACACCACTGTGACAAAGTGATCCAAGTCTATGAGGCTGTTTTAGCCCAGAAAGGCATGTGAAATCAATCAAGAGCAAACAACATATACTATTAAATATTGCATGGATCAATCTAAAAAAAACACCAGTCTCATCACAAGCTTCTTAAAACAATCTTCTTACAACAAGCTTCTTAAAACAATCTTCTTACAACAATCTTCTTAAAACAATCTTCTTACAACAAGCTTCTTAAAACAAGCATCTCACAAAGCTAAACCTTGGGCTGGAAGGTCAAGAAAGAATAGAAAGGTTAAAAATAGATGACCCCTATTCTTCTTTTTTGTTGTTGAACAATTGAAAAGAATGCCAGGTTGGAAGTAAACTTTAAGAAAACAACATCATTGCACTTGACTCAAATTTTTAACTATGGTGAACACCAGCTGGCTCAGCTTGGACATCTAAAATATTTACATCAACAGAAATCTCAGGCTTAACTTGGGTCTTTGTCAAAATTAATGGTGTTGATGGTGAAAGGAGTGCTGGCGTATGTACAGAACAAACAAATTTCACTCCCAAAATTCTAGTGAATCTCCAAGGGGAAAAGAAATTATATTGAAAGGCAGAAAGAGGCAAAGAAGAATAAATTATATAGAAAGAGCCAAAGACAAATTAATTGTTCATGAAAGGAATTAAAAAAATATACTTAAATCTCATGCTTAGGCCATACACTGGTCAGTTAGATATTTACAGTTTCACCGATATTTCTGGTACTTATTAGACACATCAAGTTGTCCTTCATGTTGGCTGGCATCAATTTGAAATTACCTTTGTTTGTTCGAAAATACTTTTTTTTAAATCTATAAATAAGGTTGAATTCAATTAAAGAAAATTAATCAAATGCCACACTCCCTGGTGGCTGCGGAAAAAAAATTGACATCAGGAACAGGAAACATAACATGAGTAATTCGCCTATTTACATTTATAGCCAAATTTCTCAAAATTGCATTTATTCCAAAAGTTGCCATGTTTCCCCATTCCTACAACTGGCCACAAACACAGAATACCTTCAAATTCAACTGAGATGGAGCGAAACAATGGCCTTATTAGATTGGACGAAACTGTTTTAGTCTCAAACGAGCTATTACAAATGTTTTAAAACCATTTTTGACAAACATAGGAAGAGGTTACCAATGGTCTTGTAGATAAAAGACATTTAAATATTTCCATAATAATAAAAAAAATATTTTTTTATCAGTTTGAAAATGTTACCATTATCATTATTGTTAAAGTGATATGCCAAACCTCATTTCCACCAAGAATTAAATGACCATAATTATCAGGTCATTGTGTGCGCCACATCATGGTGGACAGGTCACCGTGTGAGTTACATCATGGTGGACAGGTCACCGTGTGAGTTACATCATGGTGGACAGGTCACCGTGTGAGTTACATCATGGTGGACAGGTCACCGTGTGAGTTACATCATGGTGGACTAAACAAATAAAAAAAAACAGCAGTCCAATAAAAATCCACGACTCTCCAAAGTACAGCTAAAGGTCGACACCTTTCTTGACGCAGTTGGTGCACACTCGCACCGGGTAGTCCCACCCTCTCAGAGGAACTGGGCGTTTTTCGGGCGAGCACTTCTCGCAAACGCCTTGCCCGCAGTCCCGACAGTGATGAATGGCCAGTCGGGGTCCAAAGTTTTCCTCACAAACGCAACAATTCTTAATCATCTCATCTGGCACCCAGTAGACGGGCCGGGCAGAATTCTTGATCATTCCTGGAGATAAGTTTGTATGTGGAAGATATGTGGTAGATATGTGGTGGTAAGGCCAAAAAAAATAACACCAAGCTTAAGCAAATAAATAAAATGCAGTCAACATCAACAAAAAGGAGACAAAAAGGGTCCAGATAAAATGAGTGAATTAAATACATTCTTGGACTAGTCAATAGAAATAAGGAAAAGTTCATTGACTTGGCACAGGAAGATTGTAACAAATATTTTTGCTAACATCATTCTATTTATAAGCAAGTTAACAAAATACAAAGCAACTAAAAACACCAGAGTTTTGACAAAACTATAACAGTGTAAATGGAAGTAAACAATCCTTCATAAAGTACACGTTATTTTGTAATAACTGTCTTGGAGGCATGGACCAGAAGTAACAAAACCCCCTTTCTTAAATAGTCATCAGTTCTGAGCAGCCATTAATCAAATATCAGTACTCCAATTACAAATTTAATAAGAATTCAACTCATCCCTTTGATAGAGAAAAAAACAAACAGGAACTGTTGGGATACAAACGGGAATCATTGGGCGACAAACAAGAACTGTTGGGATACAAATACAAACAAGAACTGTTGGGATACAAACAATAAATGTTGGGATACAAACAAGAACTGTTGTGATACAAACAAGAACTGTTGGGATACAAACAAGAACTGTTGGGATACAAACAAGAACTGTTGGGATACAAACAAGAACTGTTGGGATACAAACAAGAAATGTTTGGATACAAACAAGAAATGTTGGGATACAAACAAGAACTGTTGGGATACAAACATAAATTGTTGAGATACAAACAAGAACTGTTGTGATACAAACAAGAACTGTTGGGATACAAAAAAGAACTATTGGGATACAAACATAAACTTTTGGGATAAAAACAAGACATGTTGTGATACAAACAAGAACTTTTGGGATACAAAAAAGAAACTATTTGGGAACTAAAAATATATTAAACCACTGGTCAATGTACAAACCTATAGGATAGTCCAGGGCGGAGGCGACTACACTGAAGGTTGAAGTCACGGCCTCACCCACTTTCCTTGCAGTCAAAGCTGCTTTCTCACTGGATGCTTCGTCCACAGTTTCTGGGGAAAGGAAATAGATCGTGCCATGTCAATTGTCTAACTGATCCATAAAAAAACAATTGGATGGTTTGACACAGTTTGCGTTGTTGGGGGGGTGCACCACATGTGTTAGAAGGGTATGGTGTTGGTTGAGGTAACGCCAGGTTTGCAGTTATAAAATATTGAAATCCTCCCCATCTGTGAGGTTAACAGTTTTCCTGTTTTAAATAACTAAAACTATGCCTGCAGCATTACCAAAACAACACAACTGTAGTTCATAAAAAAGTTCTCCGACTTGGAAACATGGTCTAGAAAATAATTAGGATTTGTAATGTCATCCATCATTCTTATTTTAATCCAAAGAAGAAAAGAAAATGCAGGATTTTAAAATGCAAAACTAAAAATTCAGTAATATCTGAGGCACTTAAAAAAAAAAAAAAATTTGAATGAGTTGAACCAAAGCTGAAAAATTTTTTAAAAAATTGGGCTTCTTTTAAATCACCTGCATCAGGAGTGGAGGGTATTCTTGTACCTCTCCCACCCATGGAAAAATGGTCTAGAAAATAATTAGGAATTGTAATATCATCCATCATACTTAATTTAAACCAAAGAAGAAAAGAAAATGCAGGATTTTAAAATGCAAAACTAAAAATTCAGTAATATCTGAGGCACTTAAAAAAAAAAAAAAAATTTGAATGAGTTGAACCAAAGCTGAAAAATTTTTTAAAAAATTGGGCTTCTTTTAAATCACCTGCATCAGGAGTGGAGGGTATTCTTGTACCTGTCTCATCCTTATCGTAGCAATGGTCGCACACCCGAACTGGATCCGGGCCCCATCCTCTCTCTGGCACTGGTCGTTTCCTGGATGAGCACTCTGAGCAAAAGCCTTTCCCGCAGGCTCGGCAGTGGTGCTTCTGTTCAGCACAGTCAAATAGGATTTGACACTTTGCATTGGAACATTTCTGATAAATGAAATAAACAAATTTTTCACCCCATTTGTTTCAGTTTAAGGAATAACAATCAACATTTTGCCTTTTCATCAATTAAAAAAAAAGTTGTCTAAATGTTTAAGCTATTATAAAAAATATTATTATTAATAACAAACTGATTTGGTGGGGGGGGGGGATGTCTAAGCCATAAAAGAGATAGATTCTGTCATATGCCACAACAGGAACAGCAGTGGTGTAATCTGCCAGTTGTACATCCAGAATAATATAAATATGGCAAAATATTATTTATTTTGGCATAAAATAATGAAGACATTTTTAAAAAATGTGTAATATCATGCAAACAAAAACAAATGAAACACTGACTTATTAATAACTGTAATTACATTATGTGTCCATTATATTGACAAATTGTGCTCATATCTTAATGATGCATTCCATTTAATATTTATCTAATAAAACTCGCTCTCTCTTTTCTAGCAAATAACCCTCACCACTTACAATAATCTCACTGTTGGGCACCCAGTAGGATGGATTGATCTGGTCAGCTGTCCATTCAGCCAGATACTTGGTTGGCCTGGCACCCACACTGCTAATGGTGTTGGCTACATAATGAAAGCCATCTAGAACTTTCTGGGCTGCATTGTGTGTGCCATCTAGTGCTGATGGACCCTGCACATTAATTAATTGCGTGTCACAATTCATGGTTTGAAATTAATTTTGAGCTGACATGGAAGAGTTTTATAAACATGATGCAACCATAGTTTTTTTTATATAATAGTTAGCAAACTTGAGTTTTCTTTTTACATTGTTTACAAATAAGCTTGGATTTATGGGAACTATTTCCACTAAAAGCAATGTGTAAAAGCATGTGTACAGCCATTGTTATGTTGACTGTGGCTTTTGTATCAAGTTAAGAACAGTGGTACTTTGGTTTACATTTTAATCTGCATTTATGCTGATCTCTCTAAAGTGTCAGACTGTTGCTAAACTGGCTTTAACATGTGGGTCATAGAGTGTAAGACTGTTTCTAAACTGGCTTTACCATGTGGGTCATAGAGTGTAAGACTGTTTCTAAACTGGCTTTAACATGTGGGTCATAGAGTGTAAGACTGTTTCTAAACTGGCTTTAACATGAGGGCCATAGAGTGTAAGACTGTTTCTAAACTTGTTTTAACATGTGGGCCATAGAGTGTAAGACTGTTTCTAAACTGGCTTTAACATGTGGGCCATAGAGTGTCAGACTGTTTCTAAACTAGCCTTAACATGTGGGCCATAAAGTCCCTGACTGTGGGGCTAAAAGACTGGGACCCACAAAAAAAGCATCAGTGAGTAAGAACTATTCTTCCAACCTGTGGCCAAACATGTCTGTACTCTACATGCAGGACTTTTTCCTCCTCCTCATTTCCATACCAATGCTCTCGACTCCTGTAGATGATGCCACAGTTGGGGCACTCATAGACGTAACTGGGGAAACAAAAAGAAATATTTAACTCACCTTTTTAATTATTTTAAAGAAATTTTTCTTCTACTTTTGACCTTTCTTTTTTTTCCCCACTTAAGTTAGAAGATACAAGTTGTTGTTGTTGTTCGTCCGTCGAAGTCGACAAGGACCATCGAATCATCCGGTTAGGGGCGGGCGGGGGGGTTGGGATTACGGTGAGCTCTTAGGTGGCTTGTTAGACCGATCCTTGCACGGAATAATCTATGACACAGTGGGCATGGAATAGTTGCTTCAGACGATGACCTAATGTTGCTCTTTCGGACAAGCCTGCGTGTCTCAGCTGTGGTTATTCTCTTAGCTTCATGGGATTTAGCCCCCTTCTTGACAGCAGCTCTCCATCTGGCTCTGTCCTGGGCTGTCTGCACCCATTGAGTAGTGTTTATGCTGAAGGCCTTTAGTGCCACTTTCAGTGAGTCTTTGTAACGCTTTCTTTGGCCTCCTTGGGAGCGCTTGCCTATCGTGAGTTCTCCAAAGAATATTTGTTTCGGGAGCCGGTGGTATAGTTGGATGACTGATGACTTGCGCGGGTGACTTTTTTTAAAGTGAGGAAGATACAAGTATGCTTGACTTCTAAACTTTGTTCTATATTTTTAATTCTTGTTTGTTTTGTATAAATATTTTGTAAATAACTATGTCAGGTACTGTCTTATGTAGCAAATCACTGGTGCACATACAACTCTGGTACACGGTGCACATACAATTCTGGTACACGGTGCACATACAACTCTGGTACACGGTGCACATACAACTCTGGTAAACGGTGCACATACAATTCTGGTACACGGTGCACATACAACTCTGGTACACGGTGCACATACAACTCTGGTACACAGTGCACATACAATTCTGGTACACGGTGCACATACAATTCTGGTACACGGTGCACATACAATTCTGGTACACGGTGCACATACAATTCTGGTACACGGTGCACATACAATTCTGGTACACGGTGCACATACAATTCTGGTACAAGTTTTAGCTCCATTGAAGTCTGTTTCTGAACAGTTCCATTTCTAAATCTCTCTCTTGTTAAATCAAAACAGGCTGACACCATCACAAACCTAATCATTGTTAGTTCCTTATTTTAACATTTTAACCATCATTTTTACAATTTTTCAAAAGAAAATACAAATTGCAGCTTATTCCTAACTCTGAATCATTTCCTAAGCACAATATACTTTTCCAGTGTTTCCATGGTCCCTTGAACAAAAAAGGGCTTTTAACTAGTGAGAACAGTACAGAAAAACTTACCCCGACCAAATATATTTAGTTAAACCCAGCCAGCTGTTATCCTGTGACGAAGATGTCTTCGGAACAACAATGACCTGTTTCTTGTTACTCAAACACTTCTGTGAATGAATAATTATAAACATTTCCATCAAATATGATCTGCCTGGTTATTTATGAGAGAGAAATATTTCAAATGCAAATTAGGAGAAGCATCTGAAATTATTTTTTTTTTAAAATTGTTGCTGTAATAACTCAAATAGTTAGGAAAACGTCATGGATAATTGAAATGCAGATGAAGAAAAGAAAGACAACTATTTAGACCTCCCAAAAGAAGTACAATCCTCTTGATTTACACGACATCAATGCCAGTCGAGGAGGTAAGAATAAAACCAGATAAGGAACTTTTGGAAAGCACGGCTGAGACGATGTAGATATCATTAGAGAAAGTCATCAATCTCTGTGAAGAATAGAACCTTGGCATCAATAGAGAAAGTCATCTATCTCTGTGAAGAATAGAACCTTGGCATCAATAGAGAAAGTCATCAATCTCTGTGAAGAATAGAACCTTGGCATCAATAGAGAAAGTCATCAATCTCTTTGAAGAATAGAACCTTGGCATCAATAGAGAAAGTCATCAATCTCTTTGAAGAATAGAACCTTGGCATCAATAGAGAAAGTCATCAATCTCTTTGAAGAATAGAACCTTGGCATCAATAGAGAAAGTCATCAATCTCTTTGAAGAATAGAACCTTGGCATCAATAGAGAAAGTCATCAATCTCTGTGAAGAATAGAACCTTGGCATCAATAGAGAAAGTCATCAATCTCTGTGAAGAATAGAACCTTGGCATCAATAGAGAAAGTCATCAATCTCTGTGAAGAATAGAACCTTGGCATCAATAGAGAAAGTCATCAATCTCTGTGAAGAATAGAACCTTGGCATCAATAGAGAAAGTCATCAATCTCTTTGAAGAATAGAACCTTGGCATCAATAGAGAAAGTCATCAATCTCTTTGAAGAATAGAACCTTGGCATCAATAGAGAAAGTCATCAATCTCTGTGAAGAATAGAACCTTGGCAATGAAGGCACCTTGCTTGTCCACATGGACATCACCAGATGGAAGAGAACAGAGGCAAATGGTCAATGGAGGTGGTCCTTGCAAGATGTGCCAAGCTGTTATTGGAAAGAAAATTAACAAAACATTTTAGGGGCAAAGCTCAAACTTAAACCCAGAAAAGCGAGGAAAGGGAGAGCAGAATGACACATTTGGTCGTGTTTTTAAATACCAGCAGGTTCATTTGCCAGGATCAGAAGACTGAAAGAAACCTGGCACCTAACAAAAGATAGAAATCTCCAGATTAAAAACCTGACCCTGGGGACAGCTCCCACAGAAACAGCCAACAGATTTAAGTCCCTTGGCTCTAGCCTCATGACAACTGCCACAGAAGCAGCCAACAGACTTAATTAAGCTCCTTAGCTCTACCCTCATGCCTCAGTCAGTGCATGAGGAATGAATGTATCTAAAATAAAATAAAACAGATGAACAGCTAAAACAAATGGATTCAACTTTTATTAATTTTTTAAAAAGTATAACTTGTAAAACAGACTATCCGAAGGAACACACCTTACACATGTAGACTTTGTTTCCATACTGACTTTGGTACTCGCAGAGCACATCTCTGCCTGCATCGTGCTGCTCACTGTTTGTGTCATGGTTCATGTTGAGTTTACATCTGGACCTGGCCAAATTATAATAGTCATTTCAATCATTTAATATAGTGGTGACCTGGACATGGCCAAGTTGTCAATGCATGAATAATAATTATCATTTCACTTTCAATGATTTTCTACATTTGATATAGTGGTGACCTAACTCATTAGCATAATCCCTTTCATTGATTTTAGATTAAAAACTACTCATTTTAACTTGGATTTATAAAATTCAGATATATAAAATAGGACTTTGCAGATTATTTAAAATGTGTGTTAAGTTTTAGAATGAAAATGGAATGTAAGTTTTTAATTATGACAAAACAAACCAAATACAATTATATCATAATCCTCTCCGAGCCAACTCACTTGCAGGACAGACATCTGCATGTACAGGTGAAATACTCATCTGGGAATGTGTTGAACTGTGGTTTCTCAATCTTGCCGTTGAATTTCTCATTCAGAGCCTACAAATTTTTTTAGAACAATATTTGTAAACAATTGCTTTAAAATATCCTCAAGTTTAACTCTTACCTGTTTCATTGTGTATGATCTGAAATTATTTACAAAGTGTATTTTTTTTTTAAATGATCATAAATGTCCACGTAAGGGAAGATCATAAATGTCCACGTAAGAATAAGCAGCAGCTGGCGTGATAACGGCGCAGAATGATCTGATATTGACGGCATTACAACTAACAGCAATACACCGCAGCACTGCTATTTTGATTTCAATCAACGTCAGTGGATGTTCTTTCTTCAGTTAACCTTAATGTTTAAAGACTGGATCTTATCGTTTGGGCCAGGGCAAAATATATATTAATAGTAAAATGTATGTCAGCATTTAGACACACAAAAACCTATACAAATATTTAGTTTGACAGCCGTAAAATCCACAAATCCAAAATATTTACAGATAGATCCTCAGCGTTTTAACCTGAAATGGTGCTGAGAAAAGCACTTTGAAAGTGGGTTCACTGAAAAATATCTTAGTTATTATAATAGTAGGAACCAACAAACCTTCAGGGACTGAAATATAACAGCTGGTTTACGTGCAGCTCTCACAGAATTGTCACCGAGACGCCTTATCATAGAGTCTCTCAGTTTGTTGAAATCAGTGGGCGGTTTGCTGGTGGTGATACCGACATAGTGGATGGTGTTGTGAAAGGCATCCACTGGGTTATCGGACTCCAGGAACTTGTCTCTCAGAATTGCATGAGCTGGTTTGTCTGGATAAGGCGATTAAACAAAATTTGCCAGAAAGGCTTGATTTAATGCATTTTGTCAAGTCTCTAGCAGAAATATAAATGAAATAAGATTTTTTTTAAAGAAGTGACAGCAAATTTTTCTACGTACCATTATAAGTTTTAATAAATTTAATATGTTTCAAGATTTGACTCGTTAGAGGAACAATACGGAACAAAGCACCGAAAACCATTATACAAGGAAAAAACTATATCAAGGCCAGTGATATTAACAATTATAAATTTATACTAACAATCCTGATATAAGTATAAAATCAAATATTTAGAAATAAAAACTATATCAACTTACAGCATGTGTATACTTATATTAATAGAAAGGTAAAAATATTAATTCGCACACACACGCAGTGAAAATCTGGTAAGTATTGTACGGCTACTTAAAAATCTTAATTTGGGTGTGAGAACACAGGCTACTATAACAAACATAAATTTGTGTGAGAATACAGGCTACTATAACAAACATAAATTTGTGTGAGAATACAGGCTACTATAACAAACTTAAACTTCATTTTTTAAAACTTAAATGGACTGTACAAAAAAAAAAAGCAGATTTATAAATTAGGTTAATAAAACTGTATAAGATTCACACAATGTTTATCAGATCACACAGACTCCTGCTCCCAAATGCAAATTGTGTTTTGGGTTGAAAAAGCTTTAATCAACAACTACTCATTTTCTTTACGTCTTGTTTTTAACCATTCTTCAATAATACAAAATAAAATTCACAAACCTTTCGTGCCTTGCAAGACCTGTGTGTGAGTCGTTTCTTGGAATATGATCAATGCTGGGCCCAGGCTTCCCTCAGATATACCGTACTTTTTGGAAGTGTTGGTCAACTCAACTTTAAAATGGTCACAATAAGCCTTTGAGGCATTGCTCAGGAATACAAACATATCGTTGTGTAGTCTTTCCCCTCTAGTGCGATAGATTACTATGTCAGAGATAGCAAGTATTTTCAGCAGGAGCCGGGTGCGCTGGTTTTCATTAGATGAAGATCCTAGTAAGCCTTCAGTGTCTAAGACAATTGCTTTATATTGTGGAGCTAGGGCGCACCACACTCCAAGGGTACATGAAGACTGACTGGGGCTAGTCTTGAAGACTTCATTGCCTCCAAAAAACAATTGATTCAACGTGTAGGATTTCCCATCTCCAGTGTTACCGAAAATGGAGACAACTTTAAAAGTGTCATTTTTATCACAACCCAAAAGTTCCAGAAAATCTTTATCGTCCTTTGGCTGTTACAAACAAAAATGTTTAAAAAAATTTTTAAAGCCTTTAAACAGACAATAGGTTAACAGAATTTCAAAACTGATGTGCAGTGTTCATTAGAATAGAAGTATTTAAAGACTAATCATTTCTAAACAATATTTCAAAATTTCGTCTTTATTTTTTTATTTGATTATTTAAATTTTTTAAATAGCTGTGGGATCTCCCTGCTATTTTCAGGAATGCCCCAAAGAAATAAGTGCATTTGTTCCTAAACGAGATTAGTAATGAAAGGCAGCATCATCATATTATTGAAAATTATGCAACCCTACCTCAATGAGAAAATGCAGTTTTTATTGTTTCTTTTGGACAGCAGCAGATCTAGCAAATTTATTTCAATTGTTTAATTGATTAAATGGGTAACTCTTAAATGAATTCGTTGTTCTTAAGATTTGAACAGTTTGCTAACTATTGACCCAGAAAAGCGTTCAAGCACAATGGATGTTTTGCTGGTTACTAACGCAAGATAGAAAAATTATTCTTTTTTAAGAGTTACTTTTCAATAAAAATTAATTACCTACCTGTAATTTCTCCTCTTCATTTACTAGTATAAAACTCTCTTTCCAGTTATCACAGCCACTTTCATTTAAGCTGTTTCTCATCAGAGCATTTTCCAGCAGCACACCTTGGCATAAATCTGGAATGCTTGAACTGCTCTGATTTGAGTGAATACTCGAATTAGCTGATGTAAATGCCATATTGCCCCTGGAGCCGATAGATTCTTGCGGAAATGAACAAAAGGTCATAGATTCATCAGAATCTGAGACTGAATACGGAGCCAGTGGTTTAATCATATCAGTGATGGCATCTTGGTAAAGTTCTAAAGAATTCTGGAGCTCTTTCTCTTTTTCTTGTTTGAGCTCCTTCTCTTTTTCTTGCTGAAGCTCCTGTAACTTTTTGAAATGGTGAGCTACTGAAACATTGATGTGATGCTTTCGCTTGTCATTCGAATGATAATTGTCGAAGCAAGTATAGCACAGTTGAAGTTTGCAGTGTTCACACCACAGGTCTGGGAAATTTCTTTCTCGACAGATCAAATTAACCTGCTTGGCTTGGCATAGGTTGGACACAGAAGGAGAGGCTAAAGGGCGTCGAAAATGAAAATCAAATTTGAGCTTTGATTTGTGAATTTCTGTTTCACACTCTTGGCACTGTGCAGACTTACAGTCATCACAGAAAAATTTAGCCTCAGAGTCTATTGCAGTACAACAAAATTTCTCTTCACAGGGCTGCACTGACGATTTTGTCTTTGGCCTCCGTTTAGTATTAGGTCTCATCATTTGATTAAAAAATAGTCTGGTTATACATATCTAAGTATCTGAGTCTGAATATTTCAAGACTTCAAGGAGCCATTTTTAAGCCTGATCATGATCTCAGTGTATAATCTCTGTTTGTGTCCACCTATTTAAAAAAAGTATAGGCCTATATTTGAATATACCATAAATATGATTTAACAAATTATGCATGTGGTTATGTGATGGTAATGTATATGTGACCACAATATAGTATATATGATAATATATCTATACACTAGATCCTTGGCGGGCAACCGTTTTTCCAAAATAAAAACACCCCACAGTGGTAGCAATGAAAAGTAAAATGTGCTACACAGTATGTAAAGCATGAAATATTACCACTAAATAAATTATATATTCATTTTGTAAGTATGCCAGTGCTTACCAGACTTACTGGATGCTTAATATTAAATCTAATGAAATCTTGATAAACTTTGATATTTTAATAACTTTTAATTGTCACTACACCATTTAATTAAAAACAAAAATCTTTTGGGCAAAACCAAATTTTTCCAACTTTAGCAGTCCATTCTCCACAAGGTCTCCCACCTCAGCACTAAATCATAGGCAGTAAGCCTATAGCTATATAGCCACTATAGACAAAAGGCTAACTTTTCTAGTAGTAATAATATCAGTAAATTATACCAACTACAAAGTCACTATGTATCAAAGGTATATAATTATACTATAGTATAGGGCAGTATCTATAGGCCTACTAATTATATACATAACTTGTATTAGTATAATAAATAACCAGAGGCCTTCATCACACCTATCTGTCCATTATATCCATATTGCCATACTTTGGCATACAGGAGTGTCTACACAGGGGGAGTACGTAAGCAGTTGCTTCCAATCTGAGTTGGGGGGTGGGAAAAAAAATCCCCTCTCTCCCTTTAACCTGCTTTTGAATTTCTCCAGGAAAGAAAATTAAAATGGGAATGGAAAAAATACACTATACATTTTTTTAAAGCGAGTATGTGTGATTTTGGGGGGCGGGGTGAGATGAAAAAACATCTATTTTGATTGTCTTAGCTTAGGCTGGGAATTGAACTCCAATCCTCTAGCATGGAATGATACATGTTTTGACCGCAGAGACACTTAATTAAAATAAAAATTATAGAACTACTAAAATTCATTTTTTAATAAGAATAATTGCTGGATTTTATAATATGATTTTTTTTCAAATTTGAAGAATTATTGAGCTAATAGTAAAATTGTAATGTTTTGTTATGAAGATTATTATTGAATAGTCAACAACGTCAATGTTCTAACAATTTTTCATCTGTACATTTATGTATAATTTATGACTAATATTAACTGATTAGCTACCAGATTGAAAAAGCCGCTGGGGCCAAATTAAATCTAGGTCACATTTACTACGGTACAAACATTGGCGCTACCAGTGGTACGTGGCTATAACGAAAGAAACGCCCAGTGCTCCCACCGGCTCATGATAGTTAATCAGTTAATAGTGGCACAACCCATAAGATTCTAAGTCCAAGGTCTAGAGGGGATGGGGGTTGTCTTCCTGTTCAATCACTCAGGGGAGATAGATGCCCCTGGTGGCATACATAATAACATTACATAGTGACAGGCTGGAATAGTATTAATTAGAGACACATTTTTCAATATTTTAGTCGCAGCTCTGTGGGGAAACTTACTCACTTAATATGCATTCAAATGTGACAAAAGGGTTTGGTGGGGGAGGGGGGTGATTTTTAAGTCTATTTTATAGTCTTATACTTATCATGACTTATGCTGAGTATGCCCCCATAATCAACAAGCCCTAATTGAGTTCTAATAATAATAATAATTCCTATGCCTGGGCCTCAAACATAAAGTTTTAATAAAAGTGAGGAGACTAAAAGAAAAGTAGGCTCAAAATGAAAGTGTGAGATTCCGGAGATTGAATAAACTTAGGGAATGTTGGGAAGCGTTATACGCAGTCGGCTGCGCATAACCCTGAGGGTTATTCACAGCCGACTGCGTATAACTCTCAGGGTTATACGCAGTCGGCTAGGAATTTAGCCAAATAAGGTTATCAATCGCTTGTTTGGCAATTTTTAAAAAAAAGCATGATGCGTAATTAGCTGCATGTCGGGTTGTTTTGAACTATAACTTTTAATGTGTTAAAATTGAATTAATTTTAATTAATATTGAAATTGATGATAGCAATAGTATTAGTATTAGTGCTATTATTAGTATTATTGTATTATTGCTTGTATCTTATATATTATAATTATAAGTATAAGTCAAAGTCTACATTTCTTAGAGTCTAAGCCTAAGTCTAAGATTTTTTAAAAAGCATTTCCATGGTCTAAGTCTAGTTATGTATTTTGATTGATTAGTTCTTTATATGTTGCTATGACTATGTGGTTAGTTTTACTGACTAATTCAGGAAATACATTCTATTTATTTAAAAAAATTTTTTATCATTTATGATTTTTAAATTTTTTTTTTTGATGACCTAAATATAACAGTTTTCAGCTTCCATGCAAAACTATAACTGTGTGAAAGTATTACTTACAGTGCTCCCTCTACAGAACCCCTGCCCCTACAGCGATTTTTTTTACTGCTTCTCTCAACCCATGATTATATTTATTACTGTACCAGAGAAACATGATTTTTATCTGCCACAAAATTAGTTAACAACACAAAATATATGTTAACAGCACAAACATATATTTGATGATTATAAGAATAACATTATTAACATTACATTAGTCAAGTTAATAATTCTTCTCAAGTTTTAACATTTTTTAGCCAAAACAAAAGTAAGTTGGTTAGTTGTTTTTGCTTCATTCTCGAGAAAAGACATATCGTGTATTCTTGGCTTGCCGTTGGCTGGAATTGAACTCAAGACCACCAACTTGAGGTTTGGTCAGTTTGTACCATTCGACCACCCAGTCACCCCACTAAAGAGGCACCTTTATCAATCGATAATGTAACACAGGAAGAATATAGACCTCACGTGACTTGCCGAATGCGTATAACTCTCAGTCGGCTGCGCATAACCACTTCGATAAACTTACACTATCCTGTCCTAAAAATAATAGTAATATCAATAGGCTTTGGTTAATATTATTAATTAATTAATTGGGCTAGGCCTACACTAACACTACACTAGTTAACTTAAGGCAGGGCATTAAAGGAATTATTAAGGCAATTTAAGCCTTAAATTAAGGTTGACCAAGACAGAAAGTTACTGTGATGGTGACTAAGGCAAGATTAGATAATTTTAATAATAATTTTGTTGTTTTTTGGGGTAGTCTGATTATGGTATGGTATTAAGTAGGCGTAGGTCTACGGTTTGTTTTTTTTTGTTTTGTTTTTTTTTGGTGGGGGGGGGGAGGGTGAAGACTAGTTACTATTATTACTAGTAGTTTCAGAGTATTATTATTTTTATTGAATGACACGTTAAAATTAAAATTTGACCAGTTCAATTAAAACTTTGGTGGTCAAGGATATTAATGACCATGGAATCAGGATGCATTTTCACGTAACGTGTTACTGTTTGATAAATGTTTTGACTTCGCGACTTATTGTCAGACACTTAACTGTACGTACACTAATATCTTGACTTAAGTGATGAGCAAAGTTTGGCATAACATGTAGGGAATTCCCAATAAGTCAATGTTGATTAAAAATACAAACCAACAACATATTACGTCATTTCCGTTAAAATTAACAACACACGCATTCAGGATTATCTACAATATGAACAGAACAATTATTCAATTTATAAAACTCCTTTAAGATTTAAATATTATAATTATGACATCGCAAAACCAATAATACGCTTTTTCATTGAAAATAAAAGCAACATTTAATTTGAAAAAATATTGTTTTATTTGAGTGTAGTCCGCAGTGTTGTTTTGAAAACCTAACACTAAGATTAAGAGTACGAAGTAAAAAAAAAAATAATTAAAAATAAAAAAGGCAAGCGTGACAGTGACTTTTTAATAAACAAAGCCATTCTGGCCAATGTTATATTAACTTTAAAAATACATTAATTTTCATTAATTTTATTTTTAAAATGTCTTTAGTCTATAAACTCTATATCATATCACAACGCATTTTGGGAAAGATAAAAATGTTTATAGTAAGCAAATACGTAGACCCAGAGCAATCATAATTCAAATTCAAGTTAAATTAGTTTTATTACAATATAGTACAGTGTGTCAAAATCGACCATAAAAATATATAAAATCGAACAATCCCATCCGGCCATCGTTTACTTTTAAATTTCTATAAAGCGAACTACTAAACTTAAATACTTAATTTTGTGAAAATTATTTAATGGAAAACCAACCTATTAAATCAATAATCGTATTATTCAACATATTTATAAGATTCTTACCCTGGATTAATTTTCATTATACTTTTTAAAAAAAATACATGCATTTTAACATTTTATATTTTAGCCATGTCTTATCCGATTTGAGCTTTACCGTTCTATTTTTACTTCATACAAAGTGCCAGAAAAGTAATAAGAGATTAATGATTTATTTCAATTTGGCGCTACAATAGAAATTTTGAAACAAATAATTCTTGTAAGCTTATGCTTTGATTTTTTTAGTATTTAATTAATTTTTAAATCATCATTTGAACTATGTTTTCTTGCAATAAAAATAATAGATATTTATTTCATTTTACCTCATTGAAACTCAAAAAACAAAAACCTTAAAAACCTGGACATTATCATGGTTTCTCAATTCTCAGCGACCCTATGAAAGAGACTGATAATGACATACATTTACAAATGAAAGTTCAGCTCATCAAAACATAATTACATTTTAAATTAGTTAAGTCCCTAAATTTTCATACACGCAATGTCTAAACGTAAAAAGAGCGCAGCACTGATTGATTCAGATAGCGACGAAAGTGGAAGTGGAGGCGAAGACTTGGACGAAGTAGGCCTAATTAATGTGTATAAATACAAAACGAATACAAGAAGTATTAGGCTTAGGCCAGTGTTTCCCAACACGGGAAGAGGGAGAAATGATGAGACTATTTGGTGTGGGGGGGGGGGGGATGACTTTTCCTTTAATGCAATATTAGGCTATAAAGATATATTTTTTTCAAATCTGGTCATTCATGATTGTTTTTTATTACTTTAATTAATACTTTTATTTTTATCCCTGCTTCATTGAATCTGATTGATAGTGTAGTCACAAATATATCATCCTTCAAACATTGAATCTCAAGGTCTAAACGCTTAGAATAGCCAGCATAATTGTAATTTAATCTCACTGAACGAACTGCAACTGCAGCATCATGGACCTCTTTCTTTTAAATGTAGGGGAAGGGGGAGAAGAAAGACACATCTTACTTGATTTATGTGCTCAAATCAAAAGGGTCGTGGGGCAAAAAGAAAAGGCTTGGAAACTGGATTAGGCCTAAATTTGAATAATATGCAGTGACTGGGTGAGGCGAGTTGAGCACTAGAAATAATTTGCAAGGGTTAAATTTGTTATTTTAGCAATGTGCATGCCCGATAGATTCCACAGTAGCTGCTTCCACCCTTTTGCAGACAACACACCATTGTCATCAGGTTACAACTTAATCTAAAAAATATATATAATTATTTAATAAATGAAAATAATTATAGTTGCAGTATGCAAGCAAAGCCTAATATTATATGAGACTACAGGAGGGAAGTATGTAATGTGTGATCGCAAGTCTTCCATCATATCTGAAAGACACTAAAAGTTGCTGTTGTCAATTTTAATATTGGCCCTACTTATTTTTTTTTTATCAGTACTGGTAAATAAATAAGGTCAAATTTGCATATTTTAAAAACAAGGTCAAAATTTATGTTCCAGGCCCTCTTATTATTCTATCAATGAAATTATGTCTGAGAGAAATATCAATGAGTTAGTTTTAATATTCAATCAACCTATTATAAATTATTTTAGGCTCACAGGATGCCATTATTTTACTGAAGAAAATGCAAATTTTTATATATTTTAAAACATGAGCATCATATATCAAGGGTCACAAAATGAGATGGGAAAGTCTTTAAGTAGACGGTAATGGACAAACAAACTTTATTTTTTAAAAAGTCAAAGCTCAAAAACTACTTCATGTTAAGCTACTTGATTTTGGTTTCATTTTTCTAATTTTAAGTCTACTCTAAACCATTATTTCTCAAAGTGATGGTCCACGGACTCGCGGTGGTCCAAGAGCCTTACGTTGCTGGTACGCACAACATGAGACAATAAATTGGAAAGTTAACAGTCCTAACAAAATTAATAATAACGAGAAGCATTACAAGTTAATATTATTAGAGTCCTCTCACATTAGTTGATCATCGATGAAGAAATAGCTCATGATATATCTAATGCAAAGAAAACAATGTATTTATAAATCTGGCACCAGTACCTGGTGCAGTGCAAAACTTATCTACTTAAAAGTTTGGGAAACACTGCTCTATACAACTGTATAAGTTTTGGGAATATTTTTCACGAAGCAGCTTTTCTAAAACTGTGTTCATCCCGATTTAGGATTAGGCCAATATTAGGAAGGAAACGTTGCGCTCTACCCATCACATATTATTATTATTAAATAAGACAAACTCTTTTCTGTTTTTTTCTTACTTTCTAAACCCCAGTTCTAGCTTAATTTTGGCTGATTGCAAGCTATATATAAATTGCTTCTTTGGCAATTAGAGAATAACAGGCTAATAATCTTTGAGCTGTTTCTAATATAAATATATTTTATGACAATTTAAATGTCTTTTCTTAACTTTTATTTAATTATGCCAAACATCTCTCAATTATAATTAAGTAGGCCCATATCTATTTTTTGGTAAATGTTATAATTCAAATCACACCTTTCTTCCCCTTCAAATTTGTATGTTTTCACTTGATATTAATGTGTTTTTCATGTTTGCTAAAATTAACTCTCAATCTTCCAGGGTCTGAGAGCCCTTGTTAAAAGGAGAAGGGCAAGTTCAGAATCACATTCGGATGCGAAAGGAAAGCCTAGTGCACCCCAAAATGACTCAGACTCGGAGACATCCAACAGTGATGATGATGTGAGTTTTTTAAAACTTATTTATAAAATTTAACTCAAGAATATTAACTTTTAAATTTCTAGGTAAGGGCATTATTTTGTGGAATTTAACGGCATCTTTTATCACTTGTCTAATCCTGCCAATAGTGGACAGTCAATGGCAGAGGTGGGGCCAAAAAGAAGAAGACAAAGAAAAAACCCACCAAAAAGCTAACAGCTATTTCTTCTTCTGATAGTGGGGGAGAAGAGGAAACAAAGAAATCTGAATCAGAGCCAGAGGAAGGTAAATGAATATCTTATCTTTGAACTCAGGTGATCTAATTTCATGAGAGAAATGGTATTTTATCATTGATTAGTTTAAAATGTTCTTACTGACTTTGGCACCTTGAATATTCAAACTTTTCAATACTACTAGTTTATACAACTGTCAACAATATTTATTGTTTTTGCTTTTTTTTAAAAATCGGACAAAAACTAAAAATGGTAATAAGGGGTGAGAGGTTAGCAAACATGAAATAATTTAACAAAGTATGGGAAAACCTGGAAAAAAAGAATGCAACAAAACATCAAATGCGTTGGCAAGTAGCCTTTATCTGCAAACAAACAACAGTAAAAACAGAATTAATTGAAGTTAATTAATTAATTGAACTTTGTTTCATTCATTTCTTTAAAAATTTAAAACAAGCAACCTTTAATTTGATTAAATTCAAATAGCACTTTTAAAAAAAGTATTGTGGTTTTTAATGAAGTCACCAACATAATTTGGCATGATTTTTTTTTGTTATATATATATATTATATTTGACAATTATGAGAACTTAATTTCTTTCTATGTTATGTTAAGGTGAGGTTTCTGACTCGGGCAGTGATGAATCGGATTCAGATGAAGATAAATTTCATGATGGGTATGATGAAAATTTAATCGGCGATGACGAGGACAAGAAACGACTGGAAGCAATGACTGAGAAAGAGAGAGAGCAGGAGCTTTTCAACCGTATGGAGCGGCGTGCAGCCCTTAAGAAGAGGTAATATCAAGCAAGTGATGCGTGACCTGTCAGAAAATATTAGTTAAGATTGTTATGGGAAAAAAATGTATTATTTGTTTCATAACAATTTTCGAGCTTGGACATTCTTTTAGACGATGCCATTAGCTCCATTTGAACATGTTATTGTTAGACAGTTATATTTTTTTGAAAAATCCATCTCTTTTCATTTTCTTCAGATTTGAAATCCAAAAGAAATTGAAAAAAGCCAAAAAGGAACAGGAAAAATCTAAACCAGTGACAGATCAAATGCTACCCACAGTCAGTGAAAGAAGTAAAGAGCGTCGGAAACATATTGAGCAGCGTAAAGATAACAAAAAGACCTCTGCCTTTTTGGACCTGAAAGCTAAAAGAGAAGAGCAAAAAAAGAAAGGTATGTTAACAAAATCGTCATTAGATGTTAACGGAAATTTTTTCTATGTAGTCTTTGACACAGTTTTGGTTTACAAATGTGGCACTGTTACCACTTGGGTTCACTAGACAAAAATGTTGCTTTCCACTCAAGACATTGTATTTTACTGATAACTATTTAAAAAAAATAAATGTAACTAAAAAATAGAGACTAAAAAAGCAAAATTTGCAAATGTCTAAAAATATCCCACAAAACAAATGTTAACGTGTTGTATAGTTATGTTGATACCAACAATTGTTTGGGCTAAAAATGCATAGGCTTATCCATCCATAGCATCTTTTTAAACTTCTTAGTTATCTCAAATTTTGTTAACAGTGTCATTGCTTTTGAAAAAAAAACATGAAAGAAATACAAGTTTTCTTCAGGGTTATATTTTACTATTGATTATTAATTTAAAGAAATCATATTGAATTTTATATTTAAGCATTCAATTCTAATGCTTTGCTTTCTTATGAGAAATATATTTCAATAATGGGCCCTTTGTTAATCCACAGCTGAGCAAATTCAGGCACAGAAAAAAATGAAGCCCAGTGACATTTACAGTGACGACGATGATGATGATAACAGCAGTGATGAAGATAAGAGTGAAAAGGAGGAGCGCAAAAAAGAAACCAAAGAACGTGAGAGAGAACGTGACAGGGAAAGGGAGAGAGAAAGAGATAGAGACAGAGAACGAGATAGGGACAGGGATAGGGACCGAGATAGGGACCGAGATAGAGATAGAGATGATGCTGGAGATTCAAGCTCAGATGCAAGTGACAGATCATCTTCCAGATCAGAGTCAGAGGAAGAGTAAGAAATGTTTAAATGTTTCCGTTTTGTAGAGTATTTTCTCTTACATTACATTAGTTTTCAATTTTTACAATTTCATACTCAAGATTGTTAATAATGCTTCAACCATTTGTCTTTAACGACAAGAACTAGTTTTTAAAAAAATCCTTGTATGTGTTAAAGATTTTAATTTGAAAATTGTTATATTTTGTGTACAATTAATAAATGTAAACATTTTTTTTTTCAGAGTCAGTCGTCCAAAGCATAGGAAAATTAAATATATAACGACCAAAGAAGAACTTAGTAGAATACGGTTATCTAGAAATAAAGTAGAAAGGTTTGTATACCGTTATAATAATTTATCCTTAACGCACCGGAACAACAGCATACTTATTTGATTTTATTCTGGTTTTGTGCAATGTTTTGTGCTCTACCCAGCCTTACACCGAGATGCCAAATCAAGCTTAATTAAGCAATCAATTTTTGGTTTGGTTATTTACTGTACTGTATCCCCCAGGAGAGGGAGAACTGATTTTAACATATGGTTGTCACATATCCGGTATCCGTGTTTGGTAGTTCTCTTTCATCAGATTCTTTTATATGTTCATGCTTCATAATAACACCGAATATACATACACTAAACACACATCCTTCTACATCGGCAGTGTAACTTAAATCTAGAAATATATCAATCAGGCTCTGCATTTAATCAAACACATGTAGCACAGCTCGCTATAAGTAAGACTAAAAGTTTTTCTCAAAGACTGCTAATGAGTATGCACTAAGCCAAAGACAATTTAGACAATATTTATAATTACAATAAATCATATACTCACCATCTTTAAGGGGGGAAAAGCATTCATTAACTACTTACTCTAACAACACACTGCCTACAATTAAACACAATATCCAGCGCGCATCAATTACTAGTGAAGTCCCATATATATAAGAATGAGCTAGGCTGACCGTAACGCCAAAGAACTGAAAAGATTTTAAAACATTCAGATTCTTAAAAACGATCATAGTTATTTTCTATTATTTTACGGAAAACGTATAAATTTAAATGCACAAAAAATAATCATAGACAGCGACGAGGCCATGACAGGCAATTCAGGCTCATACCAGCAAGAAGCCAGTATAGGAGCTGCTCATTCCTGCCCAAGACAATCAGGGACTGGAACAATCTTTCAAAAGGAACGGTTGAGGCGACAACACTAGACACATTTGTGTCTATTGCCTCAAGCCTTCAAACCCCTAGTGCATAATTTCCTCATCACCACCAGTAACAGAAACATTGCAAATCCCATCTACATGCATAGGAGCCAAAATGATCAATAAATTGATCGTGGGCTCTTAAGATATAGAAGAAGAAGAAGAATATTATATATCCACTTTTATTTAAGTAAAAGTTAAGGAATTATTGTTACAAATTACAAGTTCATTTAAAGTAACAACTAAGGAACTATCTTAAGCATTTCATATGAGTTTGAAAGTTATGAAAAAAAAAAATTAAAACCAAAATATATGATCAAAGAATTACACCGTAATCAAATTTATCGGGAAAACTCAAACATCAGTTGTTTTTGGTGCGTTTTTAGTGCATTGCTAATATTGCTAAATAAAATTAAAATTAATTTGTTCTAAATAAACACACAAATGTTAGCCAAAAGTTTCTTTGATTTAATAACAGTGCATTACAAAACTGATAATGTATTTTCCCCTTCTTAAAAGTAAAATTAATAAACATGATTGATTGCTTTTTAAATTGTTAATAAAACACACACAAATTTTAGCTTTGTATTTTTAACATTTAATAAGTTTTTACAATTCCAAAAATATGCTTTTATTAAATTTATAACGTAATAAAAACTTAATCTTTAAATATACTTTTAATTAAAAAATTGGCGTTTAAGTCAATCAGTGCAGCGAAACTCAATAGCCAAAAAGCATTCACTAACCTACTTATAACTCATCCAAATAAGAACAAACCATATGAAGTGCAAAACATGTTAGTTTGGGTATGGAAGGGACTACAATCCGGTGGAAGATTTTATTAATTTTATTTAAATCAGGGTGGGGTAGGAAATAAGATGTGTACATTTTTACGTGGATGGCAATATATTTAAATTAAATTAAAACCTATAGTTTGTGAAAAAAGAGATGTTACATTCTCTTTTCATATGTTTACCAATTAAGAAACCCAATGGTGTTGACAAAACACAGGAACTTCTACATAAGTGTACCCATGGATATTAATCCCCATCATTTTACACACATGAAAATTTAATTTTGAAAAATAGAGATGGGTTAAAATTTTCTTTTATAAAATTAGCGAAAAGTAAAGTGGGTGTTTATTGTTATGAGATGAACAATTTTTTTAAAAAAGACACTAAAATCTGTTATAGATGTGAAAAACGGTTGCGAGATTCTTCTTTGTTTTACGATTTTCTGATAATGTATAATTTTAAAAAACAAGGCAAAAGTGTTTTTATATTTTTTTTGGAGATACCAATGTATCGAATTCCTTTAATATAAAATATATTTATATCATATATAGAGTTTTTGTTGTAAATTTAAGATTATGTTTTTAAACAATTTTTAGAGAAAAAAAAGTTGTAGTTCAAGGGCACGAAAAGGGGTAAATCTAAAGTATTTCTCTAGCGTATAAATCGCCTCTTAAATAATTTCGTTTGTGACAAAATTGATATAATTGGTGATAATTTAGATTGGGTAATTTAAGGTCATGTTTAGAGGGAAAAACATAGTTTAAGGGTGTGAAAGGTAGTAGGGTAGGCGAATAATATATAGCCGATAAATACTTCTCAAAACGTAATGATATTAGAAATGTAAATATCATTACATAGATACTTCTTTTTAAAGTTAGGAATTGTGATTTTTTGCAATAGCAGGTAGAAATTATTGCAAAGGACCTACCATTATCCCGATAACATCGGGTCCTGTATTCTAGTACTCTTTAAGAGTGGTGTTCCTGGGATTTAAATCCAACACCATAATTATTCTTGGCCTTGGTCATACAAACTATAATAATCAAATAAAGTTAAGATAAACTAATTTTAAGATTAGAGAATTAGAGACTAGAGAATTAGTTAAAATATATTTTATTTATTTAAAAAAAAAAAACACATTTATTTTCACTTTATTTATATAATATAGTACCCATTTTTGTTTTTTGAAATTATAGATGGTGTCACATGCCCTACTTTAAAAAGGTTGTCACTGGTTGCTTTGTTCGAATTGGAATTGGAAACCACGAAGGCAGACCAGTTTACAGGGTGGGTAATAAAAAATCTGACCTTCCTAACTGAACTTAAATAAAGAAAATTGACGACACATTTTATCATGATCTTCAAGAACTTGTCACAAAGTCGCAGATTTGCCTCAACTTAAGGATAAAATGAAAGAAGTCATGGCAGTATTTAAAAAAATCCCAACTCTATTCATTCACAAAGGGTTTAATTATGTATCTCATATGTATATGTTCTCTGCAGGTGGCAGAAATTGTTGATGTTGTTGAGACTGCCAAAGTTTATCAGCTAGGTACAACAAGAACAAATAAAGGATTAAAGTTAAAGTGAGTACTTCAATTCAGTTAGTTTGTTTTTCTTAATTAAAATGTTTGTTGTTACTTCGTAAAGCGCTTTAGATATAAAGATGTTTGCAAATTATGATACATTTGATGTCTATGTAAAAATAACAATGGAATAAATGTATTTCAATGACAGGTTACGGAAAAAAGAGACAACTACTCAATCCCTTCAAATGGCTCAGTCTAAAATGTTTATTTTTACACACCCATTTTATGAATGAACATAACTTGACATAATAACAGTTCTGAAATGCAGTGCTGAAGTAGTTGTTCTGAAATGCAGTGCTGTAGTAGCTGTTCTGAAGTGCAGTGCTGCAGTAGTTGTTCTGAAATGCAGTGCTGTAGTAGTTGTTCTGAAATGCAGTGCTGTAGTAGTTGTTCTGAAATGCAGTGCTGTAGTAGTTGTTCTGAAATGCAGTGCTGTAGTAGTTGTTCTGAAATGCAGTGCTGTAGTAGTTGTTCTTAAATGCAGTGCTGTAGAAGTTGTTCTGAAATGCAGTGCTGTAGTTGTTCTGAAATGCAGTGCTGTAGCAATTGTTTAAAATGTTTATTTAATTTTGCAGACATGGGGGAGCTGAGCGAGTTTATCGGCTAGAATTTGTGTCCAACCAAGATTTCTCAGACAGTGAGTTTAACAAATGGAAGGAAGCTATGGAACTAGGGCACCATCAGTTACCTACCTTAGACGACATATCAAGAAAGGAAGATGACATCAAACAGGCCTTTGAATACAAGATCAAAGATAAAGACATTGAAGAGGTTAGAAGATGCTGTGGGTGTATTGTATACACAGTATAAATATTTAACATTAAAAAACTAAAACAAATCTTGTTTTCTTGTACTTATTTTGTGATTTCTGTATGAGGATATGAATAAAAAATAAAAATTGTAACAAAGCGATATTTATTTAGCAGACTGAAAATTTTTTAAAATTTCATTTAATTTATGTCATAAGTAAAAAAAAAACATTTAAAAAACAATACAAAATGGTTTTATACATTTTAGTTAAAAGAAAAAGTCAGTCTTGAAAAATTCCATTTTTGTTCAAAACGCTTATAATTTTTAATTTTTTATAACAGATTGTTGCAGAAAAACAGAAATTCAGAAAAAATCCTCACAACTATGCAGTGAGGAAATCATCATTAATGAAATCAAAGGTAAACTTTATATACAGTATTGCAGTATTGCATTGCATGTGCTTCGCAAGTTTGTAGCCATAGGAATGTGCAAGATATATACAAATATATATTTAAGCACTTACTATTGTACATGCTCCCAAATTAGTTGTGTTATCCTAAAAAAAATCGGAATAGATCCGAGGACGGCCTATCTAATAATCCAGTCCGGCCTAGCACGCAACTATTTTTTTTATTTTTGCATCGCACCTAAATGAATTTTCGGTGTTTTGTTCACCTTCATTACCGCTGCTTGCAACTCAAGGTGTGGTCCGTATTTATTATTAGAACTGATGTCAGGCACTTGTATGAAACAGAAGCACCTGACTGGGGAGGGCTGCTGAATGTTGTGTTGTAAACAAGTTCACTCTCTGGTCTCAGTTTCATTCACCTCTCACCGGGGTCAAGCCATATGCTATGCACATGTGTGTGTACCGTGATGTACTTAGCAATGCCAAGAATGTAAAGTAGCAGTGCCAGCAATTATCCAAGTAGAACACTCCACAATTTTATTTAATGTTCATATTACTTACATAGAGTTCCCATACAGTAACCACAATTACTGTGCCTGAAGATACTATGCAATGACACCATCAGCACTTCCAAGTGGTCGAATAGCAATGGGCATTTCAATGCCAATCTCAGGCCCATGTACAGAAACTACTCTGTGAATCCAGGGAAGAGTGAGGCTGCTCACTTGCAGTCACAGTAAGATCAACAGTGGGGCCTCTTCAAGCAGCAGGCCTCCAAAGTTTTTGAGGCTGCTGAGCATCGCACTCATGCCTACTATAGAATGTCCTTTTTGATTGCGAAGAAATGCATCCCTTCACTGATGCAGACTTTGTAATGGATTCTTTACTTCCTGCTGTTTACGTAATTTGTCCAGTGCAACACGACGCCTCAAAAGCACTGCTGCTGTCTGCCTGCACTGTAACTCGAGGGATGGAGGACTTGGCCTCTGATGGCCAGCCTTCAATGTTCAAGAAGTTCAAAACTCTAGAATTCTCCATAGGCCAGAGCTGTGATACAAGGACACTGTCCGGCTGACCAGCTTTGTGTATGGGGTGGTCGTGGAGTTTCCAGCCTCATCCTGATGAAGGGAATGACAGTTGGTCAAGATGTCCTCAATGCCCTCCTACTTTCTTTGAGTGATTTCAACTCATCAAAGCTCGTCTTGGTAACTACTGACGGTGCACCTGTCAGAGTTGTATCTACCAAGGGACTTCTGCTGCTGCTTATCAACCACTGCCGCTCTTTGTGTTGCACTGCCGCTCTTTGGGTGCATTGGCGCTCTTTGGGTTGCACTGTATCGTCCACCAGGAGTCATTGTAGCCAAGACAGCTGGCATGAAGGACATTATGCATGTTGTGGTAAAGTTAGTGAACGCAGTGCTTCCTTGTCCTCTCAACCACTGCATCTTCAAGCACATGTGCAAAGCTGCTGAGGCTGATAATAGTGATCTGCTTTCACTCTCAGCTCTTACCAAAGTTAACCTGAGGCTGCAAGGAGCGTGCTCATGAAGAACATGGAAGCAAAGCTGATTCTATGGGAGAAACAGTTTTATAAGGGTGACCGGGTTCATTTCCCGCACCTCGCCCTCATTTACACTGAAGAATGCATCGGAATGAATTCTCCTCATGCTTCACTGATGTGCATTCGCATTCACAAGAGTTCAGCACTTCTTTTGACTTTCCCTACGATGACACTTCCCTCTTAAGTGCAACTGGAGTTGATCAAGCTGCAGGCTTTGGACACTCTCTTGTCCAAGTTTATTTCTTGTACCACTGTCATTGATCTCTATGGTCATCTACCACGTGCTCAGTTTCCAATGTTGCTAACGATACCAAGTGTGTGATCCCAATGTTTGAGAGCAGTTATTCTTGCCAGCAGCGCTTTTCGAAGATGAAATTTTGAAAGAACAAAACTGCACTCTCAGTTGATGATCACCCTAATGACATTCTGTTGCTAAACTCATCATTAGAACCTGATATTGTATCTGAATCTGTCTCTTAAGAACATGCAACATCGTGTTTCCCATTTATCATATCATATTTTTTACTAAAACAACCTTTCCTTGGGCACCTTGTTTCTTCTTATGGCATATGTGCCTTCTTGACCCCCTGAAATAGCTTGATAGTCATAAAAGTTTTCAGACCTCTGGAATAGATTAATAATGTTATTGATAGTGGATCATATAAATTTGAATGTAATCATTCCGTGTCTTTACACAGGAACAAGCTGATTTGGATGGCAACCAAGAACAGTCAACAAAACTAGCCCAGGAGCTGGAAGACTTAGAGGAAAGAGCGCAAGAACTTGATAGACGTCGAACATCAAATATCAACTCAATAAGGTGAAATACTCCTTTGCAGCTTCATGTTATCCTTGAGACAAAAAACATAAAAAACTTAAGTAAGGCATTAACCCTTTCATTACCGCTGGTTTTTGGGCATAGATTTTTGCTGACTCTGTGATAAAAAAACTTAAAAGAAGAAACTTTCAGTATTTTTTATTCACTATCTGATTTGCTTATTAACTTCTCTATAGATGAACAAATTAAGAAATATATAGCTTTGAAATATGACGTCGACGTGACGTCCTTGGTATTTCAGAAAAGTTCTTTGGCTCTTTGTTATGACAACATGTGACGTCTTTGGTAATTGAAAGTGGGTGATCGCGACGTCGCGTCGACGTCATCGGTAACGAAAGGGTTAAACAGTTACGTCAGCTGAACTCTTATTAACCAGTGCTGTATTAATTTATTCTTAAAACTTTTTGAAATATCACGTTCAGTTCAGAATCTTCATGAAAAGATATTTTGTGAAATAACTTACCAATATTACATTATTTTTAAAACTATGTCCAAAATTTTCTTTCTATAAGTTATATCAACCAGAGGAACAGAGATCGTAACTTGGTTGAAGCTGAGAATGCCCTCAAGGCTGAAGTGGCTGAAATGAGGAATGCCACAGCAGATCCCTTTACACGTCGACACTGCAGACCAACTCTAGTTACCAGGGTAATAAAATGTTTTTAAATCTCACATTTGCAGAAAAATACTCTTATACATCCGTTTTTTTTAAAAATTGAATTGACTCTTTGTTGATTTAAATGTTTGTCTTTCTTGATGTGGAAAGTTTTGACACATTTTCTTATACATAATCAAAGTGAGGATTTAATGTTACAAAGTTAATGTCTATACATTTTGGATGGCTGCCAATTCCAAAGTTTACAACTTTCAACAAGTCCTCTCAAAACTTTATTCCAGACACATGATGTGAAGACGGGCAAAAAACCAGAGGAATCTTCTAAGGTGGGTTTAAATGTGCAATATCTCTTTACCATTTGATGGCTTTCTTTCAAAACTACTCAGCTAGCATCTATTTAAAGTGAATTTTTTACAATTCTTATTAAGTAGATAATTAATATATTTTTTCAGTTTTGTTTTATTAAAATTGGAATGACATTACAATAGCAGACTTAATATTTCTGGTGCAAAATCCATATATGGTGGTCTGCACATATGTCTTGTCTTCATTTTCAATATAATGTTCTTGTTTTCTTTGTTTAGTCTTATTTAAATCTCAAGCATCACCATACTAAAAAAAAAAATTTTAAACCAGAAAGTCTGTGTTTTTTAAAATCTGCTTATGAGGCTTAATTGTAGTCCAATCCTCTCAATATTACTTGATAAACCCATGTCACCAATTCCACTCTATAGATTTTAATACAGTACTTTCTTGTAATAATCTTTGACAGACACCTACGTCCATGCCACCCCCAGACTCTGCCAGTCTTGCCATGTTACCATTGTCCAAGTCACAACCCTTAGACAGCCATATGGTAAGGTGAATTTAGTTAGCGACCACTTGTATATTACACTTGTGTCGGTACTTACATATGTTCAAAAACATTTGAGAATAAAGCTGACAGTTTGTGAACTATCTTTGCAAAATTAGACTGTTAGTTTGTTAAAATCAATTAATCACATTTTTTTTTGATAAGCAGAATTTCAAACACACATGGTTCATAACTTATTTCATTATACTACAGTACAATATATTCATAAAAATAATTTGGACTGGCTTCTTTCTCCACAGGGTGGAGACAGGACCGATGGACCAGAGAGAAGGTTGTCGGATGATCTTTTTGCAGTTCATGATTTTGATATTAAAATTGACTTAGATGTACCATCTGGAGGTAATGACATGCCCTTTTTTAAAGCTTATGTATTCCAAGATTTTGAGTTTTAAGGAACAAAAAAAAAAAAAATTTCATTAGATTAGAATCTTATTTTTTTAACTCATTCCCTCCGGCAGCGCTGCTTCCGGACTTAATTTATTTTCCTGAGAAAAGGGAAGCAACTCAGTTTTGAAATTGATTTATATTTTTAAAATATTTTTTTAAGTTGCTAAATATTATTTAATGTTAATGAATTAAGAACAAATGCAACAAAAAATGAATAAGGTTTAATATAAATATAACATTAGAATAGACGCGCCGTACTAAAGCACACGTAGTTTTAAAGTGAAACAAGATAAAAACTTCCGGTTTCTAAATTAAAATCACGCAGAAATCACGCCATAGCCGGAAGTCTCGAGGGGTGCGAGATTTCATTGCTATTTTTAACTAAAAATAAGAGAGGTGTGTCGCTATGCGCCGGGACGCATTTGGACGCATCAGGAGGGACCCCCCGAGGACGCATTTAGTCGCAACCGTCGGGAATGAGTTAAACTTGTGTAATTAAAACTTTTAAATTAGAAAAATGATTGGACATACATAATTTGATATCGTTTTATTTTTGCATAACTTAAAACTTTTAAATTTTCTCACAGGACAAGTTGTTGTCCCAACTGCACCACTTCATACCCCTAGAGACACAGTACCCAGAAGATCTCTTAACTTAGAAGATTACAAGAAACGCAGGGGGCTAATGTAATCTGTTTACTTTATAGTGCAGGGGGGTGGGGGAAGGCAAGAGAATCTCTAATGACTACTAGGCTTGTCCTTATTACATGTGGGTCTCAAAAGGTCTTTAAAAAAAAAGACATTGAAAATAAGGCCTTAAATTACTTAACGAAGAGTTTTCAGAGAGATGTCTGGTATTTCTTATTGCCGTTTATATTAAAAGAATTACTGAACAGCATTGGAGCAAATTAAAATAAAAAATAACTTGCCTCTTCATTTACTCATATTTTCAGGAATGTCAAATTTAAAAAAAAAATATTCAGTGATTTTCTTTGGTGTGTTTTGAGTGTTGCTGAGGCATATTTTACTCAAAATTATGGTTTGCATTAGAAGGATACGCTTAATTTAAAAATGATCCTGAATGCAGCACCCACAGAGGGAGACCAATTTTGAGCCTCTGAGAACTGATTAGATTGAATTTTCAATCAAACTTTTTTAAAAATTAGGTGACCATGGAAGTAATTTTTTTTTTTTTTACTATAAAAGGCTTATTATTATTAGGCCTCTATAGGTTGTCTTGAAAACATAAATAGTATGTTTGAAAGCCACCAATTTTTCAGCAATTGTATAAAGATAATTTACACCATTCGATCGGTATCTTATATAAAGAAAAACTGTGATTGCAATAACATTAGGCTGCAAATATCAGTATTGATTGATAGATACATTGAGTACCAAGAATGAGTGAGTTGATGTATCAAAGTCTGGTGTGGAACAGTGCTTCTCATTCTTTTGTAATAAGCCCCCTTAATAAAGAAGGGTAATTTGTTGTACTGTAATAAATGAATGATGCTGCACGCCAAGCTATTTTTTTATTAAGCTCATTCTTGCATACTATTTATAGACCAACCCATCTTATTTTGAGAAGCACTGATGTATGTAGAAAATCAAATTTTTTAAATGTGACATCTGTCTAAAATGTAGATATAAATATAATAAATGTTTGAAAATATATTCCATTTGTTGCTTTTTTTAAATCATAATTTCCGTATCCGGAAATTTAAACGAAAGAAATTTCGTAGACAGTAACTTGATCGACGGAATTTGATCGAACGTAAATTTGGTCATTCACATTTCAGGTTAGAAATGGGCAGCTTTGGAATCAGCAAGTTAATAGCAGATGTACCGGGCTATCTTGTGAGATGACATGGTTATATTATTTAATTTTTAACTATCAAAAGAAAGTAAGCAGGCAAGCAATCTAGTACCCAGTAATAAAGTTTTTATCAATAATATCCTCACTTCACTTTCCCTACAATATCAACAACATGGCACATTTGTTAAGTTTCAAAAGCAAGTAGAGGTTAGCATATCAGGCACAGCCTTGTCATCTGGTTATTCGATAATTGAGTAAGAAAAAATTGAATGGTGGCTCAACAAACTATAAAATCTTCAATCTATGGTAAAAAAAACTTGTACTTATTAGGATAAGGATGGTCTAATGTAAAATCTGGGAGCCCTGAGCTCATAGTAGATTGAATAGCTCAGCTGGTTTATCAACTATGTTAATTTGGATGAAGTTAAGTTCAAAACAAAACAAAAATTTTAAGCCTACAGCTCATTTTATTGTTCAAAACATTTGTAAAAATTTTCATAATATCAAACCAAATAAATAATATATCTTGATAATTTATAATCAATTATATTTCAATGACTTTCTTCTCTTTGTACAAATAACAAGGATTACAATGTAATTTACATATAATTTATCATGAATCTAATAACACAGAAGTTCAGAATCTTAAGTTTCATTCAATGCATGCTATATCATGAAATGCTTTTAAGTGTAGGGGCCATCCATATATTATGTATACAAAGAGAGTAAGAGTGTTCCAGTGCATCACGATATATGCATTGGTGAATTCAAAGAGGGGGTGGGGAATAGGTTTTTAAATGCTGGTAGCTCTAGTATACCCTGTATCTGGAAATTTGTTGGACAGATTTTTTTTTTAAAAACAAAAGTTTGATCAAAATGAAATATATTAAACAGAGATTTATTTTAAAAAATGCTTTTTAAGGGATGGTGCAAGTGGGAAATGGTAAAACTGTAATAAAATGTTGTTTTTTTCTTCCCATAATTAAATTTTAAACAAATACAATTTTCTGTCAAACAAATTTCTGTAACCTGCAGATCTAACCCACATATATTAATTTACTTTAATACTAATCCATATTGGTGTAATTTTGTATAAAAGTTGAAATACTTACATAGTTAATCAACTTTAAAATCAGTACTTTTATCTATGGTGTAATTTTTTTTTTTCAAATGTGACAATACTGGTTGTTGGTAAAATGAATTAATTTAAACTGTTTTTAAAATGTTTTCAAAGTCAGTTTTTTAACAGGTTGAAATCCAAAATACTCAAGGTGTTTTACAAAAAATAATAATTCAGAAACATAATGAACATTTATTGATGCAAACAATACTTATTTCCAGTAACATTTTTTTTTATACAAAAGATTTGATTGATCAGTGTTTTAAATATTTATACTTGGTTTCTAAAGACACAAATACATGGATGGCCCATGGCTTATTTTATCATAGTTACCCTTAGAGTTACAAGCCATTTTAAATAAAATATTTACTGCTTAATATAAATCAGCTGCAACTTATCAATTTGGCTTCAACATCTGTGGTTGAGTTTTTTGTTAAATGCTAACTTTATATCATTCTTATCTTTTAATGATTTCATTTTTTACTTAAGTCTTCAAATAAAGAGTGATGAAAATCTTATGGTACAGATATGTGCAGCAGTTGCAGCAAATGAGAGTTTTATATTACTGTTTCAGCTGAGGACCCAGCAGAAAACATTTCTTGACCCGGTTTGGGGCCATTACCAATGGGTTGGGAGCCTATGGATTAGAGGGAGACTTGGCTGCTAGCTCTCCATTGTAGCCAGAGGAGATTTAAAAGAAAATGATTAAAAATGGCGACACACCACATGATAAAAACAGCATAACTGACATTTAATCAAATTTAAATTTTCAGACAATTTCAAATCTGCCACTTTTCAAACATGCACTTCTGTTTTAGAAGTGTTTTATATACAAGAATAAATTTAATTTTTCACCTCGCTTTCAGAAGTACTGTTGTAAATTAAACCCTTGCAAATTATCTAAATATATATACAAAAGCTTATCAGAAAACAAATAGATTGTAGGATTTCTGTATATACAAAACAACTGTTTGACACAGTGATTGAAATACATCAACTTTTATACCTCCTGGAAAAAAATGTGTCCAACAAATGTAAAATTAGGTTTATGCTAGCGTCATATAAACAAGTGGTAGAGTAGTGGTCAATGGTTTTATTAGGAACACAAAAAATTTTGTACTGCTTGTTCATTTAGCTTGGAAACTTGCATCGAAATAATTTAAGTACAGTTTTCTCTTAGAGGTGTAAAAAAAACAGGAATATTTTTTGGCTCATTAAATTATCATATCCCAATTTCTATGTCCAGACTTAAAAGACAAACATGGCCAAAAGGGCCTCAGTAATTATAAAATATCATCGTTGTGATTTTTAAAAAAAAATGCTATATAGGAAACTGCTTAGTTGTTACAAAATGGGGACACCATGTAAAACTGGGACCATAAAAACAATGTACCGGTAATAATTATTTCTGTTTGTTTCTCGTTGAATGAAAAATATGACTACCTGTATAAGTTATCATCACAAAACTATTTTGCTCATAGCACCCCCTTGGAAGCTGAAGTATTTTAAAAATTATTAACTCTACATTAAATCTCTCTACCAAATATTCTCATCCTTCAACTGTTAAGAAACTGCAGTACCTAACCCCTCCCAGGACACACACAAAAAAAAAAAGGAAGTGAGTAGATCACATTTCCTGGGAGATTCTTTTCACCTCTTATATCTCCATCTCACAGATTAATCATAGCATGTCATCTTCATCATCTTGTTGAAAGTAATGACTGTCAAGGTTTTTTAACACATCTAAGGTCTCATCGAGTTCATCCTGCCTGGATCCGGCGTCTCTCTTATCTGATCTTATGTTAATGAGTTGTGCCTGCTGGCTGTAATACATCGGTGATTGGTCAAAACTAGGTATGGAGAAGGCAGTTTTGTTGGGGGCTGTACCCGTGTAGTAGGCTGTTGGCAATTCACTTATCTGAATACCCTCCTGTGCACCGTCTGTCGCAGGTGCTGTTGTGGGTGACTTTCCGAGCCAATGATTAGAACTGTCCGAGGACTTCCATTCTATGCGTGCCACTAACTGAGTCTGGATACCTGAGGTACCAAGTGATCTCTTCACATTCACAGTACCTGCTGGAATTTCTGCATGGCTTTGGATGGTCTGAGACTTCTGGTGAAAAGATGTGAATGCAGGAGCTTGGAGCATGGTGGACAAGCTAGACTTTTTTCTAGAGCTCGAGTTGTTTGTACCTAGCAACAGCCTCAGTGAATTGCTATTTTGGAGCTGTCTGGCTATGCTCTGGTTTCCAGTGACACCCGAGTGCTGTTGTGGAAGAGAATGTTCAGTCTGCATATCTGATGAATTTGTCACTATATCGGAGCTGCTTGAAATTTTCTGCTGTGGTGATGGTGTATCGTTAATTTTTATAGATTTTGCTCTGCATACCTGATTATGTCCTGCTGTTGGCTGACCAGAGCTTGTGGGTTTATCAACAGATTTGTTGGGATTTGTCTCAACTGTCTTCCCTTGATGCATTTCCTTGTTATCTGGCTGTGCAAGGTTTTGGTTTTTGTAATCTGAACTGGACCCAGAGAGTAATGAAACAGCTTCTTCGTACGTTGGTAGCATATCACTAGTACTAGTAGAAAATTGAATATTGTAATTTTGAGTCTGGTCCACAACTTTATTGGCATCATAAGGTTGGGGCTGGTGGCTCATAGTGGCTACAGTAATGTCCTGACTCCCCCAACCATCTTTCATCCCTTTACCGGACACGGACCCAATGGCTCCGCTCAAAGATAAAACAAAGGCCGGGGGGACACTTCTTTCACTGGTAACTTGTGTGTGCTGGTCTGTTTTCAGCTGTAACTGAACACCGGAGCTTCCAGAAAAATCACTTTCAGACTTGAGGAAACTGGCTGTGAAAGGATCAGATTTCTTGTTAGTGAATGGGCTTGACAACAACGGTAACGTGTAGAGGTTCTGGTTGGCGGCACTGGCGATAGTGACAACTGGTCGTATAGGCTGTATGTAACCAACTGCCGAGTTACCCAGGATGCCGGACGTTTGGATCGGAACAAAGCGGTTGGGGGCTAAACTGGCATCGCTATTAGGTGTGGTGCAGTGAGGAGAAATGTGCGAGCACGGGGTGGGACATCGAGGGGACATCACACAACGCTGAGAGCTTGGAGTGAATGGTGGTGAAGGATGGGGGTTGTATTGATGGCAGCGGGAAATCTGTGGTGTGGGTGAGGTAATTGGTGGAATTTTATGACTTGAACTGCTGGGACTTGAAGCAACTGTTTGTCTGCTGGTTCCTGTCATCGTGCTTTGAACGTTACCAGCTGAAGTAATTAAAAACTCTTGTCCAAAACTAACAGATGAAGCTGTTAGCATGCTTTCATTCTGCCAGTTAGATTCCGAGAAGGCTTCTTTAAAATGTAAAGGCGAATGCACAGTTTCTTGAGCCCGCTGATGAGGTGATGATGGACTGGACGGAGGTGTTGGAATGCAGTGCAATTGTAAGAAAGATGCATTCAGATTCTGATCATAAGTTTTCACAGAGTCAGACTCAGGTGTATCTTTGGGTGAATCCATTTCAAATCCTGTCAATGCATCTGAAATATTTGATCCTTTCTTGGACGTTTGTGTCCTGACATTTAGAACTGTATGTTCCTGTTCCTCAGAGCCCCTGCTTGAAACCTGAGAACTGTTAGATTGTTTACAACTAAAACTGTCCGGCCCGCAGTTACGGGTGTGGTAGACCCCACTTAAGACAGAGTCAGACCGAAGGGGCATGAAAATTGTCGCAGGGGACAAAATATCTCTGCGCTCGCAGTCCCCAAAGAAACCTGCCGTGGCCATCATGATAGGACTGGGGCTGACGCTGCCCACTTCAGAGATTGGGGTCTGGCTCACGCTGCTGTAGCCTCCATCTGACAATGGCGTCTGATTCAGCGATCTGTCTCCTTTAGCTGCTTCCAACCAGCTGGTGCATGTTAAGTTAGTCAGCGCCATTTGATCACTCCCATGCCTTGATTTATCTGGTTGGTTTCTACACCCCACGGATCTGGTCGACTCTTTGTCCCTTGAAAGTTGTTGGTAGGCTTCAGACATCCCTTCATCTCTCACAGCATGTCGACCTGACCTATCTGTTAGAATTTTAGAAATCAACCTGTCTACAGGAGTCTTGCTTTGCAATCTTTCAGCATTTGTCTTTAATCGAGAAGGTGGACGATCGTTGGCTTTGACACTTTGGGGCTCAACATTTGGTGTTTTTGAGGTCATGTAGTCATTTGAAACTGACCGCTCAATAGACAGCCTCCTTGTTAATTTAGCCGGCCCCACCGGACTTAAGAAAGTACCACCAGAAGAATTCTGGGAGGATATTTCAATGCTCCTCTGCTGACTTAAATCACTGTGCTGTTGGCCTGATGACTTGTTACCTCCACAGTGACTGCCCAGACACTCTAAGTTACACTGGATGTTTCTACTATAGTCCGAGCTCACATCTTGCTTAACTATGAGATCACTTATAGTGGCAGTCTGTTTTCTGTCATAACCTGTATCTGCAGGTGTATTGGGAACAGAGATACTCCGCCAAACAGTTGAATTTTGAATCTCTTTGCTGTCCTGCTTATCTTTTTTGATAAGGTCAGCCAGGAGAGAGGAGGGTGAGTTGTGGAACACCATAGAATTAGGATAGTGTTTTCTAGAGCTCATGGATTCTGTGATAAAGTCAACAATGTCTCCTGGCAGTTCATTTTCACTTGACATATTTGCCTGTGAGGCCATCTGGACAGGTGGCAAATTGTCATAGTAGGATGGCAAAGCGGGAGAAGAGTATCTCTGATCATTGTCTGGTTTATCCGTAACAGTTCTAGCAAGCCACTGAGCCAGGGTAGGATGATCCGAGGCCTTCCCTTTGTCTGTTGAGCTGTTTGAACCGTTGCTTTCTTTACACAAATTGGGGCTTCCAAACTGCAAAAAATCCAAAAAGTCTGCCTGGAAATTAGAATCCCTCTGTGAGATCTTCCTTTCAAAACCTGAATCTCCTTGCCTCACTCCGGACTGAGACAAAGCGTCAGCAAAAAAATCGCTTTTATTTTCTGAAATGCTTTTACGGTGATTAGAAATGTTTGACGTTGCAGATTCTTGAACTTCCTCAAATAAAAATGAATTCTGTTTGTCCATATTTTCTTTGGGGGTGTCTCCACTTTGTGAAACATCTGAGTAAACTTTGTTTTGTTTTGTCTCATCAAGTGTTGCGTTATGATGAGGATATTTAGCAGAAAGAGTCACGGACCCATGCTCTGATCTCTGCTGGGACAGCAATGGTTGCTTAGACTGATTGGAAGGAGCTAAAGCCTTTGCCGTTTTAGCTGCGGTGCCAATGGATGTCTTGTGATCCGAAAATCCTGTAAATCCCACAGGCGAATCACCGAACAGCCTTCGATCTAAGGCCTGCTCAATGTCCAGCAGTGCATCACTCTCTAAGCTTTCCAAGTTGAGACTTACAAATCTGCCACCTGTTCTCTTACAAAGCTGCACATCACCGGTTTTGCTGTTAACTAGATGAGATGTTTGGGCGGAGACCTGGTTTGAAGAGTCACCGTCTTGTTGGGCAGGTTTGTGTTGAGACGGTGGATCTAAAAACACAGACTTGCAGAGGGCCTGATCTCTGCCGCTGATTTTGGCTCTAAGGCTATTGAGTGCCCTGACGGTTTCTTTGACAGTCATAGATCTGGATTTAAGGTTGGGAATCATTTCAAGCAAAGCTTCTGTGTCTGTCAAAAGAGGTTTTCCCAATAGCTTGGTTTCCTGGTCTTGTGCAGAGTGAACAGCTTTCTTTTCACAGTACCACGAAGGCACTGTGGAGTCAGCTGACTCCGACTGAGGCCTAGTGGAGGTTATATCTATTTTGGGATTCTGATGTTGCGGATCCTCATCATCAATGTTAATAATGAAAACATCATCATCCACCTCCTTTTCTTTACACCGATTTGATTTCTTGTTGCTGCCATGATCATCTGCGCCCGACTTCCTCTTCCTCACTGGATGGTTCTTTGAAGCACTGTGTGTTTCAAGAGCTTTTCTTGTAAGATTTGGGGACATCTCTGGGCCTTGCCCAACAGTGCTTGTTGCGGTCTTCTGTGCGTTGACCTCTGAATTCACACATACATTTTCCAACATTTTGGAAGAACTTTCCAAAACAGTAGGTGACTTCAGGTGAAGCTTGGAAGAACATTTGTGGAAAGCGGATGAAAATGAATTGTGTTGTATCAATGGCTGATTGCCCATCTTCTGACCAGCACTGGCCAGCTGACTTAACTCAGAGAGGAGGGCAGAGGAAGATGAAGTAGTAGTTTGAATCAGACGAGGACCATTGGAACAGCTTGTGATTTGCTGAGAGGAAAAACTTAAACCAGCTTGGCTAACACTAACTGGTTTCATGGTGGTGGATCGAGCTGCAAGACTCAGTGATGAGCCTCCATCGGAAACTGAAACACTAGATTCAGAATTAGGCACAATCAAATAGGTCTGGCCATTGGCATCGGGTCCAATCATGTGTCCATTTATTTCAGACACGTTTAATATCCCAGACGATTGTCTCATCGATTCTGAGGTCATATCTGAATCTTTACTGGCATGTTTATTTTGACGATCCTGTTTCAAGTTCTGATTCACAACTGACTTGTTAACGCCTTCCTCAATCGAATATTTATTCCCCTGACCATCTTCAACAAAAATAGATTTGCCCAGAATAACTTCAGTGCTGCTGGCACTTCTGGGTGGAGATAAGATGACCACTTGTTTGCTTGATGCTGGTTCCTCATGGCCAACAGACAATGTTGGGGAGTACAGGGCCAGAGGTGGCCCAAGGTTGTTCCCCCCTTTGTGGCAAGTGATGACTTGAAGACCAAGGGACTGACCAGTGTTCTGTCGTTGTGCTGCACCAGGCGGTGGAGACAGAAGAGTGGAAGAGAATGCTGGGCTTGTGTTGGATGTTACCTGAGTGACGGGCTCAACAACAACTTTCATGTCCTGATGGTGGGGACTAGGATTCATCAGGGGCCACAACTGGGGACTGGTGGTGTTTCCAGTCTGTTGATTTTTGTTACTTGGTGGCCCTATAGTGACGAGCACATCAGCTGATTTTGATTTACCGGGCGATAAACCCAAGAGCTCGGCTGGCATCTGAAGTTTGACCTCCCCTTGATAACTGTTGGCCAGGTTTACAAGCAAATCCTGGGCAATTTTTAACCTATGCTCCTTTAAAATGGTGGACACTTTCCTAATGTCTTTCTTCTGAGGCGATGGGGTTGTTGAGCCAGTCACAAGTTTTTGAGGTGAAGGGGCTCCACCTATTTTGGGACGGATGGGAGTAAACCTGTTTCTACAGACTCGCCGCGGCGGGGTGGCAGGTGAACTATTTGTGTGACTTGTGTGGGGACTGGGTGATATTGCAGTTATCTGAGATTGGCCGGGTGTGCCAGATTTTAAAGAGGTTGTGGCACCAGAGACATGAACATTTGGAGAACTGGTGCTGAGATGTTCTTTTTTGGATGGGTAACTTTGTGCAGTCGATGTTATGAATGAGGTGATGGGGCTGGTGAAAGCACTTTCATTTCCAGAGTTGGCTGTGCCACCAGGCCAGTTCAAAGTGGCAGTCGACGGGGTGACAGAAGAATGGGTGCTGGAACAGTTGGACGAAAGATAGACATCAGCTTTTGAAGAAGAGTCCATGACCGAACTACAAGAGACACTTAGCAGGTGTTTACTGAATTGAGATCCGTCAACGGAGCTTGAAAATGAATGGCTGCTTTCCACTTTTGAATTAGCCTGGGTGGAAGTTGATGTGTTTTGACCAAAATGGTCAAGTTTTGTTTGACAAGATTCAGACAGTGGGACGGAATGACTATGTTCTAATAGTTCATGATTAGCTTCTTTAAGTATGGTGCTGACCAGCTGTTTATGGCTTGTGACGGGTACAAAAGCACTGCGGCTAGATAACGCAGACAGTATAACGTTATTCTCTGAACCATTGGATGGAACGTTCATCAGCCTGAGCTGATGGTTGTTTGGTAAGGAATCAAGTTCTGAGGCAGAATGTACACTGGACATGACATTTGCTGCAAGCGACGGGGTGGAATGAGTGTGGGGAATTTCCAGTGACCCTACCATTTGCTGGGACCCTACCATTTGCTGGGACCCCTCACATTTCTTCCACAGTAAATCTGACGTGGATGACAGTAAAGAATTTAAGATAGTTCCACTTAATCTGCCTGTCCTTGATTCTGGCTCTTGCTTTTCAAATTTCCTAGAAATCTGTTGGAAATCTGGACAGGATGAAACATTGTGCATCATATTGATTGGTCGGTTGATCACTGTAGGTTTCTGGACAAAATGAAATTTGTTTTCTTGAGACTCCGTGGAACTGTTTATTTTAAGGCCATTGTCTTCCTTAAAACTTTCTGAATACCCTTGCCCCTTCTTACTTCCCTCTTTTCTTTCCCTGGGTCCGGCAGATGAAACATCTTTTGCTTTGAGCTCAGGGGTACCACCACTTCCGGGTGACTTAACATGTGATTGGGAAGACAGACCATCCCAGGAAACTGGACACGAATAGGGCCTGGCCCTGCTTAGTTCACCGTCATTGCCGGCACAAATTGGATGGAAATTATCTGGCTCCCTAACACCTAGCGAAGTCATGCATCTCCGCTTGGAGCTTCCATCAGGACTAATGTCACCCCCGTTCCTCTTGTGTTGCTGAGTGAGCATTAAGCCACCCAGTGATAACAGTGAGTCAAGCGTCTTGCTGGACGCCTGACTTGGCCATGCCATGGTAAAAATGGACGGAGATGGCAAAGATATAGTTGTATACGTTGGGTGTAAAGGAGGGTTTGAAGTTTTCTGTTCAGTCATATCACTACCTCTGTTAGGATCACAAAAGAGTTGGTTGCTGGTGAGCTGCTGACGAAACACCTCACCGATATCACAGGACATTGAATGTTTCTCCACCACACTTGCACTCTGGCACCGTTTAAGCGGCACCAAGGATCCTTTAGTCCTTGAATTGGCCAACAAGAGACCCAGCAACTTGCTGTTATCCTGGCTTATGTTTTTTTGTATCTCCGCCAGTGACAAGACACCGCCTGAGCTTGAGATATTGCCAGCCTCCTGGCCATGGCCAGCATTCCAGTAAGGAACACAAGGCTGAACAGACTGGGGACGTGGTAAAATCCTTTTCCCACCAACAACGTCCGCCATCCTCAGATCTACTGTGAAAGGTTGGACGGATGAAACAGGGGAGCAAGCTTTTGCAAGTTCCCTCTGAAGTTTCTGCTGTTCTTGTAATTTCTGTTTGTGCTTGCGGATGATCTCCTTGTGCTGGAGCTTACGTTGAATTAAAAGCTGCCCATCTTGATGGCGAACAGCTTTACGATCTTTGTCCAACTGCTTGGGAGGGCCTGTGCATTGAAGCATGAGGAAAATCATTTTAGTGAACAATTCAATGCATCACTTAAAAAGTTGTTCATATCCACTTTGGAAACAAAACTGACATAAATCTTTTTTTTTTAAAATCTCTATGATGATAAATAATTTAAAATTCTCAATGAAAAAAACAAAACAACTGATAATGTAAACTCAAAGCATTTTTTTTTTTCCTTCAAAATCTTACTTGTGCTACCAGACAGAAGACTAAATTTGGCTGCTGTCTTTCCACACGAAAATCCTATTGAGATCAGGTACTCAGACAGAGATTTGATGTCCGTCAGCTGACGACTAAGCAGCTGGGAGGCCCATTCACAAACAAGCTGGCAAGACAATGCATACAGGTTGCCGTCCGGACAGGGCTTCTGAAGGGACAAATGGTTAATATTTATAAAAACAAAAGCTAATATGTTCTGAAAGCAATATTAAGGTAAGTCTTAGTAATAACCCCTCGCTAAGCAAAATACTTCTTTACAGACTTATCTTGTAAAAACTCACCTCTGCTGTATTCTGGAAAGAACTAGTATATGACGATGTTGAGTTATCTCCTCTCTTTTTTAACCCCTCGTAACAATATGTGCAAACAGTTAAGGATTTACATGCATGGATCACTCTAATTCAAAGCTTTTCGCATTCTTCAAATCTTTCTCTAAATGATGCGGTTTACATTTACTAAAAAAATAAATACATGGATTTTAATAAAAAGCCTTTAAAAACCTGAGTAACATTTTATTTGTATCCACCATATAATTTTAACAAAAGGATATTTAGATTTGCCCCGTTGACCAAGTCTCCTGTGAGTAATTTTGGGAAAAACAAGTTTCATTGCTTTCCCAAAGTCAGCGATGGAGAGTAGCTTGTTGTCATCAGCTTCACACTGCTCCCTGATAGGAGATATCCCATAACATCAGATAAAGAAACAAATACATAGCCTAGAACCTTCAGATTATAAACTTACAACTAATATGAAATAAGTATCAATTAACTAAGTCCCTGTGACAGTCTTCAGGGATAAACCACTATAACCATTTGAGACAAATTATATTTGATACCAAAAGTGTTTTTGAAAAATACTCCATCCACTAGCCTGACATTAAAAACTGAATTTAAAGCTCTATTAATTTTGTTAAAAAGTTAAATATAATAGAAAATATTACTTTTTAAAAGCGCACACGTAATGTTATCCATGAGAATCTGGATGTATCATACTTCTCAACAATCCTTTCAACTCCCTTCACCCTTAAAGGTATACTTGATGACTTACCGATACTGCTCATATACTTCCTCCTTTGGTACATAGCTATCTGTGTCGTGACTCTCTACATAGTTCTGCCTTATCCATCTGAGCGCAGTATCTGTCCGTTTGGCAACTGAATTTGATGGACTGTATTAAAAAAAAACAACAGTTTGACAGTAAAGCTGGTGAAATTTGTCAAATTGGTATAAAAAAATCACAAAGTTTGAGTGTGTTTAGTATCATCTTGAGAAATCCCGTCCCCATTGAATGGATAAAATTATTAGGATAAGAATATCCACTGCCTTTTATATAACCTCTGCCCCAACCAAAAGATATGTTATCACAAGGAATATACAGAAGTAGCTTACATTTTATTAGTTTCTTCTCCATTATCATCAATGGCCTCCTCTGTTGGCAGTTGTAAATACAACATGTATTTTTCTAGCTCAGAGAGTTGAGAAACTTGACTCTAAAAACAAAAAGGTATCATTGAATTACAGTTGCATCATAGATTAGTTCACTGGTGCAAGAAAGTAGAGATTAAATTATTAAAAAACAGACATTTTAAAATCATTCAAACAATTCTTCTTTTAAATTATAAACTGACACATTCTAAAATATATATACACACACACACACACACACATATATATATATATATATATATATATATATACATACACATACATATAATATATATATACACATATATAAGTCACTTCTTTCAATCAATTTTAATTATGAAATTTAACTAGACATTTATTAAAATGTCTCTTTATTTTGGTATGGTCTTCTAAAAACAGTTAATAATATTTAATTTTATATATACAATTGAAATTTTATTGTACTTATGACCAACAAACAAAGCTTGAGGAAATGTGTAAAACACTCACCAAAATTTGAGAAACTTTATCACTCTCCTCACTGAAAATTAAACATGAACTGATTAATTTTTGGGTTTGGAATCACATTACAATACAAGCCTTGCACATTTATCAGCTTCCTGAATAAATATATAATACTGTTGAACTCTTAAAATTTTATAACCTCTTTGTATCAAAATATATACCTAAAGGTTAAATTGAAAATTAAACCTATTATTTTAAGCCAAGTTTTATAATACCTACCTCATCAGAATTGAATCTGATTCATTAGGGGAAGTTTGATTTCGTTCTGGCAACTTATCCATCATACCATCTGATCTCTGCATTCTTGCCAAGAAGTTATAGTTTCTATAATTTTTCATGATGAGAGGTAGAGAGAAAACATAGATTATTGGGCCTCCTGATGGTTGGAACTTAATTTGGCTGTTTCAGGTAGGAGAACTCTTCTGTGCTTAGTAAAGGTGATAAATGGCATTGCATGGACATGGAGTAAATGTGGTGCTCAAACTGTACCCAGTAGTCTAAATTTACCATTGCTTTTTTCCCAGTAAAATATTTGTTTAGCTGTTATGGTAGACTATTGATAGACAGTAGTTTTTATGAACACAAAAATAATTTAAATAATGAAATAAGTTGATTTTTTAAAAAAAAGAAGTTAATGCAGACAATATGCGCCACGGCCGCCATCTTGGTTGCGATGACCCATGAAGAGGTCACCCTAAACTTATCCCTCAATCTAACCTGAACCCTAAACCTATTAATACTATTAAGTTAAATAAACAACGTAAATGACTTAAAGGTAGGCACTCCAATACTTATGCCGCCTGTGATAGAAAAACTAGGCCTGCCGAGCGGCGATCCCTGTGATCGGCTAGCGCTTTTTGTTTTCAGTAGATCTCGGTGATTAGCGCTGTTTTGCAAAATTTCTAAAAATAGAGGATTCTCCTTATTTTAATTCGATTATGCGATGCATGTCAGTTATGAGGGTATGAATTAAGTGGAAATCTGACCTTGCTGAGACGATTAATTGGAAAGTTGACTTGGGATAAGTGAGTTCGCTGTGCTATATATTTTTTTTACATCATGTTTCGGACTTGGAAATTACGTGATCACATAGATTTTATATATTTTAAAAGCAGAAACACTTATTTACAAGAGTATTGATCGCCCCCAAAATTTATGAGAGCTTGAACCATGTGACTAAAAATTCAAGGTTGCCAAGTCGTGGCCATTTTTTCCCCCTCGATCTACCAGAAGTGATATATCTCTAATGTAAACAGTGGTTATTATTATTTAAAACATTTTTGAAAATAAATATTTCCTGTATTATAACTTAGTAGTTTGATTTTTAATATATACTTTTAATAACTGGTTTTTAATAATAGTTACACTTTAGGCCTATTTAGTTATTATATAAGAGCAGGCTTTGAATCAATAATACTAATACATATACTGAGATAAAACAACAAAGTGATCAAAGTGCTGTGACATACAAAGAGCAATGAATTAGTAAGATAGCTTCTAGTCCTAGTTATTAACAGCTATAAATGTACATATAATAAAGAACATTGTGTAGCCTATTTAAAAATATTGAATCATTATATGCAACGGTATTCATAAATTAGTAGTCCTAATCTTTTTTAACATTTTTCAGAGTTACAGATTGTCATCATTCCCTATAATTATGCTATGTTGGACCAACTTGGAGGAGATCAACAAACAACCCTATTTGATATTGACAATGGAGGCAGGTGTTTTTTAATGTGCCAATCCATGAGGATGTAGTGTTGCTAGACCTCAGGAGCCGAAATGTAATGTACATGTACCCGGTACAATAATAATGTCGACAGAGACAGTTTCATTCAAAAACTTTTTACATAAAATGCTCTGAATTATGTTATTTGTATTTAAATACTTTATTAATTTTAGATTGTGTCTATTTGTACTGAAGATTTCATTGAATTAGCATTATTATTTTAAAAGTTATGTTTAAAAATGTTCATCAGTGTCAACAGATTACATGACATTTTTTAATTTTGTAAAGCATGATTTGAATTGCTTTTGCAATATTTTAATACTCTATTATATTTGGCTTGACACTATCTATTTTTACTGAAAATTTGATTGCATTAGCTTTATTAGTTTAAAAGTTATATATTTAAATGTAAAAAATGTCTTGGCCGTTGTTGCTTTTCATGAAATGTTATTTCTAATATTGCATACATTTTTCTGATCTGTATTTTATTTATTTTAAATGTGCCTTACTTTTAGATGGACATTACCTGTTTGTATTGAAAATTTTATAGCGATAGCTTTATTGGTTTAATAATTATGTCATTTTTTTGTAAAAAATTAATTTTTCTACAATTGTCATTATCCACGCTATAGGCTTATAAAATAATATATCATAAAATATAATAGTTAATTCAAAATTCAAGTGTTTTGTTTTGTTAAACATTGTATTGTAAATGTCTCCTCAAAATTTGAGCTGTCTAACTTTAAAAGCCAACAAGATAGTACAAAAAGAGTAATAATTCTATCACAGTTTTAAAAATTAAATACAAAGCCAAATAGTGGGGAAAAATAAATCACTAAAAAATGCACAACTTTCTCCTATAAGTGATAGAAAAATTATCTTGGTTTCAATGGAAAACATAAAGCCAGCTCTTTCCAATGATATGGTCCTTGTGTATGTTAGATGTATCTGAAATTTTGAGTTGGGGTACCTAGAGTAAAGGCGCGAATTGTATGCTTTAGCCAAAAAGAATATAGTAAATGATTAATTACTAATGGACTAATGATCCGATTCATGTTATATAGGCAGGCTTAAAATTGAATTAATCCTTTCTCTCCGGATCAACGCTCCCATCGTCGATTTTAAATGAGACTACGGACGGATCGACAATGGGATTGTTGATGCACAAAAACCTGTTTATATTGGTTCTTTTCTTAGCTTTTGGTTTTTAATTACTTTCAATGAAATCCAGCATGATTTCCCTTTGATAAACATCCGGATTTTCTTGAATTGAATGAGTTTTGGCATAGAACGAAGTGTTTGAAGCTGTTGTTTTGATTATCTATTTTATGAAGTCTTGACCTGATCCGTCTGGTGATTGAAGTAATAATGGTTGAACATATTATTACTCTGATGACAATTCAGACAATGATTTTATGATTTCGGATGCAAAGGCTGATTCTGATGAATCGTATATTTATAATCCTAGTAGTAGTATTAGTAGTACTAGTGATGAAATAATGAAATTGGTAATTCATCAGCTGATGAACAATCACCCCCCCCCCCGACCCCAAGCATAAGTCTCTTGTAGAAGAGCTAAGCCGCACATTTATATGGATTGTTTTCAGGCTTACCATAGCTAAACCCAGAAGAAAGATATGACAAATTTATGGTAAATTTTCCATTTAGCATAATAAATGTTAATACATACAAATACAAGGATACAGTGCAAATATTTTCTAACAGCAACAGATTGTTTCCAGTTGAACTAGTTATGTTTTTTTTGGACTTTTTTTGTGTGGCTATGACACAATGGATAATAATTATGCCATTTAACACCTTTAATAAGCACAGAAGAGTTCTCTTACAAGTTTTTTTTTGTAAATAATTTACTATTTTATTCAACTCTGCTTTAAAACAAAAACAGTGGGATATAGAGGCCTACTAATCTATACTGTGAGATCAGAATGTAAGGGTTGACGCGGTTAATGAGATCTGTTTTTGTTTTTAAATTACACACAAGAATACCAGAAGATGAATCATGGATTTCAGAAGATCACAATGAGCTTTTTATATCATTTTAACTTACCGAATTATAAAACCTCAATTGGACAGCACAAAAAACATATGTAAGAATTTAAATAATAGCCATTATTTGAAATTCGTTTGGATAATTTTCCACAGTATTATTAAAAGGTACGCCGACATTTTATAAACAATGAGCGAAAGCGCATGCGCACATTGTCATACTTCCGGCAAGATCTTTAAAGTTTAAAATGAGTGTAAGTAAAACAAATATTCATTGCATTTTTTTTTTTAAATGTACATTTATTTTAAAAATAAATGCATAACTTATTTTTAATTTTTCTATTTAAATCTTATACTGTTCTTACAATATTTATAAAATTTAATTACTTTAGTAAATTCATATTGTTTTTATATTTAGATACTGCCTCCTGTTTTTTAATTATTTTATCCAGATACGGGACACAGGCCTATTCACTATTGGTATTCACAAAAGTTAAAAAAAAAAAAAAAAAGACTTGGGCTTACGCTGCTACAGCTTAAAACTCAAAATGCTTAGTCATTGGTAATTTTTAGTGACCACAGGAGCACATTTTTTCAGAAAAATAGCAATGACGTGTAGGCATATTGTAGCAATAATAATGGAATAAAAGGTTATAACAAATAGTCAGATTAAAAACGAAAATACCAACTGTTAATCAATTATAAGGTCGTAAGCGATAAATTAAGCTACCCCTAAAAACAAAGTTTTTCGTATAAATCCTTAATAAAATGTAATATTGAGCAATGGGGTTGAACATTTGACAAAACATGCATCAT